CTCCGACGACGAAAGCGACGCATCTGCTGCTTCCGAGCAGGCCCCCGCAAAACCGAAGACTAAGAAACCGAAGCCAGTCATCATGCGGCCAGCGTACAAGCGGTATCTCATCGCGGTCCCCCCTCCTGTGTTGGTAATCCACCTCAAACGCTTCCAGCAAGTATCGAAGACGATGATGACCATGTCGTTCTCCCACGGCTTCAAGAAACTGGACGACTACGTCACTTTTCCGGAGCAGCTCGACCTCTCTCCGTTTCTCGCACCGAAAAAAGAGGATTACGGGCTCAAGAAAGGTGCTGGGTGGGGGAGACCACCGAAGACAGACGGGGATCGATGCATGTATCGGCTATATGCCGTTGTCGTACATATCGGCAACATGGTGCGTTTGCTTTTCTGCAAGGGTCTCTGTCACTGACTGCCCCTTTCCAGCTCGGCGGCCATTACATCTCCTACGTCGCGCTCCCCACCGCGAAAGACGTTGCAACTACACCGAATTCTCCCGTGGGTCAACCAGCGCCTGGTCTGCCTACCAATGGCGAGGCCGTCAAAGACGAACCGCGCCAATGGGCGTACATCAGTGACACAATTGTGCGGCTGACGTCGCTGGAGGAAGTGTTGAAAGCCAAGGCGTACATCTGCTTGTACGAGCGAGTATAGACCTAAATATTAACGCTATTTATACCTATACCTAGTGTAACCATAGTATATGTATTGATGTAAGGCTGCAGCGCAAACACTGCATGACCATAATCGGAATCACTTTGCATTATGTATCATATATCGTCATTAGACGCGCACGTTTGCGAGTCGGCCCATCCCTCAGCCGGTTTTCCTGGCCCATGGTTTTTCGCTTACCATCGTCCGTGAGGCGGGACTTGGTGATGCGGACACAATCGAGAAATGTGTTTCCCGGCCTGACAACGCGCAGAGGCTTTTGCGCCCGGAGACGTCGTTGCCGAGCCAACAGAAGTTGCTTGACCTCTTGACGCGCGTGGGCCATCTCTCGTCTGGCGGCGGTTTCGTGTCGGCGCCGCACATAGTAGGCCATGAGCGTGCGGATGTCGTTGCGTTCAACAACGTAGATGGGCCATTCGTTCAGCGGCGACACGCGAGGGAGCAGGCCGAAATCCGAGTGCTGGCGGCGCGCAGCGAAGATGTGGGACTGCTGCACGGCTGCTTGTGCGAGACGTCGGGCGATGAACTTGGCAACCATGTCTTGCACGACATTGGGGGGCTTATCGTTTGCCGGAATAGCACGAGATTGAGCTCCGATGTTGACGTTGACGGTCCGGGATTGCGGGATGTGCTTTGAGGTATTGATGCTACTGAACTGTGAAGGAGACCTAGATTGCGTTTGAAGAGTGGGCTTAGAAGGCAGATGGAGAAGGAAGTGGCCACAAATGAAGATGGCGCCACATGGGATGAGGGCATAGATTATTTGTTGGAGGGGAGAGGGGCAAAGTCGCATGAGAGTCCATTGAGACAAGACAATATCGCACTCAAAGGACGCAGACGCGTCGAAATCTGTCAACTGTTAGCAGGAGCTTGCCCGCCACTCGGATCGAGCCATGCTCACTAGACAAGGAACGAGCAGGGGCGCCCGAAGCCTCGGAGTGTAAACCCACGCCAGGAAGCAGAAGAAGCACGACGAACAGAGAGCACAAAAGAGTGGAATACAAGCGATCACGAGACATGGTAAAGTGGGCGAGTCCAACAGGGACGCCCGCTGGCAGGTCGCTTGAAGTTGGGAGTGAAAGAAGAGCCTGGAGAAACGCGATCATGTGATACGCCCATTGGATGAGGCAGCCGCGTGCGCCTGAATGACAAGTTGCACACTAGTAGAGAATCCCGCCTGTTGCATGAGGGATTAAGGTGGCTACTTGGGCTAGGCTTGGCGGGGATATCTTTCTCTTGGTCCAATCTCGCCCAGAGCTCGGCGCATGCAGTGGCACTGGTATCGGAACAGATCACCCCATAGCGCGCAGTCTGTCAGACCATCCCCGGTACTAAAAGCCTTCCGCAACGAAACTTATCTCGCAATTCAACACTCCATCTCCCATGCTCATGTTGGAGCAGTATCAACAAGGCTCGCCCCCAGAGGTCACTGTGATCACGCCTCTCCTACGCGACAGTGCACATCCGCGCAGATTCTCCCTCGGCGAATTCCTTCGCTCCGAGGTGGATCCAGAACATGCGACGGGACCGCTGGTCGTATTCTGTTTCATGACGGGCTTCATGTGCGTGCGCCCTGTCGCCCGCTGCTGCCCACTCACTGTCTTGTCCTGTACACAGCGACGTGATCGCATTCACCGCAGTATTCGTGTGGTGCGGGTTCCAGACCGGGAATTTCGCGCAGGTCAGCCGATCCGGATCCTCCGCCCCCGCGCATAAGCGGATACACGTATGCTTACAGATGCCGACCAGATCGCGCTCGCCTGTGCGCGCCTCATCGCCGACCCGGCGAGCTTCGTCTTGTTCGCCGCGGACAAGCAGGCGATCACGTCGCTCGTAGCGTTCAACGCCGGGGCGTTGCTGGGACGCATCGGCGATCGCATCGGCGCGCGCACTCGGCTGTGGCTAGTCGCTGGGACCCTGGCGCAGGCGCTGCTCCTGCTCATCGCCGCCGTGTGTGTGCAGATCAGCGGGGAAGCCGATGTCGCGCCGGACCGAGGGACGCCGAGCTGGACGGGCGGATGGACCGCGACAGCCGTGGCGCTCATGGCGGCGAGTTTGGGAGTGCAGGGAATCATGGGGAAGCGGCTAAACACGCATCTGAGCACCACAGGTGAGTGGGCTAGCCATCTCGCGCCCTCTGACTATATCTCATCACTAGAAAGCGTCGCCCTTGGCGACCGACAGCCTTGCTTGAGTGGGACACAACAATTCCGAAATTGACCAGTAACTACATTACAATCACGCCGTTCTTTTTCTTTCTCGGGCTCTCGTCCATCTCAGGCACCGCACGGCGCTTCCTTGGGCTCGGCGGCGCAGCGCCCTTTGCCTCGATGATAGGTGAATATATATATATATAGTGGTACATCTCAAAAGGCTGCCGGCATACATTCTGGTAATATTCAAGAGCACAAGAGCGGCGCGTCTTTCCGGTCTGCCATCAGGTGTCCTCCCGATACAGCCAGAGAAAGCGACGTACCCGGTCAAATCAACGCTGAACACAGAGACGAGTGTTACATCACGACACGAGGGTGTCGGAAGAATGCGGGACAGGGACATCGGATCAACATGGCCATCACAAAGTAATTATGAGTGTGGAGAGTGCCTTGACAAGCAAGGCAACTCATCGTGCCAAGTGGTGCTTACGACGCTCTGGATCGAGCTCGTCACGGACCCTCAGCTGTTCCACCTCCGCAAGGTGCCCAGTCGAGACCGGAGAGTCACCGGACTGTTGTGGTTGTTTCTGGGCGCAGTCACCGGTCGCACCATGTTGGACTGGATTGGCAGTCCGGCGTCCTTGGCGTTTGGTTGCTTGCTTCGTATAGTGGTCGCGGGAGCGTGGTGTCTGGTGCCGGGCCCGAAACACCAGGACACAATGGATGAAGCAGGCAATGCAGGGCAGGGTGGGGCCAACTGAACTCTTGCAAGGGTATGATCGAGGCGAAGACGGCAGAAGGTCGCGTTTCATATTGTAGACTACTAAGACGCTGTATGTAATCTATGCCGGACAACTCGTAGTGCACAATCCTGGAGTAAGAGTCAGCGAGAGGTAAAAGCGAAGAAAGGGCCCTCAGTCAAAGATACAGTTGTCCTTCACGAAGAGTCGGACATATGCTTGTTTAGAAAAAGCATCGTTGGGCGCGAGAAGAGATATGGGGAAAGCGACTCACCACACACGAGCCGTCCCATGGAGCGTTCCCATTCCGCCCTCAGTCCTCACACGAGGTTTGATAAGACTGCACACAAAAAAGTCAGAACCCAATCACAAAAAGGGAGGCATGACGAGGAATGGAGGTCAGTTGGTGATGCATGTTACGAGTGTGGATCATCGACGTATCGTCACCAACTCGGAAGATGGAGAGGATCATCATCCATGAGAATAGAGGTTGTACTCACCATAAACGGGTTCCAGCAAGTAACCAAAACGTATCGAGAGATTTTATAGGGCGAAAATCACGGTCTGTGACGCTGTGCAGCTTGTCACGTGGTATACCCTTATATAATGCACGGTAACGAGTGAAGGATTTCGTGTTCATCTCAGCCACGACGTCCTGAAGGGTGGTTTGTAGGTCTTCGATTTCGTGGCTCCGAGGTAAGCCTTTTCCTCTCAAACCACTAGCTCCTGCGCTTCCGCTTTTCGCATGATGTTACAATCAGTTCTGCTTCCGAACGAGAGCAATCAACCTCTTGTGGACAACACTTTTACCAAAAAACTTTTTCTGATTCCTTTATCGCTTGGTCCTCGTTTCCCACTGTTGCTGACGATGTTTCTCTCACAGCTGACACTCTTCCGCCATTCACATACCTCATTGTTATTGCACAAGGTGAGCATACACGTTCCATTGCCTCTCCCTTCCCACCACGACGAAAACTAAGTTCATCCATTCGTTGAATGCCTGCGGTGTGATCTTGCTTCAGGCGCCCTCCTGCTTCGGCGGGATGCGTACGCTCTGCTCCGTTCTGGAGCAGTGTCGGCGGTGTCTGTTGCTCGGGAGCTCGCAGGAAAAAGAAAATACCGGCTTCTCTGACTCCTCTTCATCGAAGTCTGGAATGTAAACTGACATCATTCCTCAGGTCAGTTGGTCCCGCGGATTAAATTTTGAGTCTGTGGTTAGACGTAGTTTACGTCGTTCCTGCAATATACTTGTTTCTAGCCATGTTGCCTAAATGACGAGGTCTAGTCTATGGTAGACTGACATCCTGAGCATTCGCTTCCTCAAATAATCGCTTCCGATGGATACTTCGCCACGGCCAGCGAGTAGCCGGCTGCCGCACATATGGGACATTCAGGAACACCTGATAACACTCAACGAGCATGTTGACGTAGACGACGCAATATTAGCTTCCAGGTTCTTGACTCCTGCCACCACCACCATGGAGAAGGGTGTTGCACACCCCTCATTCCTTCTGCCCGTCCAGAACGTGCAGGCGCCGAAGCCCAAGCGCCAAACGCGCGCCAGAGCCCTGCGACTCGCGCTCGTCGCGCTCGCAGCGCTCTCCGCTACCTGGACGTACCTCTCGCTATCGCACTCCCCGTCCCATGCCGTCGCCGTGCCCATGAACGCGCAGAGTGTGCTCGCGCACTGTGCTGCACTCAAGCTGACTCCGGGCCCGCCAGACGACTTCCACTCGCGCACCGTGTCGGACCGTTTCCAGAAGGGCACGAAGGCGACGCTGATTAAGAACGCGACGATCTGGACCGGTGCTGAGGACGGACACGAGATTGTCTATGGCGACATCTTGCTCGATAATGGTATAATCCAGCAGGTCGGGGAAGTTGATGTCAGCGCGTACAAGCATGTGTCGGTGCTCGACGCCGCTGGCGCTTGGGTCACACCTGGGTCCGTCACCGGTTATATCAGCGTGTTCCAATGCTGACAATCTGCTGCAGTATTGTTGACCTCCACTCCCATCTCGGAGTTTACAGCGCTCCTGCTTTGGAGGGTGCGTCGGACGGCAACTCGGTTGCGGGTCTCACACTTCCTTGGATGCGGTCCTTGGACGGTCTGAACACGCACGACGACGCCTACCGCCTGTCTATTGCCGGAGGTGTGACCACCGCGGATGTGCTTCCCGGAAGCGCAGATGCTATCGGTGCGTAATACCCTCTGTTTGCAGATGATCATCGGTAATATTGACTGAATCTTTGGCATACTAGGTGGACAAGCGTTTGTGATCAAATTGCGCCCTACGGCGGAGCGTTCGTCATCCGCGATGCTTCTCGAGCCTCCCTTCACGCTCAACGGGACGTTCGTCGACCCTACGAAACGTCCCCGCTGGCGCCAGATGAAGCACGCCTGCGGAGAGAACCCGTCCCGTGTCTACTCGGGAACCCGCATGGACACACAATGGGCTTTCCGCCAAGCCTACGAGACTGCGCGCCTCATCAAGGAGAAGCAAGATGCGTTCTGCACCAAAGCTGAAGCAGGCCTATGGGCCGGGCTCGGTGACTTCCCGGACAACCTTCAATGGGAGGCGCTGGTCGACGTGCTCCGCGGTCGCGTCAAAGTCCAAAACCATTGTTATGAGGCGGTTGATTTCGACGGCATGATTCGAGTATGCTGGCCTTCACCGTTCCTGCTTGCCATCGGACCCTGACATCTGCACTCTAGCTCACCAACGAGTTCAAGTTCTCGATCGCGACTTTCCACCATGCTCGTAAGTTCCTCCGCCATCTACAGTGGATACGAGCTGATCTGCACTCAAAGACGAGGCGTACTTGGTTCCTGATCTGATTAAGAAGGCTTACGGCAAACCCCCTGCGATCGCGATTTTCGCCGGGAACGACAAGTACAAGCGTGAAGCCTACCGTGGCTCGGTGTTTGCACCACGCATCCTGGCTGACAACGGTCTCGATGTGGTGATGAAGGTAAGCACATTGGCGCGGGTAACTGGGATGCGATTGTGTGCTGACCAAATGAAGAGCGACCATCCTGTCATTGACTCGCGGCATCTCATCTACGAGGCCCAGCAGGCGCACTACTACGGCCTGCCTGCCCATTTGGCACTCGCGTCTGTGACCAGTGCGTCTGATCTTGTTCATTTGATACGGAGCGAAATCTCATCTAGGGAACAGCTACTCCGACCAAAGCAATGGGGATGGAACACCGGATCGGCAGTCTCATTGCTGGATTTGACGCTGGTGAGTTGTCATATTTGCACTTCTCCTGGTCATTCTAAATACTGGCTCAGATGTCGTCGTTTGGGACAGCCACCCGCTGACTCTGGGAGCAACGCCCTCCCACGTGTTCATCGACGGTATCGCCCAGCTCGAGAAGCCACACATTCTGGTCAAACCCAAGTCGTTCCAGAAGGTCCCGGCCACGCCCGACTTCGAGAAGGAGACCAAGGCCGCGATCGAGTACGAGGGCCTGCCTCCGCTGGAGCCCGTTAAGGCGAAGTCGGATGTGGTCGTGTTCCAGAACGTCGGCAGCATCTTCTCGAAGGACCAGTCGACGCGCCGGATCACGCAGATCTTCGGTGCGGCCAGTACTGCTGAGCAGACATCTGTCGTGGTTGAGAAGGGGCAGATCGTGTGCACTGGGAACTGTGCCGTGGCGCAAGATGCGGAGTATATCGACCTGGAGGGAGGCAGCATCACTCCCGGCTTCATCACGTATGGCAGCGGGCTTGGACTGTCGCATATCACCGACGAATGTGCGTCGTGTTTGTGGTCTTGAAATCCGGGGAACTCATAGTAATACATTCTCAGATTCGACGGTAGATGGTAATGTCCTCAACCCTTTGGAGGACACCATCCCCGATATCGTCTCGAGCACTGTCATCAAGGCTGTGGACGGTCTCCTATTCGAGACCCGGAATGCGCTCACTGCTTATCACGCCGGTGTGACGGGTGCCATCACTGACCCAGTCGGCGGATTCCTGACTGGCTTGGGAACCTACTTCAGCACCGGAGCCGCCCACAAGCTCTCCGATGGGGCCATCATCCAGAGCGTCACCGGGCTGCACGTCAAGCTGTCGATGTCGGCTGGGGCCAGTGTCAGTACGCAGGTCGCAGCTCTCCGCCGCCTGTTGCTTGGAAAGGGAAAGGGGGACATTGGTGAGCAGTTCAGCCAGGTCACGGACGGGAAGATCCCGCTCGTCGTATACGCCGAGAGCGCGGATATCATCGCGACTCTGCTCGTCCTGAAGAAAGAGGTGGAGGCCAGCACCGGCAAGGCGTTCAAGCTGACCATCACTGGCGCCACCGAAGCGCACCTGCTCGCAAAGGAGCTCGGCGCGGCGGGTGTCGGCATTATCCTCAACCCGCGGCCGTTCCCGGGTCTCTGGGAGCAGCGCCGTGTGCTGGCCGGCCCGCCGCTGACGCACCGAAGCGCGATCGCCACGCTCGTGTCGCACAACGTGACCGTCGGGATCTCGACCTTGGAGCCCGCGCTGGCTCGCGGCATTCCCTTCGACGTGTACTGGGCCGGCATCGAGGCGGACGGGCTGCTGTCCAAGGCGGAGACGCTGGCGCTCGGCTCGTCGAATCTCGAGACGCTGCTCGGTGTCACCGAGGCCAGCACGGATCTCGTGGCACGGAAAGGAGGGGACGACTACGAGGGCAAAGTGGTGGCGATTATCTCGGCGAGAACGAGCACGGTGGACCTGGTGTAAAAATGGAAATAGGATGCGTTTCGTTTCAACCCTTCGTGAGAGCTGCTGAGATTCAACTCATGAGGTCGTTCAGTTAGTGATGCAGTCTTAGTGATGATGATGATTACGCGTGTCTGGTTTGGTCCGCACACGCGACGACCATGTTCCATCTCAACCTGCTTGGCGGCATTCTCCATCATTCATAGAATAAGCAACCAGATGTTCCATGAGTGCATCCATTTTCTCACACATCGGGGTCTATAACCACATCGCTGGAAGTGCAAGCCACCGCCGACCCCAAAATCTGTCTGCACCGGCAGATCGCAGCAGCGATCGACCCCAGAACCCCAGATGCCCTTGCAGAGGAGACGCAGCTGCATGCGCCTTGCCAAGACCATCCGAGAGACCTTCCCTACAGCACGCCTTCTGGTCCCCCTCCCGCCAAGAGAGGCATCGATCCTGTGCGAGAAGCAGGCTACTTTTGGCTCTGTCGTGCGAATCAGGCCAACGCAGCTGGCAGCCGCTATGTACGCTCGCTCTTCGACTTTCCTCTTGCGGACCGCCAAGCCAACGTCATCTGCATTGCGCAAACATCTCCGTCGTCTCGGTTCTCCTGGACTGTCCCCGGCGCGTCGGGGCTCTGGCCGGTCGGACGGGCAGGTCTGAGGCTGGGCTCGGAATGCCTAATGCGAGCGCCTTCGTTGGTAGCGGTCGCTCGTCGCGAGAAGCTGAGGAAGACGATGTGATGGACGAGCACGCGAAGGCCCATGTGATGAACGCTGCCCCCTGTAATCGTTCCTGCGCACCAATCAGCGAGGCCCGGTCGTTGATGCGCAACAGACAGATCTCACACACAACACAGCTTGACTGCTCCCCTGGTAGCTTAGCACCACATGAATGTGGCTTCCTGAGCGAATGAACTATCCGATAGTAGGCTTTGTTCTGGATTGGGAGTGTTTCTTGCCGTGTTAACGCCGGACCGGTGGGCACCCCCGGCGCTTGTCCGGATTGGGAGACAAAGTTTTTGTGGGTGCAGATGGGTCCTTCGAGACATTGTTCGCTTCCCCCCCCCTCTCTTTGACGCCACTCACTGCAGAGGAACCGCCCTCCTAGTATGCGCCAGCGCACACTGCATTCCATCGCTCCTAGACCGGCACCTTTATCAGCACCCACAAACTTTTATCCCACCCAGCCCGTCCGGAAGCGTGAAATCATATGAAATCTCGATCGGCGCACGAGTGTGTGTGCGCGTGTGTGTGTGATGCGCGCTAAAGAAAGCAAGGTTCGGAGACACACGCACACGCGCACACTGCTCATTGTCTGGCTGCTTCCATCCGGGGCTACGAATCCGCCTGCAGACACCGCTCCTTGTTCTCGTTTGGGACTGCCGGTGTTGTTTTGTCTCCAGCGCCATTCCATTCCATCCTGCTGTCGTTCTGATGTTGATGACGATGCATTCTATCGCCACGATCAGGCCTCTGGGGTCCGTCCGCTAGCCCCATTTGCGCGGTGCTGTGACGGGGTGTGGGTCCTCTGGGAGAAGATTGTGCTGAACGCGGATGGGTGCTACATACTAGGACGGACGCAAGGGGAAGAAAGGTTCCCAGGATCGACATCGTGCTTGTCCGTTTTCGGAGAGGTGATGATGCGCCGAGGATTTCTCGCCGTCTGTCTCGTTCTCTCGCTCTCTCCCGGTCCAGCCTGGGGTTCTTTGGTGACTACGCTTAACTGCTGAATACGGGTGACATGCTCATCTTTTGTTCCCGGACTTTATATAAGAGGCTCGATGTACGTCAGATCCTATTGTCTCTCTCCGCCGTTCCTCTTCTCCGTCTGCTGTCCGTCTGCTGTTCATCTGCTGTCCCCCGTGCTTTCTTCTCTGCTGTCTGTGTATTATCTGTTGCGTTTCCGTGCATCATGCCCCGCTCGCCATCATCTCCCCGACCGCATGCTTCGGTGAGTCTCGGGCCGGTATGCCCGCCGCGTCTCTCCACTGACGACCCCTGCTCTCTCCAGACGTCCGACGTGAATCCTCTTCCTGGCGCGAGCCTGCTGTTCCAGACGGCTGAGGAGGGGCTGTCCGCGAGGGCCGCGGAGTGGGGCGACGAGGGTGGGGTGCGTTGCCAGCTCGATTGGAACATTCGGGTGATGTCTGATATATACATACTTTGTACAGCCGCCGCCGCCGCCGCAGGGGCGTGCTATCGGCGCCAGCCTCAGGAGGAGTGCTCGAAACCCCGTGCCCAAATTTACCCACGGTGGCCCCCAACCCCGGATAGCAGGAACCAAGGTATGCTTCCATTCCATTTACACATCGGGGCTATCTTTTTGTGGTGCTGATACTGCGGTCACGGTAGAGCAGTAGTGCGTCGTCGTCGTCGTCCGTCCGTCGACCGAAGACGCGCCAAGACGCCGCGATCCCCGGGCCATCGTCGAAGCCCGTCAAACCACCTGTGAGCCGGCGTGACCTCCAACTGATGCGCGTCTGAAATATACTTTCCAGGCCGGCGGTGAGATTATGGTGTGTGTCCATCGCCAGGAACGCGTGCGAGCTGTGATAATGGGGCCCCAGAAATCGGTCGAGGCCGAGCCCGTGATCCCGGCGCAGATGGGCGGCCGATACGCGCAGACGGCGGGCCATCCAAACGGCCAGCCGCATGCTCCAGGGGTGAGTGACACTTCTTCGAGCATCGTAGCCCAGTGCCACAGCCTCCATATCGATCGCTGGTATAGCTTCTGCGCGCAGGGACTGCGCCGACCACCCGCCGCCACCCGGTAGGCGTTCTGCGCCGCTCGGGGCCTCCGTGTCCGCATCAGTCACTCACTCACTGCGCGCGACTCTGACAGGCCGCGGGGGAACCCGACGCGCGGCCGCTCGCGCTGTCCCGGATGTTCAACGAAATCGTCGCGTCGGCGAGCGCGGAGACGACACGGTGCATGCAGTGCATGTACGACATCAAGATCGAGAGCCGGCGGCGTATCGCGCGGGTCTACCCGCCGCTCTACGCGAGCTACGCGCACGGCGCGCGGCCGCAGATCCCGACGCTGGTCCCGAGCCGCCCGGGGATGTCGGTCATCGCGTTCCGGCCGATTCTGCAGCCGGAGACCGCGATGTACGGCGTCGCGATGATTGATATCCTCGACTTCAAGGACGTGATGCAGGACGCGCGGGCGGTCGTGCTCAGGGGCAGGAAGGATATCAATCTTACTATAGAGGTGCGTGGAGGACAGACGCGCGTGTGGATCCCCCTCGCTCACAAAGCAATCCCTCAGATCGCAGGCTTCCCGCCGCTTGCCAAGCAGCTGGCGAGCAACTGTGAGCACCGTCCGGTCACGCGCTTCAATCTCGCGTACAGCATCGCGGAGGCGTTCCTGGGCCACTTCATGGCGAGTGTCCTTGGCACCCAATAGCAGCTTCCTTCTGACGCCGTTCCGCTTGCTCATTCCAGGGTAACAAGTTCAACGAGAAGCTCGCGGCCAACTCGCCCGGTGTGCATGCGCGTGCGATCACCCAGCTGCGTCTCGTGAGCATCTATACGACGGACAAGGTCAACTATCGCGCGCATCTGGCTTACGTGCTCTGAGTTTTTGCTGTCTATACTTGCGCGGAACAATACAGATCGACAACTGATCTAACTACTATGATATGCTTTGTAAATTATCAGAACCAAATGAGCTGTAGTCTTTTATGCTCGTGCCTCGTACCGGCCTTGATACCAGTGACCGTCACCGTCTGATTCTCTGCCAACGCCGTAAACTCGCAGCGACTGCATCGAGGGAGGCGTGCGTTCCCGTGCAATAACATCTCTCTTGTGGCCAATACACTGATACAGGTCACACCAGCGACATGGCCAGCCAGTTGTCTCGACAAAATACTCGGATCCAGATGGAGTAGTGTCGGTGCTTATGGGATCTATGTATTCCCGACGGCACGTGCTATCTCCTCGATAGTGTAGCGGTTTAACATAGGTGCCTTTCACGCACTTGCCCGGGGTTCGACTCCCCGTCGGGGAACGTTCAACTGCCGTCTTTATTTTTTCAGCGATCTGATAATTAGCATCGCTAAAGTTGCCAGGAGCTCAGCACGTTGACAATTGACCTCCTCTGATATATTTGTTCAACCTTACACTTACGCTTCCCGGCCCTTGGATATATGCATCCCCTTACCCAGAGCCAAGGCTGACCCACCGAATGCGACAGACATATCCTCCGTTGGCTCTGGGGCTTCTCAACAAAGATCCCCAGAATAGAAGTTGAACAAAATCGAGTGATGTCATAAACGCGAACACAACCCAAACAACGACAAAACATCTAATCTTAACCACGAACCACGATGTCTGACGGCCCGCGGCGCTCTGCGCGTAAACCCAAGCCGGTACAGCGGGAAGAGCCCGAGCCCGCATTGCCCGCAAAGCGCAAAGCGAAAGCCGCTCCCAACCTGGATCCTGCGAAGCAGCTGCAATTCCTGCTCGAAAACTCGCGCAGCAAGCTGACGAAGATCGACCTTTCCGTGTGTCTCTTTCTACAAACGAAATGATTCGCATTTTAGCGGTGCTGAACAGTCTTGGCATAGCAAATCGTGAACGGAGAGTCCTGGGATATGCTGACACCGGAGGCACGTGCCAAGCTCGTTCAGCTGTTGCCGCAGACGGCGCTCCTGCCATCATCCGAGTCGGACGGACCCGAGAGATTGGATCCCGCATTCTTCAGCGACGCGCATTTCCTGGCGGCGTGCAGGACCTTCCAGGACCATCTGTACTCGAACTGGTTCTCTGAGGCGCAGATCGCCAAGGTGAAGAGGTATGAGGAGGGGGTGAGAGACGGGACGTTGTCTGCGCCCTGGAAGGACGAGGTGTGGGAGGAAGAGAACCGGAGGGAAGGCCCTTCAAGTACACTCGCAGGGTGTGTGGTGCGCTGATGATTTCGAGTGACCCTTGTTCGAATCATCTGGCAGCGATGCGGCCGAGTTCAAACTCGTGGATCTCGTGAAGAGCGGGGTCTTGAAGGCAGGCGACGTGCTCGTGTACAAGCGCAAATTCACGGCCCTGCGTGTCACCGTCGAAAAGGATGTTCTGGCATGTCTTTTTCTCTTAATCTGCGCGACTGATCTGCGCCTCGCTGAATGCCCTCAATACTCAGATCCACAGCATTGATAAGGGCACACACAACTTGACAGTTTTATTGGAGTCCGGCACGACGCGGGATCTGAGTCAGCATCTGCTCATGCCCGGCGCGGCCGAGCCTCAGGCCGACTCGACACGCGAAATGACCATCGCCAGCCCGACCCAGCTCGAAAGCGGGATACTGGATGTGGACGGTAGAGTCGGGCGAGCCCAGCGGCCCAATGGGAATGCATGGAAAGCACTGTCCGTGTGGAGATGGGCGGGGGACAGTTGGCAGATGGAAGTGGCTGCCAGTGATCGTGGTGGGCGGCAGGACCACGGGACATTGTTCTACTTGCGTGCGTGCCATTATCAAGATAGATAGATACTTGTACACGCAGACTTGATCGCCGCCGACATTGGAGGCTCTCCTTATCCTCGGATCGACCGCCTCACAAAAGACGCCGACTGCTTATTGTGCCATGTGTTCGGCTATTGATCGAGTCATTTATAGAGCTGCCTTGAATCTCGACCGTTCACTTGCGCCTTGGGCGGCTGCCGGCTATGTCTGTCTCTCCCCCGATTCGTCGTCTCTCCACAGGCTCGGCGACCAAGGAAGAGCTCATCAACGCCTACGAGGCTGAGGAAGAGCGCATCACCAACGTGCTGTACAAAAGGCTAGAGCAGGTGCGTGCGTCGCATCCCGTCAGGCATCACTGTGTCCCAGATTAAACGCGCGTCCCCCTCCCAGCTCAAGGAAGAGAAGATCGAGCTCGAAAACACACTAGAGGCCGAATCCGAGTCGCATGTGAACCGACTGACGAGAGAGCTCGCTGCCCTGCGCGCGGACCGCCAACAGCCGTCGAGCTCGGCACTTCCGCTGTCACCGGCCGACCCATCGACGGACGCTATGATCGCTACCCTGCAGCGGGAGAACGAGATGCTGCGCTCGAGGCTCGCGGACATGGAGAGAGAGAACGTGCATAGCTCGCGGCTGAGCGAAGTTTATCGGGAGGAACTCATAGAACATCGGACTCGGGTACGGGCCTAAGGTTTTCCTTTTGCTTTAATAACCCTGTCTCAATCACCCAAGCTGGGGCTTCCCGTGGACCACCTGGTCAGTCCCGCCGATCCCTTCTCTGAGCCAACGCACCAGCGGCCCCCATCCGCGACATCGTCGGCGTTCTCCTCCAGCACCTCGTCCCCCACCAATTCCGTCTTCCGCTACTCGCGGCCGTCAAACGGGGTGCCCATCCCTCGACCGGCGTCACAATTTCGGCGGCAGGACAGCCACGACACATCGGATGTGTCCACGCCTCTTTCCCATTCGCCGTCGTCCGCCTCCGACGTGTTCTCGGGCTTCTCGTCGTCCTCCTCCGCGAACGCCGTCAGCGCGAGCTTCGCCAGCGTCAACAGCGCGCTGACGAGCCCCCCGACGTCGTTCAACCCCAACGCCGTCACGTTCGCCGTCCCGTCGCGCGGGCTGACGTACCCCTCCGTGCCCCCGCCGTCGCTGTCGTCGTCCTTCGGGTCCCCGACCGTGTCGTACCACATGCAGCAGCACCGCGACCCGCTGCACTCGCCCGTCGAGCCGCCGAGCCGCCGCAGCTCGGTCCGCCGCGGCGCGCGCGTCGTCGAGTCGGGCAGCCTCCGCGGGACGAGCCGCAGTCTGAGCCAGGGCCGCAGCGTGGAGCGCGGGGGACGGGTGGCGGAGACGGGGCAGCTGGTGCCGCGGAGCCATGCGGAGGGACACACGCTGGCCTCCACGACCGAGGTGGACGGCATCGAGGTGGACGGCATCGATGAGTGACGACGCGCGGTGGGTCGGTCTGCTCCTTCTCTGCGCTGGGCTTTCTCAACAAATGTACTGTATATTCAATAATTCTCTCGTAGACCGTCCTGTACTTTTAGTTAATCGACCGCCGCCACTTCACCCCTGGATTCGTAGGGACTTCACCCATTTGGGATGTGGCGGTGCCACCTCGTGGTGATTGATGGGGATGATGATGGGGGTAGCACATGGCCGCGGAGTCTGAAAAAATGACTCCCTATAAAGCCCGCTTTGATCCCGAATTGAAATTTGCTTCTGACCATGTCTTACTTCCAAGGCCAAGGTGGTCAATATACCGATGATTATGTATCACAGTCTCCGAGAGAGCAGCCGCCGCCCTTCCCGCAGTGGGAGCAGCAGCAGCAGCAGCAGCAGCATCAACAACAAGACCAGCATTCCCAAGACCCGACATCCCAGCAGCATACGACGCTTGAGCATCATCATGTTAGCCCCCAGCACGCCAGTACACCGTTGTCTATTCCGCCTCCGCCATTACCAGTATACCACCCATTGGACGACCCGACTCAGCTAGTAGTGCCCAGCCACGTCCCAGGACGCGGGACGCACGATCCCACGCCTATCCGGCTTATCCCGGCCCAGCGCTCACCGCCAGTAGAAATCAAACCTATCATGCTACAGGTCGACACCACCGCCACCACCACCGCCCGCTCGACAGCAGCGCCCAGTGCACGGCCGGCCTCGCGCGCGCGCGCGCACCAGTACCACCCGTATACCCGCCCCTCGAGCGCGATGGGTCTCCGGCGCGACGCGGAGGCGCAGCAGCAGCACCACCACCACATTCGGTTCGCGAGCCAGGCGAGTACCCCGCAGACGCTCTCTGGATCGGCGATGCCCTCGCCCGTGATGACGCGGCAGACCTTCCCGTCGCCGCCTGCCGTCAGGTGCGCGGTTCCGCCCGTGTCTGCGCGATTGTAGTTCATGCACTGTCTAGCGATTACGGCCAGCAGGGTCCATCGTCGTCGTCGGTGCTGTTCGTCGCTGGATCGCCGCAGGACGGGGGAGGGGGTGTCTTCACACCGTACGTCTCGGCCGCGCCTGCCGTCCTCCCGGACGACAAGCGGTACATCATCCGCGCGGACACGCACTACGACTCGGACCGGCGCATGCTCGTCGCGCTGCTCGAGCTGCCCGGCGTGAAGCGGCACGACGTGCGGGTGTGCATCACGACGACGCTGTTCAACCGCGTGCGGCAGGTGACCGTGCACGGGCACTCGCGCGCGCCGTTTCCGGTAACCTCGACGGCGGCCATCCGCGAGCGCAAGTACGGGCGCTTCAGCCGGTCGTTCCCCGTGCCGCCCGATACCAGGGTGCGTCGTTTTTTGCTCCGCGTCTGGGACGTCTCACCGTTTGTCGTGTGTGCCATGCCAACGCTCCCTCCCCGGCAGGCGGACGACATTGTAGCGGCGATGGAGGATGGGGTTCTTACTTTGAAAATATCATGTGGCCTGCCGGCTGCTTCAGCTGATGAGCATGAGATACCCATTCGATGAGAGCGCCTGAAGACGACAAGGACAACATCCGTCTGAGCATCGCGGTAACAGACAGCATCCTAATTTATCACTATCCCCCCCGGCCTATTCTCCCGACATATGTCTATCCAGCAACCAACACCGACAGAACGAAACGAACAATGTATATCCAGTCTAAGTACATTCCACCCCGCGTATAATTTCTTGTTGTGCTACCGACCCTTTCGCCACCCGCCGCGCTCTCCGCCGCGCTCGAACCGAATCGTACAGTATGCAGCACATTTCTTTTCTTGGCACACCGCAGTCTTGCTTTCCCGCAGAGTCATGTCATGTACATAGATAGATACCGAGGCTAGCGTCGACTTTGCAGCAAATGTATACCATCCTCTTCTTGGCTGCCCTCGTCGCATGACTTTTTCAATGTGATTTAAGCGCGTGTGTCACATTCACGTGCCGACGTGACGGCTGTTCCGTACTCTACCGGGAAGTGTGGCCCCGGTGAGTTGGGATAGGTCTGAGTGCGAGCACTGCAGCGTCGATCCGATTGTTGAAGCATCTGCGACGAATGATAGGGTATGCCGCGCAGTAGGTCGATATTCAATCGTGGCTAAGCGTCCTTGGCAGTCGCCTGTCGTCTCCAGTCCCTTGTTGTTTCTTTGCGGTTGAAGAATGCAGCTACTTTGATGCTGACGCTTCAGAATACTCGCATGTATAATTTCTACATATCGCAGGATATATCACATGATGACCTCATTCGGAGGACTGATTACAATTAGTATGAGACATAGACTGATTCTCGTCAAGCACGAGCTGGCGAACGCGTCTCGACGGAGCAATCGAGCGGATAGCCCGAGTGCCTACTCAGGTAACAAGATGCCGATTGGATGGTACACGTAAGCCAGAGCTCCTCAAAGTTCAAGCGCAAAGTTCATGATCAGATCGCCCGCGAATCGACTCCTGATCCGGCGGGAGCTCAGACGTAAAGGAAGTGGCGACGGAGAGGATGCTCGTGAACAGACTGAAGTGACTCAGACTGAGCACGGACGGGTGCAGCTCTGCATCCATCGTCGAGCTCTCACCGCCGGAACAAACCACCACCGCCCGCTCGTCTCTCGACACGGCGGCGTCGGCGGCGAAGCTCGGCACAGCGAGCACACCGCGGCGCATCTCCGCGAGACTCGGTCTGGCTGTGGGCTCCGGATGGAATACGCGGCACAGCAGGTCCACCAGCGGCCGGGTGAGACGCAGCGTGCGTTGCAGATACGCCGCGGGATCGGCGCTGAACGCGACGAACCGCGCGTCCGAGCCGTCTGCGCACATCCACGGATACCGGCCTGTGACGATGTTCACCAGCACGACGCCCAGCGCCCAGAGATCCGTCTGTCGCGTCGAGTACACGTCCGCGTTGCAATCGACCCGCAGGCATTCTGGCAGCGACAGACATACATCATCATCATCAGCGCAGGCGAGGGTGGCATGAGAGCAGCGCGCAACACGCACCGGGACTCATGTACGCGCGGCTCCCGCACCGGAACTGGCCGGACCTCTCGCTCGTCGTCGCAAGCCCAAAGTCTGCGAGCCGCACGCGGCCGTCCGCGCCCAGCAGCACGTTCTGCGGCTTCACGTCCCGGTGGAACACACCCGCCGCGTGGCACCCCTGCACCGCGTCCAGCAGCTGCACGAACGTCTCCCGCACCCGGGCCCGCCCCGGGGGTACCGCCCCGGCCGCCGCGGTGATCGCCTGCAGCAGATCGCGCGCGCACAGCTCCAGCACGAGCGTCCCCGGCGGCGCCGCCTTCTCGTCGAGGAACCCCGGGACGACGCGCAGCACGCCCGGCACGTGTGCGACGCGCGCGTGCATCGCGCGCTCGTGCTGCGCCAGCGCCGCCGCGAATGGCCCGTGCAGGCACTTCACGGCGCACGGCGCGCCGCCGTCCGTGCGCGCCGCGCGGTAGACCCGCGCGAAGCCGCCCTGGCCGATGCACGCGAGGAGGCGCAGCCGGCCGTGCGCGATGCGGGTCCCCGTGAGGTCGGGGAGCGGCTGGGTCTGGGATTGGGACTGGGGCTGGGGGCGCGGTCGCATGGGTGGGAGTGAGGGGCCTCGAGGTCAACTCGGGCAGTGCAGGGTCAGAGAAGAAAGTGGGTTAGCAAGAGGCTGATTGTGATGTGAGGCGAGTTGTGCAGTGGCCGAGTGGCTCGACTGGGCTGAGGCCGTCCCCAAAGAACGCCTTTATATGCACAAAGCACGCATCGCACGGCAGATAGCCAAAGAAGCGCACCCCAGATAGGCTCCACGGGATCTGCGCTGCATTGCGCACCGGAGAAGCGCCCGCGGGGGAATAGAGAGGTGCGATCATGAAGGTACTCGAGAGTCGCTCCCGATGAATTGGGCAATCGCGCGCCGGGAAACGGGACCCCATCGTGGAGGACACATTACGTCTCGATGCGGCGTAGACGCGGCATATACCTGACAGCGGCCGTAACTTGCAACATGGGAGTCGGTCGGTGGGGCATAAATATACATTGGGACTCGGATTTGGTTGTTGAATGATCCGGTGGCTGTGTCGATCGGGTGCAACGTTTGTGTGTGCCGTGGACACGGCGATACTGTGGACTCTGTGACGACACGGCATCCCTTGTAGGTTCGAGTAGCCCGTTCTCCACACGATGACCCCGTAAATCAAGGCCTTCAGATGTGTGCATGCACAAACAGTCGCCGCGCTGCCATCACAGAGCGTGCCTTGGTACGGAACTTGACTAGTGGGTATCGTGTTCCCAGCTTCCAAGGCCATCGAATGGCGCCCCATAAAACTGTAAATGGCGACGCATTGCTCATACAAGAGACCTGCCTGTCGCGCATATCGTCACCTGTGGACGCTGGTATCGCGCTCGTTCCGCAAAGACGATCCGACAAACACTTGCTTGCTCTTGCTCTGACGAACGACCGGACTCAGACAACACGACGTAAGGAACGGGTGTCACCTCGCTCTCCCCGGCGGCTCTGATCTCAGGTACCTGGGGAGCCATTGGGCGTAGGAAACGAGTGCAGGTCAACAAGCTTCGAATGTCGTCTGCAGCTGCGCCGACCACGAAAGAATCGGTATCGGCCCGAGGATGGGGGAACTAATGCTTCGCATCCCAGCGGCCCTCAACATTGCTTCGAACCTTCCCAGGCCTGTCGACGGCGTATCGTCCGCTGTGACCCACACCGACTCCTCAAGTACGTATCCATCCGATCCTGACCGAAGCGCGCGGCGGGGCGCGGCGCTCAATAGCTTTCCCGTAATCGCATTCCGCTGCCTGCATATGGCCGATCCTGGCGGCGTCTGCGGGGCCACAACGAGCGCAAAAGGATGTCGTCTCCTGGAAAAACGACAGGTTCTCATCCATGACGGGTGCCCGCCCGCCCACCCGCCCGTGCAGCTGATGACTGTCCAGTCGGCTGGTTGGGCTGGGGCACGGGCCCTCACGACTGGACTGGCAGGGCACCTGCACCTGCACCTGCATCTGCACCACGGAGAAAGGATGCACTGGGACATTGACCGCATGAGAATTGGGGATATGGGGATGGAGGGCACTGCGACGTGGAAGTCGATGATACTGTAGGTTGTCTCGTGGAGTGCGAAAGTGGATCGCTGCTCCGGCTATCTTGGGATGCTCGAGCTGCCAGGGCCTGGTCCTATTTCGCTCGAAGACGAGGTTGGGAGTTTCTGTTCAATAGTCTGGAGTGTTTCTCGTCAATCAGACCGCCTCTGAGACCTTGCTCCGTGTTTTGTCACTTACCTTCCCAGAAGGTCAAAGTGGGATTCCGGATCCGACTTGGTATCTCTACCAGCAACCCAAATTCAGCACGCGCTCTCCACTCAGCATATGTATGTCATTCGTTCACGCGAGCCAGTCAGTATACATGCAAAACAAACAAAACAAAAAGCAACGTCATGTCAGGTCAGTCAGTCGGAGCTAGTAAGTAGCAGTGGGCACTAGGTAGGTAGCAAGTATTCAATCTCGCGCATCGCTGTCCGACCGGCTTCCGGCACTGCTGGGCACCCGGTGCGCGTCACCCCGTCCTTTCGAGATAGCAGGCCCGTTGCGCTCCCAGGACGTCGAGGACTCTCTGCCGTATGGCCCGCTGCCCATCGAGGGCGGCGGCAGCGGCGAGATATAGTCGATCCAGCTGTCGCCTGTAATTCCTGGCGCAGCAGCAGCAGCAGTAGCGGTATCCATGTTGTGGTTAGGATTCATATTCAAATTCAGATTCAGGCTCAGATTCGGATTCGCGGGCGGCGGCGGGTCGTCAGAGTCCATGAGTTCGCGGATGAGCGCGCGTTTCAGATCGGCATCCACATCGAGCAGTTGCCGTTTGAGCGCACGGGCACGCGTCCGTTCGTCCGTCGGCAGCGGGTCGGACAGCGACAGCGGGGGCAGCAGCAGAGCATCAGATGCGTCCGGCGATTTGGGCGTCGGGGGGCCGCGCATGGGCATGGGCGTGTCCGCAGAGTGCAGCAGCGGGTGCAGATTCGCAGGAAGCGGGATCGGGGAGTGGGGTGTGGCGGGGTCGGGGTGCATGATTGAATGTATGAAACGATCGATATGCCAGGAGGACGCACCCTGCTGGTGGTGCTGCCCACTGTTGTTCGCGCTCGTGTTGTGGCCGTGCCCGTGCCCGTGGCTGTGACCGTTCCCATGCACCGGCCAGTCCATCCCGAACGGCTGGCTGTCCAGCCGCGGCTGCTGGTACATATCGTACGGCGCGCGATACGGCGGCGCATCGAATATCGGGGGATAGTAGCCGCCGCTTTGGGCTGGCGGTGGCGCGTAAGAACCGCGATAGTGGGGGGGCGGCGGAGGGGGGAAGTCGAAGGGGAGATTGGGGATTGCCGCCGACATGGCTGATGTCGGTGGGGGATGGAAGCTGGTAGGGCTGTCCTCGTATTCTTCTTCGTCTGATGAGAGCGTCTTCATGCTCCGGCTGCCCTGCGGCACTTTCTGCTTCTTGTGCGGCGGAGATCCTCCTCGCGGGGGATGCCTCTCTGGCGCCGGTTTCGCACGCGCGGCATTCGGTGCTGCGACTGGCGGGGGCGGTGGTGCTGTCCGTGAGTCCGCCTGGGGAAGTCAGCAAGCGATCAGACGGAAGCCAGAAAAAGACGCACAACATCGCCCCTCGCGGGGGTCTTCCCTTTTATCCTCTTCGCCGCAGGGGGTGGTGGAGGTGGCGGCAGCGGTTCGTCGTCCCCGTCCTCGTCATCCTCGCCGATCGCATCGTCCGCCTTTCCACCTGCACCGGAGAAATCGCCCGACCCTCGGGAATCTCGTTCGCCGTCAAACTGCGGAGGCGTCAGCCGGCCAGCTAGCCAGCCAATCGCAATAACCCAAACGCAGGGACGCACCTCAGCGTGCCTGGCGACGATGTCCCGGATATCCTTGGACGAGTACTCGAACAGCTTCTGACTGCCAGGACGATCCTCTGGAGGGATATAAATAGACGGGAGAGAGAGAATCCGGACGATGTCCGTAAGTCCCGAGTGTCGGAGCGGAGCAAAGAATGACGCACCGAATATGATCACAGCGACGTCCACCGAACAGAGCACCCCGAGCTCGTACGCTTTCTTGAAGAGCCCGTTTTTGCGCTGCGAGAGTGGTGGAATGACGTTTTATAAGCGATTTCGCCAAGCCAATAGCACAAAAATAGAGGGAAATGAAAGAAGTACCTTTAAAAAGGTCACCGAACGGTTCCGCTCGTGCTGCACGACAAGTCAGCGTCCGCAGAGACAAAAATTTCGAGCACGGCGGCAGCGGGAGCGACCGCTGATGTCGACACGTAAAACGGAGTGTGCGACGCACGGTGATAGGCTGAATCTCGATTTTCCTCCGACCCATGGAGCGCAGAGAGACGGGGCGATGTAGAGAAGATGGCGGCGGGAGACGAAGGGAGGCAGGGCAGCTGCAGTCCGAAGCTGAGCCCTGAGTTGATGATTGGGGAAAGCAGCGGCTCCTGTGAGTATGTTATGTCGTCGTTGTTCCATCAGATCCCGGTTCGGTCTCGGACCGGCACCCCGAAGGTTGACACCCCTCATTCCAATTGACACACGTGGATCCCCTGTGCATCCTGCTTTTATAATATTCTCCTGCCAGCCTCGTGGCAGACCCCCTCGTCCCATACCTCGAGATCAGGGATATCTAACTGACATCGAGCGTTGTCTCTCCAATCTCACCAATCGGCCGAGGCTGTCCCTTAACGCCGGTGATAATCGCCGCCAGAAACCGGCCTCTCGTCACATGTCCATGCGCAGCAGGAGATGTTCGAATGAACCCGGTGTCGGCTAACTCAAAGTTCTGGAGCCAGACTTGAGCACGCTGAAGTACTCATGTCGCCAGTCATGTGCCGCCTTTTCGGGCTCCGATGGGCAGGAGCCAGCAGAACCCCAACGGAATTCACAGAATCGCAACACACTTTCCATAAATGCCAATATTCCAGAATAGGCAGCCCTCCCGCAACATACTCAATCTTCAGATCTGATGATCCCATCAATCTGGCCTGCATCAGCTTCTCAATACTTAGTTCTCAATCCTGACAAGTTTGAGCGCGGCCAGTTGCTCCGCGAGAACGGAATATTCCTTTTGCGCATCTGGCAGACATGTGTGTGTCGAGACTCCTTCGGAAACCTGTCAACGAAGGGACCTGGATTTCCGGCAGCCCCATGTAGTGTTGCCTATCTTTTTGAATTCCGCGTGCTCTTGGTACTTCATGAGATATGAGTATCGCATCACAGCCTCTCCAGCATGTCCGCGAATCTCTCCAACAGCACTCTGTTCTCCTCGGCACTGCCGACCGTAACCCGCAAGCACCCCGCGCACCCGGGCTCGTTGCCGCGGTAGCGCACAACGACGGCGTGCTCCTCCGCCAGCGCCGTGTAGATCGCCTGCGCGCGCTGCGAGTCCGGCTGCCCCGCCGCACCCGTGCCCTTCTGCAGTATCGGCACGACGACGAAGTTCGCGTCGTTCCCGCCAATGGCGCGGCCCACACCCAGCGGCGCGAGGGCCGCGAACGACGCGAGGAGCGCCGTGCGCGAGGCGTTGAGCGTCGCAACGGTCGCGTGCATTGCTGCGACTGCCGCGGGCTGCAGCGCTGCGAGCGCCAGCTGGGATGCCGGGCTCGAGATGTTGTATGGCGCTTTCGTGTTGTTGAGCACCTGGATCAGAGCCGGCTGGGCGATCGCGACACCGAGTCTGCCGTTCGTCGTAAGCGCTCAGCGTATAGCAGCTGTACACGTACCGGATACCAGCCAGCCCGAAGCTCTTGCTTAGTGTCTGCAGGACACATACATTCGCGTAATCCTTGACGAGGGCGACCGCACTGGTGCCCTCCTCCGCAAAGTCGATGTATGCTTCGTCAACGATGACGATCCCCTTGAAATCTTCAAACTCAAGCAGCTCTCGCACAACAGATATAGGGATCAGCGTCCCGGTAGGATTCCCAGGCGAGCAGAGGATGATCAGCTTGACCGTCGGATCGGCCTTCACCGCAGTCTTGATCTACACAGGCCGTCTCAGCACCAACCACCTCGAATCAAAGACAATGAACACCGTACCTCATCCACCTTAACGCTAAACCTCCCATCTGCACCACCCTCGCCCTTGTCACCACTCAGCTCCAGCGGGACCTTCACCACACCTACATCGTTAATCTGCGCACACACCCCGTACATCCCATACGTCGGCGGCGTCACCAGAACCCTCTCCGTCCCCGGCGCAACGCACACCCGCATGAGAAGGTCGATCGCCTCGTCCGAGCCGACGCCGAGGAAGAGGTACTCCGTGCCCGGCAGCCCGCGCAGCTCCGCCAGCCGCGCTTTGATCTCGGGCTGCCGCGGGTCTGGGTACCGGTTCAGCTCCAGCTTCGCTGCTGCTGGGTCCGCGTGCAGTGCGTTCCCTAGCGCGTTCTCGTTCGCGTCTAGCAAGATGCCTGTGGAGTAGTCGTCGCGGGCACAGCGGTACGGGTGGAGAGAGAGGATGTTCGGCCGGATGACATTGAGGATGTCGAAGTGTGCGGGGCCCGTTTTGGGCGTAGAGGCGGGCAAGCCGTGGATGGACATGACGGGGCGGGAGAAAGCGATTGACTGTCGAGTCAAATCTAAAATCGGCCTTATCGGACTTGATCGTCTAGTAATCGATTATCTAATCTACGAAAGATGTATGTCTGGATCTCATCTAGCACTGTATTCTATCTATTTCCGTCCAAATTGGTCTCTTCCCTTTGCGTCCTTCTTTACCCAGATACTCACACTCATGGCCGAGCACATGAAATCAGCCCATCCATCATCGCCGATAACAACCTCGCCTTGGTGCCAGCGCAAGACGTCCGTCCAAGTCTCATTGGCATGTTCCTGAATATACTTGAGAAAAGAATCCACAGCAATATTTCCTTGACATACCTTTCCAACTTCCATACGCTTCGAGCCTTCATCTCCATTACATATGACGACCGCACATCCATCTTGCCGGCCTTTCTCTGGCTCGCCCATACGGACCCACCCAAGACAGTTCATGTGATCCGAATAATCTCTAAGCTCGCCATAGGCGTACAGCTTACGAGCGCGAATAATATCGGAGAGCTGGGACACTGGCTCTTGAGGGTTTTCACCTTTCGTCCCATACAAGTCTCCCCAGAATACGCATCTGCCTTCCGTTAAGGACTTGAAACTTTCGGCGGACTAAGTCACATACGGATATCCATCTGGACGAAGCAGAATGAGCGCATACGCGAGCGGCTTGAACATCGGATTTACTGCCGATTCCAAAGCTTGACCGACTTGTGTGCTAAGCATACGGAGTCAGCAATCATCTTCCGACGAGATCGCGACACGCACTCGTGGTTTTCAACCAAGGTCACGGCATCAATCGGTCGCTTCTGGACGACTGTTCCGTCCCAGATAGCTCGCATATCGTAATCCCGCCCGCGGTCGCCAGCCTCCTTGAAATTGTAATGCAGCGGAGCATCGAAAACGCTGAACTAGAGGATATGTGAGTCGGAGCCAACGTGATGATCAATCGAACAAACCTGAGTCCCCAATCCATTTAGGTATGTCTCAAGATCATCTAGTGAATCCTTCCAGAACTCTCCAACCGCAAACATCTTCGGCTTGTTCGTCACGGATCGCACGTGTTTGACAAAGTCAGCGATGAAATCTCGGTCAATGTGCTGTGAAGGGCGATAAGCATGTCGTCGCAACATGTGTTCACCGATGGACACGCACCTTGACTGCATCGAATCGGAATCCAGCCGTGCCGAGCTCTTCGGTGATCCATTTGCCCCAGTTCAGGTAGTCTTCGCGGACATCGGGGTGCTGATGATCGACATCCGCCCCCACTGCGGATAGATTAGCTCAGAGACGCAGAATAAAGCCATTGTAACTCACTCAAATAATCATAATTCTTGTTCTCTTTATCGACCCCTTCTGCCCAGTCTTTGCCATCTCCGTGAATCTTGTAGATCGCATTTTTCTGGTTCTCCTCGTTGTAGTCGACGCCCGTGAAGTGGTTGAAATTGTATTTCATAGCGCTGTACTGTTGCAATCATCAGCACTCCTTGGTTTCGGACATATGCATGAGCAACTGACCTTGTCTCCGCGCCCAGGGAAATCTAAGCCCGTCCATCCCTTCGGTTCAAAAGCACGGCTCAGATAAGATGCTAAATTATCCAGATAGATTGCGCACCTTGATATCATACAGATCGGACACCTCCTTCGTCCGATCGTTCGAGTCCACCTCGACCGCGGCGAATGTCTCAACCTTGTCGGCACCGAAACGATGGTTCAACACAGCGTCGACGTATGAAACGATCCCGTTCTCCTGCGCCGTCTTGATCGCCTCTAGAAGCTCTTCCTTGGTTCCCCAATGTGTTCGTCGCGCGCCCTTCTGGTCGAACTCCCCTAGCAGGGTGTGAGCTAAAAGAGCCATGCCAACGAAATGGAATGCATTTTACCAAGGTCGTACAGATCATAGATGTCGTAGCCAACGGATTCGGTGCCGGCTGCTTTCGTTGGCGCTGTCGATTGAAGAGTTTACACGGGCCGGTGATTAAGGATTAAGGACGCACGAGGGAGCCAGAGTGCAGTCAGTCCCATGGACGCGAATTCCGGCACTCTCTCTGTGATCGTTTTCCAGTGCTTTCCTCCTCCCTCAGAATACCATTCGAAGGCCTGGAGCTGCGCGACGGAATTCAGCCTGCGAACCGAAGCATTTCGATGAAACAAACCATGGTATAGTTCATGTCCTTCCCCGAGTACTCTGCATTGGCGTGGCCGGACATGATTGTGGGGGAATAAAGCAACAAGGCAGAGGAGAGATAAATACGCGTTGAGGAATATAACCATCGACAGGAGCCCCTGTCGCTCTGTATGTCATCGATGACGTCACGCGTCGAGACGCGCCTAGATACGTAAGTGGATGTCAGCGAGACACTCTCACAGCCGTCCTCGTGCCCCAACATGACGCGGGGTATATTGCGCATCCCTGCAGCTCCGATTCACATCATTCGCGATGTCGTCGCACTCCTCCGTTCCGCAAGTTGACCGCGACCTCGAAGCGCAAGAGCGGGCGCAAGAGCCGAGCGCAGAGTATCACGGGCGATGGCATGTGGCCCTGCACCCTTCCGTGAAAAAGAACACGCCACGTGGCGCGCTGCCGTTCCTGCATCCGACGCACGCGACGTTGACCTCGAGCACCGGGGACAAACTGCGCTGGACCTCGAGAGACCACCGCAAGAACCGTCACGTCGTCAGCAATCCACGGAGCGGACAGCCGAGACAAGCCAAGGACGACGGGATGTGGACGAAATTTGCCAGGATGCGGAGGGTCGAGTACTGGAACATTAGTTGGTGGGTTGCTATGGTGCGTTTTCGCGACCCGGAGTTGAATGTTCGGCACAGCACACTCATTCAAACTCCAGGCTTTCACCTCTGGGAGCATCGTCTGGGTCATCAACGGATTCATCGTCTTTCTGCCCTTCGTCAACTCGCACGTGGGGAAAGACATGGTCGGCGGAGGGTGGTCGGCCTGGATAGGCGCCACGATCTTCGAGTTCGGTGGGATCCTGGCGATGTGGGAAGCGTGGAACCGCGGAGACTCGTCCGACTTCGGCTGGGGCGTTGACCAGATGCTGCAAACAGCAGATCTCAAACGCCCAGGCTCCTTGCGGTCTGATCACGGCGAGCCTCCGATGCCAGAGAAGAAGAGGTGGATCTGGTTCTCGCTAGAAGGGAAATATTTCCATGAGATCGGGTTCCTGGCTGCGTTTGTCCAGTACTGGGCTGCTACCATATTCTGGATCAGCGGGTGCGTGCCTTGTCTCCTCGGGCGCAAGAAGACGCGTTTGCTGATGCGAGGGGAAAGATTCACAGGCCTCCCTGCAATCCAGGACGCAATTACCTCGAACACCGGGCTGTTAGATGGGGTCTATTGGACCCCGCAGGTCATCGGTGGCACCGGGTTCATCATATCTTCGTGCGTCTCCCATCTCCTCCCAAAATCCCTCACCAAACGCAGGTCTTCCAAGAACGCTACTGATGATCGAAGCACAAAAGAAATGGTACCGTCCGGCCCCGAGTTCGCTGGGGTGGCAGATCGGCTGTGAGTGCTCAGCTACGTTGTTCTCCTGTTCGATTGACATGTGCTGCCCAGTCTGGAACCTGGTTGGTGGGGTGGGATTCACTTTATGCGGAGCGCTTGGCTACGGACAGAACAGCAGCACCAAACTGGCATACCAGAGCTCATGTTCCACGTTTTGGGGTGGATGGGCCTTCTTGATCGGGAGTCTGATACAGTGGTACGAAGCAGTGAACCCTGTGTAAACGATATCCTTTCTCTTTCTTTCATCGAGAGCAGTAATGCGTTGATGTGTGGGCTCCAGACCAGTCAATTTCCCTCCCAGCCAAAAGGGGTGGCTCGGTCAACAGACACGGACAATCCGAAACGTAAATGTCCGATTAGGGAAAAACATGAAGGTCGTATGCTACGCATAGTTATGTTGAAACAAATCGTAGTCTGTAAGCAAGCAGTGACATCTAGTATTGGGGAGCCTCAGACAACAGCAGGTGCCTCTTCTGCTTCTGTGGGATCTACCATCTCCTCTTCGATCGCCTTCCGCCCGGCGTCAGTAAGAGCCGAGTGCCCTTTCTCCATGCTCGCATCAAAGTAGACCGGGACGAAGCTAGAACGCGGACCATCAGAAGAAGAATTTCATCGAGTCCCAGATGAACTCACGTCTCGCCCTTGCGTTTCCTTTCTGCTGCCTCGTCACGCTGGCGCTGCTCAATGATCACCTTCTCCTTGGTCGCATCGGAGAACTCCTTGTTGAGTAGCCGAGTGGTCACAGTCTCCCACAACTTGCGACTCTCTCTCGGCTCCTGCTTATCAAGCGGGCGGACGGCCTTGGGCGTCGGGAGCAACGTCGACAGGTCGACCAGGGTGGCCCATTCCTCGTCCTTGACAGCAGAGATGTCCATGCGCGACGATGCGGCCGAAGGCGTCGACAGCGAAGTGGAGAGCGTCGCGTGAGATGGGTTCGGTGAGGAGCTGGTAGACGATGTGACTTGCGGGTAGGAGCCTGCGCCGACGCGGCGCCAACGAATACGTCCTCGCCACGACCCGTCGAAGACCGCGACGACGCGGTTCTGGGGCACCTGCTTGACCTTGGTCCATTTCTCGTGCTGTGTCTCGCCATCAACGACAGTGTGGATCACACCTTCTACGAGGTAGTGCGCCCGGCCAAGCCATGACTGGACAGCACCCCATTAGCGGCCAGCAACGGTGCAAGATGGCAAAAGCACACGCACCTCCTCCTTGTACTCGATGATCGCTCTGAACCGCTGCTTCCCTCCAGTCGTGCATGTGATGATCGTCGAGTCGGCAATGGTGACATAGAAGCTCCCCCGTAACAATCCGTTGACCGAGGCGATAGGGTGGCAGATATTGTACTCTTCTCCGGCTCCAGGGCCGCCAGTGAGGTTGATGAATATGCCCTTGTTGAACACACCAGGCATAACACGCAGGGTCGTGCCCGAAATCTTGGCCGAAATCTGGTCGATTCCGTACATTTCGATGGACCGCGAAGGACACGACGCATAGAATGCCGAAACAGGTGGGTGATGCGACACCTGCTCAGTCAGAAAGACCACACGGACCGTGTCATTAGAAGCCGAAAGATTAAGTTGGGACATGTCAGCAGCGGCGGCTTCGACGGAGGTGGCGGCTGTTGATGGCGACTTCCCGGTCTTGGAGAATGCGCTCAGACCGCTGCGGTTGCTCTTTGAGCTCTTGAGACTTTCGTTGTCTGGGCTAGGCCTAACATCGGCGGAAGCCGAGGCGACGATCGGTGGTGGAGCCGGGGCGACGTCCCAGTGCGCACGGAAATGCTCCCCGAGGACAGAGTTGTAAGGTTTGCACACTTTGCCGTGCTATCAGGGATAGTTAGCTCTAAATCACATGCAAGTGATGGGGCTACAAGCAAGCTCCGGAAGAGCCCATAGCAGATGATGGAGGACATGTCGCGCGAAGAAATCGAGTGACGGGGAAGACGTTGATAGACACGTACCACGAATTTGAGATCCTTCGTGAACGCGAATCGGACCAGAGCGAGCATGCGCTCAAAGGGGTCTTGAGAGTCGTTGATACTATAGAAGGCATTCATCTCAGCGAGGCTCACGAGACACAAAGAGACAGAGCATAACGTACACTGCGAACATGTCCGGTCGGTCAAGATACTGCCAGTACTCAAGGTTCGGCATGGGCTCCAGGAGTGACGCGGGCAGCGAGAGACGCCTAGGATACAGTTCATGCGGGGTCAGGCAGGATCCTCGGACACGCAAGGACAGATAAACGCACATGGCAGCGATGTCCTTAACCCCCAGAGACTTCTTGACGAGCTGCATGATCATCTGGAGCTTGCCACCTTCGCCTTCTCCGCTTTCGGGGACTGATATGGGGGGACCAGGCGCATCATCATCGTGGATATGGGGGTCGCCGGCGACGGTAGACATGGCGCTACTACTTGCAGGCCGAGGATAGAATGGTGGTGGGGGTAGAGGTCTAAGGAGCAATGTGATCCCGCCGGTCCGGATTGGGATATCTCCCACTTGTCACCAACGTTCGTGCTCCTGCTCAGCTGGATATCGCTCCTTACTGGCACTTATCCAACTTTTCACTACTGCTAAGCTATACAGTACACCGCCGAAAAATAACATTGAAGCGGCATCCATCTGACCGACGTCAAGACTAACAACTTGGCGTGGTTGGCGCGGCGGTGCACCAACTGTTATGTCATGACGGATTCGATTTCACCGAGGGGCAGCATTGTTTCGCCGACCTGCGTTGTGCAACTCGATTATATTGCCGACCCTGCCCCGCCACCCTCTGGACCCTGGACCCGCTTCGTCATCCTCTCCGACACCCATGCAGAAACCTTCCCTGTGCCCGATGGCGACGTGTTGCTCCACTGTGGGGATCTCACTCGCCGGGGCACTGCAGCCGAACTGCGGCGGACGATGGAATGGCTCTGCGAACTGCCTCATCCTGTCAAGATGTGTGATGCGATCCTCCTGGGGAGAACTTGAGTGACCGACCACCCTTCGTAGCGTGATCGCGGGGAACCGCGATTTTTCGTTGGATCGAGATTGGTATGATCGCTGTTGGAGGCAGGGAGGGAACCATGACACCGTGTCTCCATGGGAGGTGCGTGTCCTCTGCCAGCTTTTCTGGTGGGCAAGGGCTCCATCTCATCATCATGACCAGCCTGCCGAGCCTCTCTTGGAATTACTCTCAGGGCCGGAGGCTACTTGTTCAAACATCAAATACCTCCAAGATGAAGTCCATACATTCAAAGTGCGCCCAGACGGCAGGGAGTGGTCTGTGTATGGCTCTCCCGTGCGCGGTTCTGCTTCCCGGTGCCGACTGTCGCTCACCCACCGTAGTTGACGCCGAGTTACAAGGGCCGGTTACGAGCATTCAGCTACGAAAAGGCGGATGGGATCGGTAGGAATCAAATTTTTCGGTTGCGAAGGGCTTGTCTCTTACTTGTGCTTACAGCAGCGGTCGCCAAATTCCCTCAAGTCGACATCCTGTGCGGTCACCTGTTCAGCCCTGAAGCTCAATTGCTCATGTCTCACAACCCATCGCAGCATGACCCACGGCCCGCCACTCAACGTCCTCGATCGCACCGCCAAAGGGGCCATGGCTGGTTGTCCCAGCCTCGCAAACCGCGTCTCAGCTCTTCGCCCTCGGCTCCACGCGTTTGGGCACATTCACGAGGCTCGCGGGGCCCATATCCATAGCTGGGCCACGGGCGTCGCACCCCAAGCGCAGTCAGATTCCGAATCCATCGCCGCGGAGGGACCTCAGACCATCTTTGTCAATGCAGCAAACTGGCCGGAAGGACCGAAGAAGGCCCGGGTGGGCAAGAACTACCAAGTAGGTGGACAAGGAGTACGACCTGTCATCGTTGATCTACTCGAATGAACCTGACCTGCTTGCTGCGGTTGAACCTTCGTTAAGCCATCACTACACTTTCATCGTCTAGGATCCGATGATGAGGCCGTTGATGGTGATTCGAAACTGCTGGATGTCTGTTTGCCTCTGAACGACAAGGATGCTGATTGTCTCACCTCGTCTGAACTGTAAGCTTCCGTCATCGCAGCTGTCTCCGTTTCAGTCCAACCATAATCTTTGAGAAGCCGTTCCTTCTTCTCTGAACCTCCTGTGAGGAACAACGCGATCCGCATCTGCATCTGTGCTGTTTTCGACTCAAATTCTCGCACTGATTGGGGAAAGCGAGCGTTCAGCGAGGGATAGTGTCTGATAATGGGCAGCAGTTCAGCCCGGCTGTCTTCGTATGTGGATTTGATGTAGTTGAATGTGGATTCGAATTCACGTTGCGAGGCTTCGCCGGAGGTGTGCACCAAATCACGCCATGCCTGGGGTCAAGGTCATCCAAGGACGGATGGATGACCCGGAAAGCGTACCTTATCATCGAGTCCCGCTTCCAATACTTTATCGTACGCGATGTATCGGTCTACAGCATCTTCATTGTAAACCTGCGCGCGGACGGTATAAAGCTGGTCCAAGTCTGCATAGAACTGCTGATCAAGTTCATCCAGTCTAGCTTGTGTAGCAGCTTCCTCCGACAACTTTAAGAAGGCTTCCATGTCACTGAACCTGGCAGACGATATTCGGACCGGTGGATGCCCCAAATCGGTGTCGACGAGCTTACGAAGGAACGGGACGTTGTCGGTGTGACAAGATGTATTGGCTCAGATTTTTCATTGTGGTCTCGTCAACTCCACTCTGATTCCCTGATAGATGTGCGTGATCGATAACACCAGTGTTCATGTTGTGAATACTACGGATTCAGAGTTGGAAGAGGTGGGACAGACGAACTGGTGCCATCATGATTGGCTCTGTTTGGTACTGTTACTGACATCCCTGATAATCGAGTGACCACGTTCAAGCTTTCAAGCTCGAGTTCGGACAGCCGGACTGACAACCACACTGGCCGTCTGCACACATCGCATGGCTGCTGATTCACACGGGCTCTGTATTAGTGTATCTCATCCTAGGAATACCACGGCTTTTGCGGTGGCAAGGCAGAAGAGTCCGATACTCAGGACTCTGTACGATCAACCGCACCCGGCAAATGAAACCATCAATGCAAATGAAGACCATTCAGCGCAGATACTTACTCAGCTCAGCTGAAACGGGCTCGATTTAGTTTGACGGCCCTCGCGGTGTCAACAGGCATGTGAGAAGCATCAACCAAATGCGTCTTATCGGACCGCCGGTGGCCCTAAATTTGCCCAGGGACTGCGGATCGCGCTTTCTGTCCACCTTGTCAACAGCTCTTTTCATCCCTCGACTCATCGCGGCGGCTCCTTGTCGGATGCAAGACAAATGCTCATGCGCCGAGGACAAGGAGGCCCAAGACTGTCGCTCCTGGCCCACGGCGGTCAGACGGGCTCGGGGTTGGCTATTCATGATTCTGCACGTGGGTTTTTGCATCGATTCTTCCTTCACGTTATCCTTCTATTCGACCTCTCGCATTTTTTCTTCGTTGTGGACTAGGCTTTCCATCGCTGATGGAACTGTAAACAGGCTGAGAAGGACCGGACACGCATAGATCACCGCTGGACAATACCATCGATACTAGTGCTGGCGCTGCTTGTATTCTTCGGTCTGGTCACCGTTGTCATCGAGCTTACCACTAGACACGGCGAAATAAACGGCTGTCGAGTCGTAGGCCTGCGGAAAGAGTGGTCCGTTTGTCGTGTCGTCCTCGTCGCATCACTGTTCTTGATTGGGAGCACTTGCCAGGCGAAACCTATCCAGGGTTGAGCAACTCGACTATATCTCGGCAGTCAAATGCATGCAAACGCTCCCTGCCAACGGGGTTGTGGATACGAACCATGTCCGCACGCGCTACGACGATTTCCAGAGTGCTCACATCAACTTGACGGACGAAACGCACACAGTCGCAAGCCACACCCTTTGTGTCCTGACAGAAAATGATAACGCTACGCAGGGACAATTTCTTCCTTGGCATCGATATTTTCTCGGGACATTTGAGAGCACGTTGAGAAGTGAATGTGCTTATCAGGGCTCGATTCCATATTGGGACTGGAGTCTCGACGCGGATCAACTTGATTCGTGAGTGTTTTCGAGTGATAGTGGTTGTATTTTTGACTCTTTTTCCCAGGATCGCCAAGTCACCGGTGTTCGATCCTGTTTATGGATTCGGAGGCAAATCCCGTCGTGTATCTCGTTTGAACCATGGTATGACATATATTTCAGGGAACGGGTTGCATATCCCAGGATACTCTGGCCCTTTCAACAACTGGACTAATCTTGCCGGATGGGTCGAAGGCACCGGGGGTGGGTGCATCACCACCGGGCCCTTCGTGTCCTACAATCTGTCTGTCGGGCCGGGAACAAAGCCGACAAATCATTGTTTGACCCGCAATTTCAATGACGCTTTCATCTGGGCGCTGTCTTCAGCTCAAGTAGCCAACACGACGAAACAGCCCAATTTTGAGCGGTTTCGCATCGAGCTCGAGGGACAGCCAATCACCTCGACAATGAAGTTGCACGACGGGGGACATTTCGCTGTCGGCGGGGAGATGCTGGATACGTATTCCAGTCCTGCAGGTAGAGGTTTTTCTCGGCACCTCCGTCCTTTTCTTTTGCTTAATCGGTACAGACCCAATATTCTGGCTTCACCATGCCAATCTAGATCGAATCTGGTGGAAATGGCAGAATATCGACCTCCCAACGAGACTACTCGATGTCTCAGGTCGCTCCAGGGTGAATCCACCGTTCGTAAATATTACCCTGGCATATCCGTTGAAGATGTGGAGCTTGGCCCCGACTATTCCCATTTGGAGGGTTATGGATGTTAGAAGCTCGCCGCTATGTTACGATTATGTATAGCTTAGACCACCGTGGGCACACTTCCTACTTGACGATTCCAGCAGCGGCAGAGAATCAGATGATGAGATGTAAGTCAAAGGGCTTGATAGCGATTTAGAGGTCGACAATAATTACACGAGGTCAATCTAGTGAGAAGCTCAGACAGTGGGTGCAGCAACAATCGACGGTGATCTACTCAACGCTTGACGTAGAACATTTCCGTTGAGTGCGATTACTACGGTACGTCAGAGGGTCTTCTCCTCTGAAATTGAACGAGACGTTGAGTTCCAGTTGGCCGCTACGAAATTTGTGCAATTCTGTTGGATCCATCCTCTCGCGCTTGCGGTTGTGCAACTTCCGCTCTCGAAGAGCTCGCATCAAACAACAGACCCCCTATCAACCTTCCAAAACCACCTGCCCTGCCCCAATATAGAAACTGATAAGTCAGCATGATCGGATGCGTATCCGCCAACCGATTGGTTTCACATGGGCCAAATCCCAGACCCTCCCGTAATACCGCTCGTGTACTCTCGCCAAAACGACTTGTAAACCTGAGCTGAGCCCCATCGGGAGGCTCCGGCTCATCATGACACCGCATCTGGCAACCTGTCTCTCCCCGTTCCTTTCCCGTGCGTCACGCCCGTTACCCGCCCATCACGTCGCTATCACGTCGTTTACATCGCTGTCGCTGTCGCCACCGCTCTCCCCCTTTTCCTCACGTATTCCGCTTTTGCTGGGCAGCCAATGAGTCGCCGCCGTGGTCTCTCGAAGCGTAGCCATGTCGAATATGGCCCAGGCTTTGGTGGAATCGCTCGCAAGGCCAAGAACTTGCCCATCAACAAGACGTCGAAACAGTTGTCGGACGCGCGTCAGGCCTTCGAAGAACAGCTCCAGGGTGAGTTACATTACACTCTTCTCATTTCATATAATCTTTCCTCAGCTCTGAGCTATATTCAACGAGAGGAAATCATGGCGCCGTCCTCATCAACACAAGATGTGGACATGGACTACGGAGGCGGAGTAGGCGTGGGAGATGGCGACTGGGAGGACGATGAGGTTTTCTACCATACGCTCCCTCCTGGGGAAGAGGGTGCATGGACCAGTGCGGGTGATGAGGACGTGTGGACAAAGGTTGCCGATGGAATGCGCCCTGGGTGCGTAATCGTCTCTCTCTACTATACGTGGTCTTAACACAGGTGTAATGCAGTCGGGGGGACCCTCGGATACGCAGTCATCGCGTCCAGCAGATGATCAACGCCTGGAATCTGCACATGAACGAGCTCGTGGATTCGTACCTCATCTGGGCAGAGTCACGGTCTCAGAGTGGAGTTGGTGGGGAGTCAAGCGAAGTCGGCTCGGGTACGGGTTCGGTTTGGCCTCTACGAGTACTGGGGTTTGATGGTATGTCCTTATTCCTTTGAGCTGCAGATTCAAGGCTTACCTGTATCAGTGTCGACAACTCTTCTCTTCACGCACGCTCCGGGGGCCTCCAGTCCCAATGAGGCTCTATTACGACGGGGTTACATTGGAGGCAGTCCAGATTCACCAACCATAGCGTTCTCTACACGTACATTCGAGATCTATCGCCAAATACATCGTGTCACTCCCCGATTCACCGTTGATTCACTGGCAAGGGTATTGAACTATCTACATCAGGTATGCAGGTACCACAGTAAGAAAGTGTTTATTCATCTCTTAAGGTTCCCCGACGTCGATATCTGCAAGAACAGCTTACAACAGCATATGATGCATACCTCGAGATTCTTCGCAAGGTGGATGATCGTATAGCGGCAACTTTGAATCGAGATGCAGAGTGGGAAGTCAGGAATGTCTGCCCCCCATGCTTCTACAAGCTTGAAGCCGAACCCAAACTCCGGTATAGCTCGTTCATGAGTGTCGACGGCAACATGTCCTTGAAGCTTGTCGACACCACGTTTCGGGCCGGAAATCCCCGCTTCGACGCTCGGCAGTCAGCCTCATGGCGGTGGCTCACAACGGCACAGGTTGATCTGTTCAAAGATGAGGTCAAGAATTCAGAGGTATGTCCTTGGCTTATAGGACCGCTCTTTCTGAATCCACAAGGCTCGGAAGTCGAAACCGAAACTAGGCCAGCCAGGAACTGCCAAGCCATCTGTCACAAATGACAGCTCAGCCAACGGCGATCACGCGTCAAATCAACAGTCACCGACAGACGAGGCTGACGAGGATATTGCGTGGCTCAGCCTAAATGAGCTCGACGAGGCTGACATTCAAAAATTGGAGGAGAGTGCTAATGTTTGCGTCGAGCGATGGAAGGCTGCAGGACCAGAAGCCCGCAAGAAGATGTTTGCCCTCTTTGCCGTTTCGGGCATCTTCTTGGCGGTGTGTCGCCATGGGCATGTTCTCATCATGTGTGATATGATACGGAGCGGCGAATTGTGAGTCCCGATTCCCTACCCATTGAACCGTGCTAATCGTTCTGGTAGGATGAAATATCCTCTCGCCATCGTCAAGCATTTGATGGACACGTATGGTGCAGATATCGGTCTAGGCTACGACATCATGTGCGCCTTCTTCAAGACCCTTCTCCGAAGCTCGCTGGGTGGAAGGGTAGTTGCCATGCGCTTACGTGGCATTGTGCCGGCTTTCCATGGGCATGCTCATAACCGGGAGTGTCAACTCGGGTGGCATCCTATGTACATTGAGGGTGTTGGACTGGAGGATTTCGAGGAGTGCGAGCGCACATTCTGCCAATCCAATCATCTTGCTAGCTGCACCCGACTTGCCACACCTTTTCATCGACAGCAACAAATCGACGAGCATTTCTTATTCCATGATCTGGACAAGCATGCTTCTTCCGGTACGTCATCGATCAATTCATTGACAGACGCGCTTTCTGACACGCGCATCAGGAAGCTTCATCTTTGAGAATTACCGACAAGCGGTAGAGAAGATCACTGATCACCGCGTACGCCTTGCAGAGCTCGAACGAGTACTCAAGACTAGGGCCATAGACTACGAATCTGACCTCCAAGCGGAGCGGGAATACTTGAAGTCGCTCAAGGAGGAACCAGCCTCAGTCACTGTTGCCGTCGATTACCTAGAGTTGCTCAGCAAACTCCATGATGCCGCGTAAGTCAAAGCCACTTACTTTGTTTGTCATTTCCCTGACATCCTTCAGTGCTGCATCGGCCGCTGCTGCTCAGGACTTTGCCAACCTCGACCGTTTAATCATCGAATCCGGCATCACAAAACAAAAGATCGCCAACATTCGTACCCGTTACCGCACAACCCATAGCCGTCATCTTTTAGTTGAAGAAGAAGTTTCTCGCTTTGAGCTTGATCACGGCATTGAGCAGCGATGGGACCGGGACTCTGAAGCCTATCGAGAGGCTCTTGTCACTCTAAGTGAACGCCGTTATCGTCGGGCCTTGGATAAGCTGGAAAGACTCGTTGTTCAACGTCTATTGGAACTAACGAAACTTTCCATGAGTGGACTTGGTATGTATCAGAGCACGGTTTCCGTTGCTCGTGTATGAATGACACAATCTAGGTTATAAGCTTCGAGAGAAGATCGGCAAAGCTCTCCGCACTCGGGCAGAAGCCATTCAAAGCGCTATCACAGAGTATAATGCGGCAGCGAAGCTTCTCAATCCTCCTCGGGAGGAGCTTCAGTGGGCGAAGGTCGTGCAGACTGCAACACTAGCGGAGTTTGATCTGCTTCGGAACACTCGTCTTGACATTCGCACACTGCCGTGGACAGCACCTTCTCGTCGTGAAGCCGGTGCCTTGTACTTTGGCATCAAACGAGCGGAGGAAGAGATCCAGCGCCTGAATGTGGAGATTCGGCGGCTCATCACATTCCTCCTTGATGAGCACGTAGACTTTTCATGCGCAATTACTCGGAACCTTTCGTCGAACTCTCCCTTGGCATCAGAGCTCTCCCGTCGCCTCGAAGGCAAGTCAAGAATCAGTGCCAGCATAGTCGAACGCCTCATCAAGGCCAGCCGTCTTCCTGGTTTCTCAGGAAGTCTGCTTCCCGGGGATCGATTGGGACGTGATCCTTCCCTTCTGCAGTCATGTCCTATGCCGGATTGGGCTCAGAATCTGCTTGGACTCCAGCAAGTTGTTATTGAGCTCGAGGAGGAGAACGATGCAGCAGAGATTGCTCGGGAGCTTCAGGGTATCGATGACGAGCGTGTTGTGGATCTTATGGATCACTTGCAGCTCACTACTCTGGATGACAACATGTAGAATGCCTCTAATGTGTAGATTCAATCGTTTTCAAGTGTTTCGGAGTTATCGGAAGAGGCTGGAAAGTGCGGCCCGGCCCGGCATTCTTGTTGTATAGCCGGATCTGGAGAACGTGAATCATGCTAACTTGGTAGCGTCTGCTCACGGAGCATCATGGATCGGCATCTAAATAGTATATCTAACTCGTAGAAGTATACCTGTAGAGTCTGGAATATATCGGGCCAGAATTTGCCTCGCATTCTCGAGACTAGTGATCACTCTGGGCCAGATGAGCGTGAATCAACAATATTCTCATTGTTTCGACTCGTATGGCAGGGAACTCAGCCAGGAACATGTCGTTCGATGAACCAAACATTCACCTAAAGTGATTAGATCGAACTGGAACTCAGATCTACTGTACATGGATGAGAATGTGCAAATGTCATCTCAAGTGCAGTATGGATGACCATTACTACTTGCGCTAAATGCTTGCATTTGAGCGTATTTCAACATACTTACAAGATGACCTCTAAAAACTCTGGATCTTCTGATAGGAAACAATCAAAAGAATGCTTCTGAAGCATCCTTGGCCTCCACATTACGTCTGAATGGTCTGTGTAGACAGTAATTCGGGATAAACGTCGAAATTTTTGAGATTTAGAAATGTTGTGTCAGCAGCTTCTGCTTGAAATATGTTGTTCCTATCTATGAATAGATGTATATTGTACAATATCAGAGTCTTAGCCTGCTTGTGTGCGTGGTAATTCAATGAATCATAATAACTCCTTCTTATGCTCATTATCAGGAAATCTGACCCGGTTGTGCGGACTTAAGTGCATATTATTGAAGGTTAAAGGCTATAAGAACGGAAAACATGAATTGAAGGCTTATCTGGCCGTGCGATGCAACGGAATTTCATTCAGATTCAGAATCTGGGGAAGGGGCGATGAGGGATCGGCGCATTGATTGACAGTTTTCTGTCAATCAATCTTTGTCGCTCCTTACTCCTCGACCATGTCTCCGCCTCGACTGCCATCGGCTGCTCTCCCGCTCAGCCCTCCTGTTCATCGTGGCCCAATCTCTGATACCATCCCGGAGCCGACCACCCGCCCTTTCAGCCCCCTGGGTGTATATAACATCCGTCGGTATCTCTTGCAGCACCCAGTCTCGGCGGCACTCTGGAGAATCATGAGGCCATCGTTCTTGGCCAGTGATATTGCCTTTGCGGCAGCTGGTGCAAGTTCGGATGGTCGGCATGCCGTTGCTCCAAATCGGTTCCATTCCCAGTTCAATGATCTGTACGCAGACCTTCCGACTGGACCTGTAGGCGCACAAGCACGGCTGGAGTGGGCAGCGCAGGTGAAAACGGTGCTCTTTGATATTGTGCGCACCCTATTCATTCTCTCGACTCAACTTAATCAAGTGACCTCTAGGCAACGATGCTGGACCGGAGCACCGCTGGAACAACCTTCATCTTCCATTGCACCGGGAGGGTTCCACCAAGTGAGTCCTCAGCGGTCGAGAACATGAAGGCCGACGTGTACATACCCCCGGGCTTCTTTACCGACCACCCTGATGCCGACCCCGCCATTGCGTACCTTGTTCAAACCTGCTTTGAACAGATTGGCTTGCGTGCATGCCAGTCATGGTGGCGGCGTGCCAATGCTCGGTGGGGCATGTTCCCTACAATCTACGATGTCCGCCACCCCCGCACTCCTACTCGTCTCATCCCGTATCCCGAGACTGCCGGTTCTGCTCATTTCAAGTTCCAAGGACGTCCAGTTCACAGTCTCTCCCCTCCGACAAATCTTCCCGTAGTCGATATCAATAACGAGCCTCGTGGGAGGTCCTCGGCCTTTGACACCCCGGTTTTCGATCTCGATGAATACACCTACCCAGCGGCCATTGAAGACTTGACGTCTCGGAATGAGGACCTGGAAGACCAGCTCTTGCGGATGACAGCGGAACGGGACTCGTTGCAAACGCGTGTCAATGCGTTGTCGGAGGAGGTGGACCAGTTGCGTGCTGGGCAAGCTCAAGTTCAGCCACAAACTTCGCGTATGTTCTTTCTCTATCCTATATCCCTTTTCTAACCTTTCTTCAGGGCCTCCATCCACTCCGTCGCGTTCGAGTCGTCCTCCTACCTACACCGAGTCTTCCCGTTATCGCGCAATCCCTTTGCCGGCCCCTATGTCGCCAAGTACTCCATCAGCCGCTAATGCCCCTCAATCTCGTGTTCCCAATCTGATGCAGATTCTTACGCAGCACGGTCACGCAGACAAGTTCGAGATGATTTCAATGGTAATTCGTCTTGCAAAGGAGTACCGCTGGCATGCTGAGATGGTCAGGGCTGGTATTCCACAGGCTGTTGTCGGTGAGATACTTGAGGAGTTGGACGCCGCCTAGATTTATCCGCAATGTAGACAATATAACATTCTGGCATGCAATTGTTGAGATGTTCCGAAATCCTACGCGTGATAAGCCCTGTTTCAAGATTACACGTGATCGCGTATATTCACGAAAAGGAGAAAAAATATTCGCTGGTGGACTGGTATTCTCCCTGGACCCTATGCCTCCACTTGGACTTACTATTGCCGCTGCCAGCCAGCCCCGACAACGAGCACCTGCTCCTCCTCGTGCGCCTCTGACTTCCACTCAGAAAGCCGAACGTAAGCAGGAGCGTGACCGGAAAAAGAATGCCGAGGATGCTGACGTTCGTACGTAACCACTCCCACACTTCTTCCTGCCTCTCACCGTTGCCATCCGCAGAGGCCTGGTGGACCTACACGTTCAATTACGCGAAGACTTTAGCTGAGCGCCATGAAAAGACCGAAAACTACTATTTGAGCATTTTCTTTCAAGGCGGCGCGAACATGATCAAGCATCAAGAGAAGATCAATCCGTTCAACGCGTTCAAGGCAATCAAGGCTGAGGAGCTCCGTGAAGGTGAGCATGATCAATATATACTATTTCTCTAATAGTACAGTGACAATTACTCAGCTGGCGGGCCCACACAGAATGCGCCAGCTTTGAGTGAAAGCTTCGCCGAGGAGTATAATGCGTTGTCTTCCGAAGAGAAGCAGAAGTTCGTGGATGAGTGAGTCTTGTCTGCTTTCATGCGTTTTGCATGTCTCTAACTCGATTTACAGCTTCAAGGAAATCAAGGTCTCAAATGCATCTCTCAAGCGCACAACCCCACGAGGACGGGCTCAAGATGTGGCGAACATCATCCGGAACATGAAGCTTCTCGTATGTTCTCATTTCCATTCTGTATACTTCAGAGCTGAAGACCCTACAGATTGCTGGTCTTTGCGCACGAGTTGGTATCGAATGCATGTGGCTGATTGTTCGCAACAACACCGACTTCTACATGGATCCCCAGTGGTTTTTTACCAGCCCTCATCTCGAACGCTACATGCCTCTGGCAGTTGGTCGGCAATGGGAACTATCGAAAGTTGGAGCCAAGGTAGAGGCGTTTGCTGTCGCGGGATGCGACGAGCTTGGTGCGTCCCAATACTCTTTTCATCACACTGTATTTCTCATTTCACCAGCGCTGTTTCGTACTTCTAAGCAGAGATGCGACCACCTCAAGACACAGATACGGACCCTGGTCAATGAAGGACTTCGTAAGCACCATACTATCCTCAGGATGAGACGCGCATCTTATCATTCATCAGGGAAAGTCACCGCCAATCCAAATACCACCATGCAGTATGTCCACTACCGGGAAGACATCGTTGTTGGCCTTGGGGTGGAGCTGCGTGGTTGGACGGCTGGTGATATCGTGAACCCGAGCAACCTCAGCACTTCGGTCAAGGTCCTTGTGGAACTCCGGGACGCACTCGTAAGCGGAGATGCGCATTGGGCCAAGCTCACGCGGGAAGAGCGGAAGGAACGCCGTCAAGAGTGGGATGATGATGTTGTGGCGGGCAAGGTCTGCCCAAAGAGTCGAGAAACACGCTCGGACAAGGGAAAGAAAAGGAAGCAAGGAGAAGACGAAGAGCACGACAACCCGGATCCATCCTCTGACCCAGCCTCGTCCACTGCCCCGATCGTCACCGAACCCGACAACCCCACCCCCCCACCAGCGAAGCGAGCGAAAAAGATGGGTCCCAAGAAGTCGAGTGCGCCGGCGGACAAGGAGAACACGCCCTGTGCTTCGACTCGTGGGAAGAAGGCTGGCAGACCTCGAGACGATGCAACGACACGCCAGGCACTCACCCGTATTCACGCGAAGAAGTCCTTCACCAGCCCCGAGATCATCGACGACTCCGAGGACGAAGCCAGGCTGCCTTTGGCTGGGCCCACGCATGGTTCTGCTGATGGTGCTGCTGCCGTCACCGCCCCCACTCTTGCTGCTTCAACGATGCCGACTTCTACACTTATTTAGTCTTTTGTATCATTGCGTAGTCATGAAATTGGACAGTCGTTTCTTGAATTGAAAGAAAAGCTCTATTGAAGAATACCTATAAAAGATTGGAGTACGGTATATGTTGCTGCCAGCGTTGCGCAAGACAACGTCAACGATGCGACACCCAACGTGCGAAAGTAGTGATGCCCGAATCTGCCCGACAAAGCCATGCCACTCTATCACGGGACTGGGATTGAGCGCGGAGGCTACAAGTCATTTTAGCGAGAGTACACGAGCGGTATTACGGGAGGGTCTGGGATTTGGCCCATGTGAAACCAATCGGTTGGCGGATACGCGTCCGATCATGCTGACTTATCAGTTTCTATATTGGGGCAGGGCAGGTGCCAAAACGGGACACGCGCCTGACGTCGCCAAACTCGCGCAAAGCGCTAGACTCGTCGTAAGGCTGTGACTACACCTTGGCTCTTCATTCGCTTTCCTCCACACGCTCACCTTCGCGTGGAATTTGTCGAGAGCCGGACCCCTGCAATGAGCGTCACCGCACCGACCAAAATCGCCCATGCCATCGAGCAGATCCAGCGTCCGCGAGCGACAGACATCGACTTCACACAGTACGTTCTGGAGGATGGAACGTCTATAAGCACGCAGGAGCGTGTTATCAAGGATGTGCGTTCCGTCTGTCTTCTTTCCGGTCACTGTTTCCCTCTCGCACGGTGCAATGTCGCCAGCCCTATCTTCAGCAGAGTCAATATGGTCATACACCGTTCTTCGAGCGTAGAGTGGACACTCATAGTCTGCGCTAGCTAGCTGTTTCACAATAGTAATTGACAACGGTGCTTTTGCACGTGTGCGATCGCTCAACCCATGCCCGCCTACTCCCCGTATTCGCGTCCTAACTGATTCCGCAGGTCCAGGCACCCTCCCCTGGTGTGCCTACCGAAGCTCAGTTCTTCTCCTCGACCGATCCCACCAAACCCGACATCGCGTTCCTGAAAAACCACTTCTACCGGGAGGGCCGTCTGACGGAGGATCAGGCGCTGTACATTCTTGCCAAAGCGACGGAGATCCTGCGGCAAGAGCCCAACGTTCTGAACGTCGATGCACCGATAACAGGTGCGTTTGTCTTCCGGTGTGCCCATGAATTCTCTCGCTGATGTATGCCATGCAGTTTGCGGCGATATCCACGGACAATATGTCCGTCGCGCTCCACACATTTGACTTGGGTAACCGCTAACGCGTATCACAGTATGACTTGATGAAGCTCTTTGAAGTGGGAGGAAGTCCCGCGGATACTCGGTATCTATTCTTGGGCGATTACGTCGATCGGGGTTACTTCAGTATCGAGGTGCGGGATGCTCCTCAGTCTCTCATTTCTCGGACTTACACGTCTTCATAGTGTGTCCTGTACCTCTGGTCGCTGAAGATCTGGTACCCGGAAACTCTCTTCTTGCTGCGCGGTAACCACGAATGCCGGCACTTGACTGACTATTTCACATTCAAGCTGGAGTGTGCGTAATCGTTTCTAGCTGTCTTTCACATCTCAACGTGTTGCATAGGCAAACATAAGTATTCTGAGCGCATATACGATGCATGCATGGACTCTTTCTGTTGTTTGCCCCTAGCCGCTGTCATGAACAAACAGTTCTTGTGCATACACGGTGGTCTCTCCCCCGAACTAAACACCTTGGACGACATCCGCGCGGTATATCTATTTGTATCTCTCGCTCTATGTGTTTCTGATATACTGCTCAGATTGACCGTTTCCGGGAACCGCCGACGCAGGGCCTTATGTGTGATATCTTGTGGGCCGACCCCGTGGAGGATTTTGGGTCCGAGAAGACGACAGATAACTTTTTGCACAATCACGTACGGGGCTGCTCGTACTTCTTCACGTATGTGGAGGCACGCGACAGAGAGCATCGGATCTCTGACCGCTTTCTAGTTATCAGGCTGCGTGCCAGTTCCTCGAACGGAATAACCTGCTTTCGATCATCCGCGCTCATGAGGCTCAGGACGCAGGGTGTGTAGTCTGTTGTTGCACACTCGCCAAACACTTTGGTGCTGACATGGAACTGCTCAGTTATCGGATGTACCGCAAGACCAAGACGACAGGCTTCCCGTCGGTGATGACGATTTTCTCGGCGCCAAACTATCTGGATGTGTACAACAACAAAGCTGCGGTGCTCAAGTACGAAAGCAATGTGATGAACATCCGTCAATTCAATTGCACTCCTCATCCGTACTGGCTACCGAACTTTATGGACGTCTTCACATGGAGCCTTCCTTTCGTGGGAGAAAAGAGTGCGTTTCCTCCATCGGTTGTGCCTGCTTGTCAGACTGACAGGGCTCGATCAGTTACTGACATGCTGGTCGCGGTCCTGAACACTTGCACCAAGGAAGAACTGGAGGAGGAGGAGGAGGAGATGACGTTGGCTTCGCCGGCGTCGCCGACGTCTCCAGAGAGCCTTGAGCGACGCAAGGTGATCAAGAACAAGATCATGGCTGTGGGTCGCATGGCACGAGTCTTTGCCTTGCTGCGGTAGGTCCCAATGGCTCTGCTCCATTCAGCATTCTGATGGACATTTTCAGTGAGGAGTCTGAGAAGGTCTCCGAGCTCAAGAGTGTTTCTGGATCGAACAAGCTGCCGTATGGCACGCTGGCGTCGGGTTCAGAGGGAATCAAGGAAGCAATCAGCAGCTTTGATGACGCGTGCGTTGATCGGGTGCTCACTGCATGATGTGATGTCCTCATCGTTCCTACAGACGCAAATCCGACATTGAAAACGAGCGACTGCCCCCAGACCTATTCGATGCCTCATCAGACGAGGGCAAGGCCATACTGTCTGGTTCATCATCATCCTCTGTGCCATCCACTCCTCTGGACAGCGAGCCTATTGGCTCAGAAGCGATGAGCCCCGCCTCGCTGGAGGCTGCTCTTGAGCAGCAGCAGAAGCCACCCCTAGCACTCAACACATCCTCTCCTGTGTTGGGCACCGGTGCCAGCATCGGCTCGCCTGTGGCCAGCCCATCTTCGCAAGCGCCGCCGTCACCGACGATGGCCCAGCCGTTCCGCCGGGCCCATGGCCGACAGGCCAGCTTGGGTACGACAATGACCAGCCCGAGTACCCGTCGCCGCAGTCTGGAGAGCACGATGAGCCTGATCCAGGGAGTCTGGGACGGGCAGAGTCCCATCCCGGAGGAAACGCCTGCGGTTGCTGACGTCGATGGGCTTGCAGGTAAGCTTGCGGGCAGCACCGTGGATGCAGTTCAGAAGTGAAATAGTCAATTGTCGTTGGCGTGTACATACCTACTTATATAGCTCCGGATATTCTCACTTTCTCTTCTCTTGATGTGATACTCAATACTCATGTCACGATCAGGCGCTTCGTAGTGACGAGCGTGTCTTTCCCCACAACCACTTTGTCCCGAGTTTTTTTTGCCTCTTGTGTAGCATGTTTTTGCACGCGATTGATTGAAGGCACACTGACTGCATAGATGGAGACTTGAAGACTGACAACTATGGCGATCCTGATCATGATGGTAAATTCCGTCTTTCGTCTGTGCATCCCCAACCATGTTTCTCTTCACCGTCGCTCTCTCGATCCTTTCTATCTTTCTCAGTGGTGTCTCGGGGGCACTGAACGTCACGATCGACGACACCGATCAGTCTATCATATACACCGGCGCCGGCGAGCGTGCCAAGCCCTGTATCTTCAACGGAACTCAATTCGCGGGCGGCCAGCCGGGGTGCTTCCTCAATGGGCCCGAGCCGTGCTCGACTGGGGCGCGCCTTATCTCCTCCCAGTCGGGCTCGCTCTCGATGACGTTTAATGGTGCGAGGATGCGAAGCGCTGACCGACTTACTGATCGACCGACTCACTCACTCAATCACGCAGGCACCGCGATCTACCTGAACGCGCTCCTGAACGACATCAGCAACATGTACACCGTCTCGCTCGACGGAAACTCCAAGGACGTCGACGGGGTGCGGCCCGGCGGCGCGCTGGGGTGCCACACACTGGCGTCGTTCGCGGGGCTCGATCCCAGTGCGGAGCACACCATCGGCCTCAGCATCAAGGGCCTGGCGGACGACCGGAACAGGACGCACGGGAACGCCAGCGAATTCTTCTTCTGGCTGGACAACTTCGTGTGAGTTGCATATATCCCAGTGTGTTGCATGGCGCTCTGTCCCCGGTTCTCATGATGCTGGTGCTAGGATCACGGTTCCCGATAACACGACCGCGACGGTTGTGTCGAGTTCTTCAGTGGTGGCATCATCTGCATTTGCGTCTACGGCAACTCCTAGTGCCACGAGTGCAGGGCTTAGCACCCACGCTCACACCCTTTGCATCATTGGAGTTGCAACTTTGGTCATTGGGCTTGTGGGCTTCTAGTTATTTATTGTTTATTGTCTCTCCTGTCTTTATCGCACCAAGTACTGGATATGATCTAGATTCATGCTGTATCATTCTTTCCGTCAATGTCCACCTGTTCTTGTGAGGATGCAACCCAACACCATTGCCTTGCAAGACACGCCGATGTGGGGAGGAAAGCTAGGCAGAGTGACATTGCAGGACAGATTTCATGGTTATATGCGTATGCAAAAGGATGTCTACAAATACAGGAGTGTTGCTCAACAAAAAAAAGCAATCCAAATGCCCAGAGCTGTGCGCGAAAACGAGAACCAGATGTAAAAAGCAGGTAGAAACAGGACAGACTGTGCGCGATAGGATATGCGCAACATGCGATGGATGGACAGAAAAGCTTCAGAGAAGGAAAGCAGTCGTTAGATGGAGCCAGAGGGAGTCTTCAGACCCCAGGAACGGGTTTCTGGATCCAGATTCAAGCCGGCCAGGGTCCCATTCAGATCGTGCATCGAGTCGCGAGGGGGTTCCTCACTAGCCGTCGTCGGTCGAGATGACAAGCTGGCAGACCCATACCCATACGGGTCTCGAAGAGGGAACGCTGGACCCCCAACCTCATAAGGCGCTCGGGCCGGGTACCCGAATGCCAATCCAGCATCGTCTCGGCGGACCATCATGCTCCCGTCCGTGTGTGGCGGCGAAGCGCTCTGTCCGTATCCGAGTTTCTGGAGAAGCGCAAGGGCTTGCTCGTGGGTCAAGTCATTCAGGTTCCCATTCGATGCGAGTGGCGCCGTGATGGATGGCGGACGAGCTTCGACCGGCGGAGCAGGACTTGGAACGGCGCTGGCCGCTTGCAGAGCAGCGGCTTGAGCAGCCTGCGCAGCTGCTTGGGCGGCTTTGTCTATCAAGGGAAATCAGACTCAAGGCCAGTAGTCACAGACGAGATCAGATCGTACATTGGCTTCGCCCCCAACTGAGCCGGATGCGGCTTCCTCCAATGTGGAATCCTTGCATCGTTTCGATCGCCCGTTCTGCATCGGCTTTCCGAACAAACTGCACGAAGCCGCAATGTTTACCGACGGGAACCTTCACCTACACGCCTATTCAGCAACAAAAATACCGCCAACGTAACCAGAGCACGCACATAATGAATGTCGCCAAACGGAGCAAAGAATGACTTGAGTGTGTCCTCCTGGATGAGTGGACTCAAACCACCCACGAAGACGGTGGTGTTGTAGGGATCGGTGCTCGTGAGTTGCTCTCCGTTGGGCCCCATCATGTGGCCGAGAATCGCACGAGCTTGCGCATGGTGTTTCCACTCCTCTGAGATCTCGGCCGGATTTGGATGGGAAGGGAGACCAGCGGAGACACTGGCAATCGACGGAAGTTCGGCTGATGATCTGAATTTGGCAGTTGCAGGGGAAATGCGCACTGTCACCAGTGAACACGGACACTTTACAATTAGGACAATCACTCACTTGGACGCGAAAGACAGTACAATCCGTGCATTTCGACCAGCGCACGTTGCTGATCCATCTCGTCTGTAAATCTGAGTAGAGATTGGTCAGAATGTGTAGACGGCACTCTGTTTGGTTATTCAAAGCCACCTCACGAATCCATAACCTCGACTGACACCGGTGACAGGATCAAGCATGATTTTCGCGCTCTTGCAACTGGTGAAGGGTCGGATGATCTTAGGGACCCTATCATTGCGAAGTCCGAGAACCGGGTTGCGGAAGACCTGAGAAAACATCAGTTCACAAGGGCCTTTACTGATGCTGGCCTCTCACAGCCACCAGGTCGCTATTAGATGTCTCGGGAGCGAGATCGCCAACGAAGATGCTGTACTCGTGCGCCGGTGGCTCTGGGATAGGTGCAGCGGGCGTCATCGCGTTATAAGTGAGTCCCACAGCGGGCGGTCGCGTGCTAAGCGGGATTGCTGGTGGAGCATCGGTGCTGCCACTCGCGGAATTGGACAGGACAGACGTGGTTGCGGGGGCGATGCCGGGCGGCGCCCAGTTCAGGACGAAAGGGCGGGAGGAGTTCGGCATCTTCATCACAGCCGGGGACGTCGAGCTCGCCGTCGTAGTCGTTTGTGTCTGTAGTCAAGCGATTAGTACGCGGACTTGCTGTTCCGAAGAAGGATGCACACGCCTGAGTCAGAGCAGCACCCGCCGCCTCGCGTGAAGCGAATGTGAGAACACAGAATCCGGCGTTGAGTGGGGGGATGTCGCTCGGAGGTGGGCTGGTATTCAGGCGGACGCCAGCCAGCGCGAGCTCGTTCGATCCCGCGGGTGGAACGCGAGCGGCGACATCCCACCGCAGGAGAGTGCACACCTGGCGCACGTATTCAGCGTCCATCCATATCTCCAGGTCGGTCCATAACAACGTCGCTGGGTGTGCGGCGATTGAGGTTAGTTGAGCGGCCCCGGAAGGCGGCACCGAGTGCGTGAGGGGGTTCGTAGTGATGGCCGCGCCGGGCGATAATACATATCGTTGCTGATGAGCAGGTGAAGAAAACGCGGTCTCCCATGTAGTCGCTGCCGGGTTGGGGATGCGAGGGAGATGCTGTTGGTTCTGAGGGACGAGGTTCTGGAACGCGTACGGATAGCCGGACATTGCACGTGTGCGGGATCGTCGCGTGAGTCAACCAATAAGGTCTTAGAGATGGACGAAGCAAGGGAAGTGCCGCAAGAAATGGAAGAGGGGTTTGTTTGTCTGACTGCCTGGAAAGAGACCAAGTCGCAGAATGACTAATCGGATGGCTGCACGGCCATCACCGATCAAATCTTAGGAGCAACTTCGAGACAAAGGACCAAGGTATGTACTCAGCATTCAACGCTCCAAGCTTGAAGTCGGAGAAAAGAGCAAGTTTTCTATGCAAGTTTCAATAATCGATAAAAAGGAGACCAGAGCCTGATATATACATTTGCCTGGTGAGAACTGTCCGAGCCCAGGGAAAATCCGTTTCAATAAGTGCTTTGCGCACAAGCTACTCGTGAAATATTCTCTACAGAGTCGAGGTCTGATGTGAGTTTAAGAAAATTCCAACTCTAATGTGATGCATCACAGGGCAGTGAGAGAACCTTATTGTCCATATCTGAGTCGCGTCCCTCGGCGTCAGCTGTACCTGTTTGGCTAGCACGTGACCACGTGTCTTGCATGTTTCGACGCGCTCCCTGCCCAAGTCCGCCATGATCCAAACGGGTATAATACCTAGCGCGCACTCCGACCTCGTTACGGACGCTTCCTATGACTTCTACGGTCTCCGACTCGCCACGTGCAGTCTCGATCAACGGTTCGTCTCATTTTCCTCTCATCGCACGCTTCGGATTTCAATTCTCGTGTAGCATCAAAATCTGGCAACTCAACGAATCAAATGGGAGCTGGAGTCTCGAGGACGACTGGAAGGTTTGTTGCATTCTTTGTTTCCTTAGAAACAAAAGCCAATTGATTGTGCGCAGGCGCACGACGCTGCGGTCTCCAAAATCAGCTGGGCCCATCCCGAATTCGGCACTATCATCGCGTCCGCGTCGTTCGATCGCACTGTAAAAGTCTGGGAACAAGCTTCTGGTTTTGCCGCACCCGAAGTGGCTGTCAACGGGTCAGGCGGCTTCGGCTACGCGTCGTCGTCGTCATCGTCGCTGGCGCAGACGCCGGGCCCGTCGACGTCGCGCTGGGTCGAACGCGCTGTCCTATCAGAGGCACGGGGGACAGTTCGAGCCGTGGAGTTTTCCCCCCATCACTTCGGACTGAAGCTGGTACGTGGTCATCTTTGTCGTGTGCGTCTCTCGAAGTTCTCGTCCAGGCAACGATCTCGACCGACAACCAGCTGCGCATCTACGAATGCCTCGAGCAGCACTCTCTAGCCAACTGGCCAGTCGCTGAAGAAGTCGATGTCGCTGGCCTTCCAACCAGCCCGGCGATCACACCGTACGCGCGCACGGGTGCACCGGGGACGCCTACACAGACGGCTGCTGCGGTCGATCCAACTCCTCCGCTCCTCGCACAAGCCCTGCAGCAAAGTGCCGCGGCATCGTCGACGAGTGGAATATCGCAACCTGCACGCCCCGGGATCGGCAACCGCGAGGCGGATGGCGGGTGGTGCTTGTCATGGTGCAAGGACCGCTATTGGGGGGAGGTTATCGCTGCGGGGGCTGGAACTTCGGGGACAATCAAGGTGGGAGTCGACTGTCTTTATTCCTCCGCACTACTAAACGACATATCATAGGTCATCCAGCTGCACCCCGCCCACCGCCCGACGACTCTGCTGACCCTCGATCCGGCTCCGAAAGCGCCGTCCTCTGCCATACAATATACATTCCCGCCCACTTCTGCGACGGACACATCTGACCCAAGTCCGTCCAACGATGATGCCGCGGTCACGTCCGTCTCATGGGCACCGTCCTGCGGCCGGTCGTACCATCTGATCGCCACGGGCAGCCGGGACGGGCACGTGCGCATCTGGAAAGTCACGCCCGGGGACGAAGAAGACGACGCCGCCGAGGACAACACGGGCCTGGCACTCGCCCGGGTAGACAACGACGACGAGGATAAAGACAAGAAGTGGGCCGCGCAGATGGTGGCGGACTTTGACCAGCACCGGTCGGCTGTCGGCCGAGTGGAGTGGAATCTCACCGGGTACGTGCACCACTCTCGCAGTCGGTAGATGGGCCGGGTCTCACTCGATTCGTCCTCCCCAGCACGGTTCTTTCGTCGACTGGAAATGACGGCCGTGTGCGGCTATGGAAAGCAACACCTGGGAGCGTCTGGCGTCCGGCAGGAAGTGTCGGCGTCGAGCAGTCCGAGGAGCATGAGAATGAGAACGGTGGGTCCGAACGACGCGACACGGATATGGAAGCGTAGGGGTCATTCACAGTGGTCGTTGAGGCCGCGAGCGTCGAGTGACATTACACACATTTTGCGAATGACTGGCAGATGGTCCTCAATAGCATTGTGTGAAGCATCTTTGTCGCACACGACAAGGAATATCCACAGACACACGACAGTAGGCTCTCTAAAGTTGTCGTCCTTGCACCTTCTGGTTTAGAAAGACCCGTTTCACTCACCTATTGGCACGAGAAAACTTGAACAACAGTTTGTGCTTCAAAGAACTTTGGAAGCACGAGAGCACCGAAAATTTCGTCTCCCACTCTGGAGATTGGCTCAAGATTCTTTCAGTTCACTGGAAGGGATGGAATTGCTTCACATTCTAACGTCTGGTCAGGTTCTGGATTCATACGAATTAGGGGCTTGTGTGGGTATTGCCTTGAGGATTGCGTCCAAAAACGACCTGTCCCTTAGCGATGGCAACCTTGTTAATCAATCGGAGCTCCCTGGGATGGCCATGTACTGGAGCACTTGCACCAAAAAGAAAGATCAGTCTCAACAGCACCATGTGATATGTCGCGCTTTGTCCGACAGGGCCCAAGTTCGACCAGTACCAGCGCTTTTCGTGCAACAGTCCAAGCGCAAGGTCCTGCTCTGGGATCATCTCCACAATGGCCCGCGCTTTGTGTCCTCTACCCAGCCTTAAATAACGTCCGCCCCAAGGCGACCATGCTCACCTCCGCCCTGAACATGTCCATGTCGAAGCCAATCCCGCGCCCGTCCAACGCCTTCATGCTCTTCCGCTCCCACTTCAGCAAACACTGCGCGCCCCCCAGCGCAGGCCAGCCCCAAATCAGTGCGCTCGCCGGCCAGGCGTGGCGCAATCTGGACGCGGCGGACAAGGCCGTGTGGCACGCGCGTGCGGCGGAGACGAAGGCTAAGCACGCGGAGACGTACCCGGGATACCGCTACGACCCGAGACGACGGAGGTCGTCGAAGGCCAAGATCTCTCCCCTGAACGGTCCTAGCATGAGTGCCCCTGTCTCTGCGCCTGCCCAGGATTCGGTGAGTGGCCTTGTGTGTCGAGCGGTTTCCTGTGCTTATCTTGAATTGCAGGTGACCGAGGACAAAGAATGGGAGGTCTTCTGGGATGACATGAACGCCGCGTTTGATGATATGTTGGAAACCGCTCGAGGTGGCTCATCTCAGTGTGCCAGGCCCGGTCCTGAGGGTACAGATCGCGCCCATTCTGGTCACTATCCATCACGTCTGCCTACTGAGAGGCATCGCCATGCTCCATATTAAAATAAACGACAATCCCAGTGTCATCACTTCACATCCCTGATTCACGGACTTCCCCTGTCAATGGAAACCTTTGCAAACAATTGACATGGTGCAAAGTTGCAAACAAGTGTAGATGGTATCATGAGAGTTGTTGTCCCCTAGTTTCATAAACAAGCTATGTTGATCTAGATCTTGCGCGCATTCCTGTAGATTCCTGTCCACATAGCCCAATCACTCTGCATCCCAGCGGACGGCAGACTCCGACGTTCCGAATCCATCCAAATCAAAATCTTCGTCAGTCTTGCTAACGATCATCGTCTCCAGCCTCGCGATGAGCTGCGTGGTCTCCGTTTCTGCCGCCCGTCTGCGCCGATCCACGTCGACCTCCGTCGGCATCGCCTTCCCCCTCCAACCGCCTCCATCACGCACGTATCCGAGAAATCCGCGCCAGAGCGGGTCGAGCGACAGCACATCCGGGTTGCCCACAACGACGAGCAGCGCCTGCGCGCGGGTCACCGCGACGTTGAAGCGCTGCGGGCTGGCAACGAAGCCCAGCGCGCGGCGGATGTCCGATTCGAGGTATCCCGTGCTGCTGCGGACGGTCGAGATGATGATGACGCGGCGCTCCTGGCCCTGGAACTCCTCGACGCTGGCGACGGTGATCCCGGCCATCTTTGGGTCCTTGCGCAGTAGCTCTCTGATCTTGCACCGCTGGGCGTGGTACGGTGTGATCACGCCGATTTCCTCTGCTCGCACGCGGTTGTCGCGGCTGATGAGCGCGCCGACGTACTTCTTGATGACCGTCGCTTCGCTGATGTTGAAGTACGACGGGGACGCGCCCTCGCGATCGTCCTTGCCCGCGACCCCATGGAACACAATCGGGAACTTCTTTCTGGGCAGCTCGGACGAGTTCTCCAGACTACGGATCAGAGCCGCGTCGCCACAAGCTTGGAGCTCGCCCCCGTAGAACTCATGGTTCGGGTACTCGAGGATGGCGGGGTGCGACCGGAAGTTGCGCAGCAGTTTGACGATCGTCACTCCGCGTCCTACTCCGGATCCCGGTGCGGCGGGCGTTTCCCCGTCCAGACTGTAGATCTCTCGGTCCATCATCCGCGCCAGATAGCTCACTTTCAGCCCGAGCGAGCTGGCGATGGGACTCTGCACGATCGGGCCCAGCTGCTTGTTGTCGCCCGCCAAGATCACATTCGTCCGCCCATCGGCGCTGCTCTTGATGGGCAGCATGACCTCGGGCTCCGTCGCCTGCCCCGCTTCGTCGACGATGATGTATCCAAAGTGGCCCTTCTCAACGCCCAAGCTCGCGGGTACCCCGCCCGAAAGACACGTAGCGACGACGACGCGGTAGCCCTCGAGACGTTCCTTCGTAGGCAGCACAAACGTGCGCTTGTCGTTGATGGCCGAGAACGGCTGGAGCGGCTTAGGCAAGTCCTCGTATCGGCGGGACAGCGCGTTCAGCCGGAACAGCTCAGTCGTACCGAGACCCACGAGATTCATCGCGAGGAGATCCGCGGCGGAATTGCTCGGCGCGCAGGCCAGGATCCGGATCGATGGGTCGCGGGAAAGTAGCTGACGGATAGCCTCGACGACAGTCACAGTCTTGCCCGTTCCCGGACTGTAACATCGCATTAGCTCCGGGTGAATGGCCGCTGACAAACGAGCTACTCACGGTCCAAACACAAGGAACGGCGCGCTCCCTCTCGGTTGGTTCACAATCGTCACCACCGTTTCCCATTGCTCGGGATCTGCTGCGACCAAGCGATTCACAGGCGCTAGCTCGCTTTTCTCCCTCTCCGTGACGCGCGTCTTGCGCAGCACGTGTTCCGCACGCGGAAACAGGATCCTCGCATCGCGGAACCGGTTGCGCACCGCTTGGTGCATTCTGCGGACCGGGAGCCGGTTGAGCACGAATCGCACGTCGAACTTCGTGCCCTTGTACGTGTTGAAGGCGTCACCGAAATGAAGACTGACGCGCGATTGCTGGATTTTGTGCACGCGGCCTTCGTGCCACGGACCCGAATCTTGGCCACTTTGCCTTTGTGAGGTTAGATAACAGGGCAGCAGAAAGAACGGACTAGGAGACACACCGGACGCGGATGAAATCTCCCACAATCACACTAGGGCGTCCATCCTCGAGGCCCTTAACTTCCAGACTAAGACCAACAGTCTGCAACTCCACTTCCAGAACAAGAAAGCCACGCACTCATATCTCGGATAGTTCGGCACGATCTCCGCCCCACTCAAAGCATACATCTCCAGCTCCAGTCTCTTGTGCTCGTCCTCGATGAACAGCATCACCTGGAAATGATCGGCGTACGTCTTGACCGAGAAAGTGTCGGGGAGGAATCGGCGCACGGCCTGCAGCACCTCCCGGGAGTTGGATCCAGGATCCGGACCCCCGAACGCAGCCTCGACCAAGGCCGGCGGGGGTTTGTATTCAGGCAGATACCCCACCCAGACATTCGGGGTGTCCCAATTCGGGGGCCGGGGAACCCGGATGACGCGTTGGTCGGCGCCTGGGGCCGCGGGCGGCAGCATCCCTCGGCGCCGCCGGGTGAATGGCGCTTTGGGCTTGAGTTGCTCGTGGTCCTCGCGGGAGCCGACGACAGCCTGCAGCGTGCGGACGATTAGAAACCGGGCGTTCGCGACTAGATCGTGGAACACGAGCTCGAGGACGTCCGCGTAGGCACCGTCCGGCAACGCCGCCGATGGGGAGGTGTCCCCGGGGCGGAATTGCACAGAGAGCGTCCGGGCTTCTGAAGCGGTCACCCAGCGGGACTTGCCGGAGAGGGTCGCAGTGAAGCTGGGGGTGCGTTCAGACACGAAACCGAGGTGCAGATCAGCGGAAAACTGACCGTGCAGCTCGCACCGTGATCGACTCGAGCGAGATCCGCGCGTGTCCACTCGCTTTCGTCCTCATGATCGTAACGTCAATGTAAACCCGTTCATCCTCGCCGACGACGCCAAAGTCGAGCCCGTCCCGGTGCGACACCGTGATGCCCTGTTTGTCGTCCTGCGCGGAGGCCTCGAGCGCGTGGGCCGTGGACAGCAGCTTCCGCAGATGCTGGGGTGCGCCGTTCGTACTACTGACCTGACGGCGTTCGGGCAGCACCGTTGGCGGGGTCTATGTACACACACGTAACAACTTAGCGGCCGAAGACGCGGAAGAAGCAGAGGCACTTGCCTGGGCCTGGTTCTTCTGTGCCTCGGATAGCATGAGCGCGCGATGCCGCTTGCCCTGCTTGTGCGCGTGCACCGCGCTCTTGACGAGTATGACCCCGCATGTGCAGCGGACGATGTCGTGCCGCAGGTGACACGAGTTCCCGCGCGTGCAGCCCGCCGGCAGCAGGGCCGCGGGACAGTATTGGGGGTTGAGCACGTTCGGCTGGACCGTTGCGCGCGTCATGTCTCTCGGGACTCGCGATACAACAGAAAGGGAGGGATGCGGGACGAGAATATTGCGCGCGAGGATCCACGCAAGCGTGGGTGAGAGAATGGAGGAGAGGGGAGGTTTCCGTGCGCAGAAGGAAGCACAGGATGAGGGCACGCGTTCTTCGGATCGGATGACATCGATGCCATTTCAAAGCGCACTACATATAAGCTTTACGTGAAGGCCCAGATCTTTTCAAACGTCCAATACGCATCCAATATCATACGAAGGCGCACTCACCAGAAGGGATACAAAAACAAGGCAAGACTCAACAAAGCGGATTCTCATTTGCATCACGTTTGACCCGTCGTGCTAGTCAACAGTGAATTCGTTCTCGTTACTATTCTCATGGTTTCTTCTTGGTAGAGCGTTTCAGCGTCGCAGTCGGGAACAAGAGAAAAGGGTGATTAGATCGTTTCAACGATCTCTCCACGTGGTGTCCCAAAGTACTGCGCTTAGATAAGGAGCATTCGGCGTTGAGCGTTGGTGCTTAGATCACATCCACGGTTATATCTTCCATACGTGAGTGCCTCGATCCAAAGTGGGCTCTGCCGATTGAGCGAACAGACGCGTCATCTGAACAGCTTACAGCAAACAACTCATGCACCCCCCAGTCTCTTATCGAGCGAGCTAGGGGATCGGGTAATGTTGTTAGCAGTCGTAAATGCTCACTGGATGGCACTCACAAGGGCCGCTACGACTCAAGCAGACTGTGCAGTCAATTTAACCTGTAATACAGGAAGCATTCGGCGTTCAATCATCTCTCAACCTCACTACTGTCACACACGTGATCCTCCGTATATTTTTGACCGTGAAGTAGGGGGTCTGGAGGAGCCGCGGGTCGCTCGCTGTCACTCTGGGTTCTGCGAAGTCTATCTGGCTTTGCGCAACCGCATCTCCTAGATCTTATCATTATCGCTATTTTCAAGACGTCTCTTGCCTGTTGTCTTCCAGGATAAAAAGTCGCGCTACTCGTCGTCGCCAGAGTCAATGCCCGTAACTCAGAGGTTCCGCGACTCGGGGCCAGCAGACCCTCGCTGAGAACTCAAATAGGCTCGAGTATGACCGCTGGGGATACCATCACTCCCACACACCCTTCTCGCCTCTCGCCTCCTCTTGGAGTTATACCGTGTCCAATCCTGGTCTGCGCCTATTCGCTCGTGCTGCAAGCAGCTCCACGAGTGGGTGAGATGCGGCGCTAGGATCAGCTTAAGGCGGCTGCGATGTGATACAGTGGGTCTGCGCAGAGCCATCTGAGTCCATGACCGTCCTCGACAGCACCAAGGAGCATCGCTCCAATCGCAGCTTGAGCCCGCCCACAGAGGTCGAAGAGTCTCACGCCCCGAGCACATTGGCAGCGATACGCAGTAGGCTGGGCCAGCTCGCGGCGTGGCTGCGGGTGTGCGGCGTCGAGACAATCGGGTGTGTTTTCCGCGGGTTGTCCCAGCAAAATAGGCTGATTCTCTGACAAGAATTACTCCGGTCCCGGAAGAGGATCGCACAGAGACGAGGACATACCAGCTGTTTCTGTTCTGGTTCGCCGCGAACTTGAACCTCTCGGGGTGCGTGATTCATGTTTTTGAAGTCCCGCCAATGAGGAGGCTGTAGCACAGGCTGACATATGGTGCAACGGGGCCCGTCGTCTTCAATCTCTCTCTCCGGGACTCAGTTCTAGTGAACCTGATCTCCAACTTGATGTGAGCATGAGCACAGGACACCGCAATCGAGCTCACGAAAACCCGCAGTGCGGCTATCTTCCCAGCGTATCTGTGCGTGCTCTGGCGGTTTTCTCCGAGAGGCTGTCCCTTCATCAATACTTCAGCGCTATATTCGGTTCTAAGTTGGGGATGCGCGCGATGGTCCAAGCGTGTGTCCATCAGCTGGTTCTCTACTTTTCAGGCGACTGATTATCGTCGGTAGGAGATATTCCTGGGGGTAAATCCGACTCTCAAAACTTGTTTTCCACTACTGAAACAGCGCACACTGCGCATCTCACAGGACGCGCGCCATTGGGCTTCCGGCCATCCTCAACGTCGTCACCTCGCTCGGGTACATTGTCCTCGCGCTGATCGTCGGCGGCCAGCTTCTCTCCGCGGCCTCCCCCTCAGGCACGCTATCCCCGGCGCTCGGCATCACAGCCATCTCGCTCATCTCGCTCGCGGTATGCTTTTTCGGGTACCGGTGGATGCACTGGTTTGCGTCGCTCGCGTGGATCCCAACGGTCCTCGGTCTGCTTGTGATGCTCGGCGTGAGTGCTCGAGATTTGGCTCACGCTTTGTCTTCCGGGGCAGAAGAACCGCCGCGAGTCGGGACGCTCTTCTCGTATGCCGCGACGGTCGCAGCGGCTATCATCTCGTGGTGCCCCGGTGCCCCGGACTACTGCGTCTATCATCGTGCGTCCAGGTCGATTGATTTCTTTCTCGCGACAACGACGAAGGCTCATGGATCGGGCAGTGCAAAGATATTTTTCTATACGTATCTTGGCAACTTTCTCCCTGGGGTGCGTCCTTGCTGCTGTATTGCAGTCTCTCGCTCATGCATCATTCGAACAGGTGATCACGGGCGTTCTGGGCGCTGCCTTCGCTGCAGCCGCCCCGAACATCCCGGCGTGGAACACCGGTTACCAAGCGGGGAACGATCTGGGCGGTCTGGTCGCAGCGACTCTGCAGCCTGTCGGCGGCTTTGGCAAGGTCCTCATTGTGTCGATGGCGCTCGCTATCACCGCGCTGACGCTCCCCTCGATGTACTCATTCGGTCAGTGGTCCCTTCATCTCCTGAGAAAAGTCCCCGGGAATAATGCCCTGCAGGATTCAGTCTCATGAATGTGACCCCGTACTTTGCGAGGGTGCCACAATACGTCTATGTCGTCATTGCTACAATACTGTATCTATTCTCTCTCCTGATGCAAGTCTTCATTCATTTCGGGCCACAGATGCATCCCCCTCGGGATCTTCGGGGAGACGCACTTCTACTCCGTGCTCGTCGTCGGTGTTGGTGAGCCGCTCATTGTGCATCTTCGCTAGCACTGCTGTCCTTACCTACTATATCCGCGCGCAGACATGAGCGGTTACTGGTCCGCGTCCTACGCCGCTATCATTATCGTCGAGCACCTCCTGTTCCGACGCGCCCGGTTCTCGTGTTATCCCCGGCAGCACTGGGACGACCAGAAGCACATGCCCCCGGGCTACGCGGCGACATTCGCGTTCGTCGCGTCGTTCGCGGCCGTTGTCCCGTGCATGGCGCAGGACTGGTACACCGGCCCTGTCGCAAAAATCACGGGCGATGTCGGCGTGTGGGCGGGGTTTCTCGCGGCGGCGGCCGCGTACGGTGTCGGCCGGAGTCTGGAGAGAAGAGCGTTTGGAAGGTGATGGGAGTTTGAGTCAGTAGTGCGAGATAGGTATGCATCACCGCTCGAAGTTCTTACTTCCGTCGCGCCGATCAAATTGAGCTGAGGTCAGCTGATCGTTTTGTGCTGCTCTCGGGCAGAGTGACCAAGCCAGATGCCTGATGACAAATGCAGGATGGCGCAACCTGTCCCTACTACGCCAGAAGCTCGGATTTAGAATCCTCCCCCCGGATCTTCACACCGCTATCCCCTATGCAACAGCTGTGCTCGACAAGTCCCTTGGGTGAGGATGCCAAGCACGTTTCGGTGCGTCACAGCAGTCAAGACGTAGTACACGATAAGCAGTCTCTTAGTCTGGGACGTGTAGGTCTGTATTCGTCCCGCTGGGCGCGCGCGGCTTGCGGGGAGCGCATCCAGGGAATGGAAAAGAAGAAGCAGGGTTCAGTTGATTATCGCGCCGTTGATTATCGCGCAGCCATCGGAACCCCCCTCCGACCCCGCCAGAACAGAAACAGAAGCGGATCCGCGTCCGGAGGCGGGCGTTCTTCGACAAGTGGGGATGAACGTCCATGTCAACCCACCTCCTGGACTGAGCTCCACCGGCCCGGGCGGCCGGGCGGTCGTGTTATGTTTTCGTTTTCGGGCTAGAAGGTAAGTAGTATGTACTGCTTGCCAATCTCTTCGGCCTTTCGGAGCTGGACTGGCTCTATTTCTGGAGGCCGTCACCATGGCTATTTCTGTCGATCCGAGAGGCCCGTAATACCGTGAAACTGATGTGTAGTGCAGTGTGAGGTATTTCGCCACGGATTGGGAAGACCCAGTCGCACACGGTTGCAACTTGCTAGAGACGACCGTAGGCAATTTCTGGAAGCGATTTATGTTGTGTTTTCATCTGGTTCTGCTTCCCTTCTCGGGGCGAGCAAGCGCTGTTGGGTATCGTGTCGGAAATGCACCAGTGGAGCTGCTATCAAAACCGACTGAGATTGCGTACAAAGCGCTGTTGAAAACATCTTCTATCAAATCTAATACACTCTAGTAGTTCTCCGGTGTCAAATCAGAGTGCCGTGTTCCGAGCGAGAAGGACTGTGCTTCATCGATACTCCGGGGAGGGGCCAGCTCTGGCCTTGTGATGCAAATGAAAGAACACTCGCGGCGGAGGAAGCGGGTCGAGGCTCCCCTTCAGGACTCCCGTTCTCGCGTTGACTCAGCGGCGAGGGGGGACTATTCCGAACAGCAGCGAAAAGATGCCGCGAAGAAGCGGCTTCGACGAGGCTATCACACATGCGCAGTCGTCTCGTGGTCGAGGCTTGAGAGCGGAGCTGGTTTCTGAATTTGACATGCAGCTTGCACCGGTCTCGGCCGTCCTGTTGCTGCTGCTGCTGCAAGGACAACCGGGTCGGTGTGCGGTTTCGTTTATCGGTGGAGGAGCTCGAGGATCTCGGCCGATCATGCGCGGGGACTCACGTGTGCGCCGACTGACGTGCGCGATGACTTCATCGTCGTCCTCTACGACTACGATGTGTGCTTGCAACGAGGCTGGCGGGGGACAACGCGGGAGAGGGGCGAGTGCGACGACTCACAGGCCAGGCAACGTGCAGGGCCCAGGCAGGCGTGTTGCTACGTAAATGGCACCCAGGCTGCCGTAAGGTGAAGCAGTCCCAATTTTCTTGCACGCTCGCCTTGATCCGTGGCCGGCCTCAGAAGCCTTCACCCACCAAAGATAGCGGGGGACCATATATTCTCGACAGGAGTCTCCCGCCATCCGCGCGCAGATAAGATATTCTGGGGCCAAGGACGCCCAAGCTGTTGAGAGCTGTTATACAAAGGACGGAATGACCCTGGTGATCTCGGACGATCGACAGAAGAAAGTCTTATCCCTTTCTGACAGCACTCCAAATCGGGCGAGTCTCGATTCAGACAGCGGGTATATATAGAACCTTTTCTTCGCTCGGCCATGTTTCGCTTTGTCCTCGCTCGTGGGCTGCTTTAAGTAGCGACCTCCCCAAGCCTCCCACCCCTCCCTCCCACTCTTCTCACTACGGCAACCTGAACGAAACAACCATGGCCACTGTCGCACCTTTTCCTATCTCCGCCCTTGCCGACCCGCTCAAAAACACGGCATTTACCGACTCACTGTCGACGAGCAAAGTCGGATTCGTCGTCGAGCCTTCGCTGACCGACGGGTGCTTCGCCATTGCTCGTGTCCAGGGCGCCATCCGCCTCATCCAAGGTGCGCATCACAGCAGTGTCTCATCGCCGCTCACACGACTGACTGTCTTTGTCCCGCTCGTCTGCAGTTCCCCGCATGCCCGCCTCCGCACTCGCCGCGATCGACCTGACCGTCTTCCGGCACGAGTTCATCCATATCTTCCGCGTGCTCGAGAAACGCGCGATGCACCCCGCGGACGTGCACATCCTTGAGCGCATCGACGCGGGCGCCGTCACGTGCGACGAGGACAGCGACAGTGTGTTCCTCGCGAAGGCCGTGCTCGAGCGCCTCAGCCGCCTCACGAGTCCCGTCGCGCATCGCTACGGCGCGATTGGGATGGGCCACTCCCGGTCGTCGAGCCACCCTCCGCGGCAGCACCGGCGCCACTGAGGCGTATCGTGCGCGTGCCGTGCTGGGCTGGGCTACCCCTGGATGTAGCATTTAACCGATGCGCCCTATGCCCGCTAACGTCGCCTGCCATGTTACTTGCACGCCCCCGCCACGTTTCCCGCCACATGAACGACCGCTCCACTCTATCTGTCCCCCTCCACTCACACCTTAGCATCGCATATTCATCACATGTATTTTTACCAAGCTATCATCCATCCTCATGTTATCGACTTTCTCGGTTCTCTCTTACTACGCGTCCTGTACCCTCCGGCGTCTCTTTATTGTGTACATATTGACCTGATCCACACGGCCCATCGCCATTAATGACATCCGCGCGCGCACATACCGCGCCGTACCATACTTTTCTTTGTGAACCTAATGCCAGTCCTCAATACTCCGGTGAGATTATCTGTTGCAAAGTAAAGCACGGCACGCTTCTTCGGCCTGCTCGGTGTGCCATCCATCCGGGAATCAGTGACATCATAGTTGACGTCCGCGCGCTGCGTCGGTGATCATGCGCGTAGACCTTGTGGCGCGGCTCCACCACCACCACCATGGCCATGCCGGACGGACAGATCCGGGGAGGCCCATGATTGAGATTCGAGATTTGAGATCCAGATTTCAAGCGCGACGGCTGAACATTCTTATATCCTCCGCTGTGCCGCGGAGCGAGATCCAGCCTGCACCATTCTGCCCGTCGTTCCCGCCAGCGAAGGTATGGGTTTGATGAGCGAATCGCGTCGTCACTGGTGGGGCGGACGGGCGATCGTTTCAACGGCGGATGCGGCTTGTTTCGTCGGAGGCATGCGTAGTTCTTGTTCAGGATGAAACACGAGAATAAGGTGTGGGTGCGATGAAGCCAAGCATGTTACCGTACACGAGGGCCAAACAGGTACTGAAAGCGTCGCTACATGTATGAGGGCTGCAATGGTTGTTGATATGAATGGCACGAGTGCATAATTGTAAGTGACAGGTAGGGATGGCACTCGGAATTCTTTCCCGCAGATAATTTGACAGGATCAGGAAATGTTGTTGCGCATGTGTACAAAACCAATGAGATGGAACGACAAAATGGACTATACCGGAGTCGAACCGGTGACCTCCCGCATGCTAAGCGGACGCGCTACCAACTGCGCTAACAGCCCTATGAAGAAGTTCTGCCAGAGCAGACTCTAACTCGTCATATTATTTCTGCTGGAGCAATAGAACGAATCCCTCAACCTTCCCATTGAGCTGCCACAACTGCCAGGAATGCTTTCGAGCATATATTCCATGATTTTGTGCCGGAGAGCTCACAAGATTTACAGCCCAGGCGTTCCAAAAATCTCATTAAATGACATGCCTTGCTTTACATTGCAGTCTCATCTTATCAGACCTTCGAAGGAAAATCTAGTCTACCACTAGATAGCCGCGCACTCCTTCTTCAGCCATTCCAGAGCCCGGGGGTCGTTTTGTATCAGGGGCGAAACCTTGGCAAGGACCTCCTCGTGGTACTTGTTGATCCAGCCCACCTCCTCCGCGGTGAACACGCTTCGGTCAATGAGCGACGTCTGGATCGGGCACCTAGGAATTGTGTGGGAATCGTGGTTTCTTCTAAAACCCGAGTAACGCCGTCACTCACATTGTCACATTCTCGAAGCCGAGATATCCCTTGTCCCCGAAATTGTTCGGCGTGTCGACTTTCTTGACCAACACGATGTTCTCGATACGGATGCCGAACTTCCCGTCGGCGTAGTAGCCGGGTTCGTTTGAGACCGTCATTCCAGGCTTCAATGGTGTGGCATTGTAAGCTGGATGAAGGTAAGTGCATTCCTGGAGCGGGTGGAGATGAAGTGACGCGCCAATCCGAACACCCATTCCGTGAGGGCCCTCGTGTACGTTCAGATAGTGGCCGACACCATGTCCCGTTCCGTGTCTAGGGGCTGGATAAGATTACAATCTTCAACTCTGATGGGATCACCAACCGATAATCTAGGCGGGCAGAATTTCGGCCACTGACTGCGAAATATGATAGGCAGGCTTACCTAGACCGTCTTGCCACAGCGCTCGTCGAGCAAATGCATCTCTACTTTCTTCAGCAACTGGCACTCCCCGCGCGGCAGCACATCACTCACAGAAGATAGCCTGATACACCTCGCATCAGCAAGCTGTGTGCGAAAGTGAGGTAACGCACCGGTTGTCCCGCTCGGAAAGATAGCGGTATCGATCGCAATGTGGCCTTGCAAAACGCGAGTGAACGCACGCTTTTCCTCGGGAGTCGCTGTGCCAAAGTGCTGCGAATACAGGTCACCAAAAGGTATCCGCACGGGATTGGGGACGCACCCAGGTGCGAGTGACGTCAGTGGTTCCATCCAGAAATTGGGCTGGGGTTCTGAATTAGTTACGCTCAAGTTGCGCTTGACCTTCTTACCTCCAGAATCGCAGAGATATATCTCATCGCGTTTGACCTCGGAGCAATCGCCCGGCGTTGGGAAGTAATGAATGATGGCTGGAGGCCAGACTTAATTGCGCGAAGAAAAGAGAGCGAGTCAGACATACCAGCGTTGGAACCGGTGGACGAAATGGTAGGGAAAGACAGCCCTCGGAAAAGGTCCAGCTCACTTGAAGATCAGTTGACCAGAGTATACATTTTTCCCCAGACGTGACTCACGATCTGAATGCCTCCAATTGCTCGGCGACTTGGTTCTCATCCAGCTTGGCACCAGAATGGAGCTGCTCCTCGAGCCAGGCAAAGTACCTGGCCAATGCCGCACCGTCACGGATATGGCTTTGGCGGAAACCTTCTAGTTCTGCGGCGTTCTTGATCGCCTTCATCTCTGCGACGGGCGACAGAGAAAGTGTGTAATTCCCCTAAAGAAAAAAAAAACAGTTGGTCCGCATTTTTTGGGAACGGGATTTCTAAACTAACCTCACCAACAGCTTGAGCTACCGCCAAACTCGACTTGTCGCCAAGGAGAACTTGATCACCCAATCCTTTCAGGTAGGACCAGATCTCGTCGTAGCCCTTGACCTCAACTTCGCTTCCTAAACTATTCTTCACGTCCTCATTGAGCTGATCGTTGTTGACGAAGAGGACGGCTTTGTCAGTAGTCACGACGGCATAGGCGAAAAAGACGGGGTTGAATGCAATGTCGGTTCCGCGAAGGTTGAATAACCATGCCACTTCGTCCAGCATTGTGACGACCATGGCAGTTGCAGACTTGGTCGCCAACTCGGCCCGGAGACGTGCCAACTTGGATGTATGCGATTCACCTGGAGGAGAATGAGAATAAGTAGAAGGAGCGTCCTTGGTGGAATGACTGGCCGGAATATTTGACATCCAGGACGTGTATCTGACTCTTGGGCCGTGAAGGCCGGTCTCCAGCCCAGACTGTGTCTACCGGATTCTTGGGCAGGGAAACAAGTGAAGAGCCCCGCGTGTCGAGAGACTTGGTAAGAGATTCCGCGTCGGCTGTAGAGGTTCAGGACGGTTTACGGAAGGACTGGCCACATACAAGCCGAGATCAGGGTAGAATCGATACCGATGTTCGAACCGTCACCGAGATTCTGCAGTGCTCTGATAAATGATTGGAAATGTTGTATAATAATTTTACCCACTTTGGAAAGAAATTCTTGCCACGTAGGAACATCTAGTATCGCTCGCCATTCAATGTCAATTCTGCACACAACTCGGATGCTCTTACCAGGGAGGCCTTGCTTCATCAGCGTCCAGTTGCTGGTATCGAATGAGTACAAAGATAACGAATAGAAACAACATACGCATCCAGCTGCTGCTCAGCTTGCAGGAAATACCGTCCGTCCGTGAACAAATACGCGTCTTTTTTGGTCACGATGGCACATCCTACGTGGCAGTCAGACGCGAATAGCATGTGCTTTCAGACTCAATTCACCAGCCGATCCATTGAACCCAGAAATAAACGCTCTCCGCTCGTCGCACGAAGCCAGATACTCGCTCGAGTCTGCAAAAGCACGTGCCAGCCAAATCAATCTAGGAAGCCCCTCGCTATCGATATCGATCGAAACGCACGCTGGTCCTCGCTGGGTACGACAAACGCATCCACGCCCTCTTGCGCCAGGTACGTGCGCAGCGTACTGAGGCGCTCCGTGGTCGGGATCTTCTGTACAGTCATGGAGATGCTGCGTGTCGCTCGTGGTCCTGGGGGCAGGTGGGAAGCAGTCAGGGGGGATAGAGGGGGGTGATGCAGACTGTTGGAGGCGATCCGGAGCCCTTGTAGCCGGTGTGAAGCTAACTTTCGCAAGATTGCGAGCATGTGCCAGTTAGCAGACGAAGTTTCACGTGACAATCACGCTTAGCAGGGATACTCGGGGATGACCTCATCCAATGTGAATGCTTTATCATCCGAGTTGGAAATATGATTCAGTACCTTGTGCTTCTTGGGCTCTCACAGTACTATGTCGGATCCAGGCTCCTCATTACCACCGTTTGAGCCATCGTCCTTCAAGTACACCCAGCCACCAGACGCCGAATTCACCTTCGGGCAAAAGGCCGCGTCTACGGAGGGCGGACGACAATGGGCAGAGCAAGAGAAGCTTGGATGGGAGACTATCGACGCGCGCACAACCGATCCTAGGCGAGTGATATCTGCCTCGGTCCTCTCTCGCTCACTCAACCTCTATCAGAGAGGTATACAAGATGACGATTTCGGGTATCGCTCCCCGACCTATCGCGTTCGTGTCCACAGAGAACGAGAGCGGAGTGGGAAACATTGCACCGTTCAGGTAATGCTGAATACCGATACGGGCATCCGCAGCCGAGAAACGTACCCGTGCTAATCCTTGTTCCGCAGCTTCTTCAATCAGGTCTCGTACAACCCCACCGTGATCTCCTTCGCGTCCACGGGCGGAGCCAACAAATTCAAAGACACCGTGAACAACATCCGCGCGACGAAGGAATTCACGGTCAGTCTCATCAGCGAGCCATGGATCGCGCAGGCCAACGCCGCTTCGATCGACGCGCCTCCGGATGTGAGCGAGTGGGATATCACCGGATTGACCAGGGAGCCTAGTGTGAGCTATGCCGTCGTTTTTGTCTGCGCCACCAAGTCAACTCATTTCCCTAGACGTCGGTGAAACCGCCCCGCATCAAGGAATCCGCGTTTAGCCTCGAATGCGAGGTCAGCAGCACGCCGTTGCAGTCCTTCAGACCCTGTTTCTAATCTGTGGATAGCTGCTCCAAATCGTCGAAATCAAAAACGATGCGGGGGAAGTGCGCTCCAGTTTGGTGCTCGGCACCGTCAAGTTGGTCCACGTCAGAAAAGCCGTACTCAACGAGGCGGGGACAGCGATCGACCCGGCCAAATATATGGCCGTGAGCCGTCTCGGCGACACGACCTATGCTTTGGTTGGGAATGGATTCAGGATGCCACGACCGGTTTGGAACAAGGTCGAGGTCGATGCGAGAAAGGCTGCCGGCACCGCCTGAGCCACCGCGCTTTCCTAACATGAATAGATGGCTAGTTTCTGCACTGTATACATACATACATAAATTTGGTTGTTGAGAACCCGGAACACGTTCCACACATACAGCTAATGGGTTTTGAAGTACTCAGGGAGGACATAGCCGAGACCACGGTGAGGGAACTCGGCGGGGCTGCGCATGAGTGCGAACTTCATACATCCAACCTCCTCGCTCAAGAGGCTCTCGTCCTCGGCACCGGCGACGAGCAGACGCTCGATGACATGGGCCGCAACGTATCGGGACGTCTCTGCGTTTTGTTGGAGGATCTTGCCCACCTCAGCCGCGGTCACACCCGCTTCGTGAGGGCGCCATGCATCGTAGTCGGTCGATGTGGCGATCAGAGCGAAGCTGTATCGCATCTCAGAGCACGTCGGAGGGACAATTCGGATGCACCACATACCTGATCTCTGCCTCTCGCGCAAGCTTGGCCTCGGGCAGGGCAGTCATGCCGATGAGATCGCCTCCCCATTGACGGTACATCAGGCTCTCGGCGCGGGTCGAGAACTGCGGGCCCTCCATCACGACGAGCGTCTTGCCCGTCCAGAGCTTGACGCCGCGTCCCTCCTCCTTCAGCGCCTCAGCGACCGCGCCCTCGAGCCACTTGGACAGCTTGAGCGAGTACGGGTCGCTGAATCCGACATGCGCCACGAAGCCCGTTCCGTCGAAGAAGGACGTCGCGCGGATGCCCTTGGTCCGGTCGATCAGCTGCGAGGGAAGGACGAAGTCGCCCGGCGCGATCTCCTCGCGCAGGGAGCCGACGGCGGAGAACGCGACGATCGTGCGGACGCCGAGCGACTTGAGCGCAGCGATGTTGGCGCGTGCGGGGATGTCCGTTGGGGAGATAGAGTGGTCGACGCCGTGACGCGCGACGAAAGCCACGAGCGCACCGGAGGGGAGGGAGGAGATGGCTATGGGAGACGAAGGGAAACCCCAGGGCTGTACGAGAAAGGTCCCTTAGTGAGTAGATCATGCAGTTCTGTGAGGAGACGTGCCGTCTCTGGGTTGACATGCTTGCTGCATGCCCCGTCAGCCGCGTAGATATGAATTATTATCTTTGACACTTACATGAAAGTCAAGTTCCCGAGGTTGTACAACCCGCTGCCACCGATGACACCGACCAAAACTGCAAGAAGAATTAGCTGGGTACGTCGTCAGACGTATAGAGAAGGCACATGCCTTTATCGCTCGACATCGTGGAGGTAGAGGAAGGAATGTGTTTGCCAGAGTTTGGACCGCACGTTTATCGACCATCACTTCTGTGGCTGACATCTACGATCTCGAAAACGTCGCCAGTCTGTCCAACTTGTTCGCTTTGACGTCCCATGAACCAGTGGTACTGATTCAAGCGCATGGAGCTCCAGGCTTCGATCTGATCCAGCGCTGCGAACTTTTTCGGATCTCCAAGCCGCAGTGTGAATAGATGGCCTGCCGTAACCAATCTTATCTAATCTTTGCATGCAAGACTAGGAGACCGGCGTTCCGTTTGTAGCATTTATTCTCCTGAACTCCTTCGATTGAACACTCTTATACACAGAATACATCAGATTACTGGATTTCAGCTGGCAGGATCCACGATCTCCTAGGTCGAAGTCCAGGTCACCGCACTCGCGTCCTCGAAGATCTTGGTGTCCGTAGATCCAAGCGTCAAGTTGGGATCCAGGTAGGCTGTATACAGTCATCAGAATCAAAAACTTAAATTTCATGTGTCCAATTTTACTCACGGACGAACTGAACGAACAATCAATTCGGATTGTGAGCGTTTGCAAGACGAGTCGTCAGGTATCACTCACGTAAGCGGTAAAGTCGATCTCGTTTCTGTTCCTGTAGAAGACGACACGATCGTTATTGTAATTGGCACACGTTCCCGACTTGACGGTGTTCATATCCTTGAAATACAAAAGCCCGGAAAGGTAATCTATGAGGAACCATCATCAGTTCGGAGTGCACCAGGTCCTCGTCATTGATGGTCCACTCACTGACGGACTTGGGGTTGAACGATTGCGATCCCGTGTGAATAACCGCCTTGAGATTGACCGAGTCGACGGTGAAGGTGATCTTGGACTCGTCGGCAAGCTTGCGCACAGTCGTTGTCGCGACGCCAATCTTGAGTAAGGTCCACTTGCCCTGGCAGGTCGACTTCTTATCGATACCTGTGTTGGTCACCGTTTGTTGCTGCCAAACTATCAGAAGTCCGCTGACAGAACATACTCGAGATCTGCTTACAGGATCATATGCCAGGAACTGTCAAAGTCAAACATCAGATCACGTGTTCAGTCAGATCGAAATAACGAACCTCGGCATGGGGATTCTCCACGTTTTCGCGGTAGAAGCGGACCCAAGCGCACCACTTGCTGTCAGCCTCGTTATAGTATTGCTCGGCCTTGTAGTAAACGGGGTCCGAGTCCTTGATGTCGAACGAATCGGCCGTGTCATAGAACACAGTGCCGGCAGGGTCTGTGCAGTGGGATCAGCATGGAGCGGGCGGGGCCGACTTTGTGTGCACCCACCGGTACCAATGTAAAGTCCGTCAGTGAACTCGCGTCCCAGCTCGGGAACCTCGAGGCGCATCGCCGGGCTCATCCCGCTCGCTTTGAAGAACAGAGCCTCCGCGTTGCTGGAGCCCGCCCATTTCGATCGCAGCTGAGAGAACTTGTCGGTCATCCTGTTTATCTGGAGATGTTGAGAAAATTGAGGGCACGGACACTGGCTTTATACTATGGTGAGTCAAAGCGATCTTCGGAATCTCGCGCTGGAATGAATGATGAATGCAAGAGTATTCACCGGATTCCAAAATGGGAACCCGCAACTTCATGTTTGCGGATTCTAGAATAGGCTAGTCGTGCTCAAGTGACCATGGAACCACGTCAGACACGGCACCGAAGTTGTCCGATGCAGAGACTGTTGAACCCTCATTGCCGTTTATAGACCACGCACCACGCTAAGAATCGTCCGTGAGATTGGTTTGGGGCTCATCCAGCCAGCTTCTAAGAGGTTTTGCTTAGCCCGGCCCCAGAAAGATCCGGATATCAGTCTGCGCAGCTCACCCATGCGGCCCACGTTCCTGATATCTGTCGCTATTTGAAGCGAGTCATACAAAATCGTGGTGACACTTGTCTGCCAAAACTCATTGAATTCATTACGATCAAACTTCATTGAATGCATTACTCGTTACGCCAAACTACTCGACCCGCTGCTATTCGATTTACTGGATGTTTTCCCATGAGATCTGCTGGAAGTGCAGGGTTCTCAGCGACGCGAGATCGTTTCCAGGCATTTCATAGGCTAAAGGAATACCGGTCAGCGTGAGTCATGAGCGCAGAGCGGAACTCATTCACGGATAAACTGTGCGGTAGACCATTTATCAGAGGTTGTCTTTCGGGTAGTAGTAAGAGGGAGAACTCACATATCCAACGATGTGGGACGAGCTCCGGTCTTTGTAGAACACAATGCGCCGATCGTCGTACGCAGCGTAAGCGCCGCTGAAGACAGCCTTGAGGTCAGTGAAGTAGAACGTCCCGCCTGCGTAATCTGCGAGGCCGACATCCATCAATTCCGACTCCCACTGATGAATCTCCGTCGACTTACTGACGGATTGGTGCGCGAGGGGATTGTCATCGGGCACGGGGATGATTGCGCGCACATTCAGCGTCCGGAGCGTGAATCTCAAGGAGTGCACGTCCGCTAGTTTGCGCACTTCGCCTGGAACACTGCCGACGTCGAGGCGGTCCCAGGTGCCGCTGCGAGTGATCCTGTCCATTCCGGTCGACTCGGCGGTGTTGTCCTGTGCATCGTCGGTGAGTGTAAGCGAGAAGAAAGGGTGCTGATCAACGAACCGGATCGGGGCCAAAGAACTGAATGAGCGAGCTAGTGAGAACACGTAGAAAGAGGGCAGACGAGCGCACCTCTGCATGGCACTGGTCGATATCTTCGGTGAAGAACCGGATCCACACATGCGCAGAGCGTTCGAGCGGGGCGATGTAGCGTTCGATGTAGTACGACACCTCATCCCGCTGCTCCAAGCTGTCGAATGCGTTGAAGTAGAGTTGGCCCTCGAGGTCTGGAAACATTGAGCTTTCCGGTGGCGGGGGGAAATCGACGGACCCACTCTTGCCCATCTTGACGAAGTCGGTAAACTCACGACCGAGCATGGACACTTCCATGCGCATCCCTTGGTCGATGAACTTGGGATGGTGGAGTCCTTGGTCGCCAAGCGATGTCTGCTCGCGGTCGTAAGGGACACGGGTCCCAGCGAGGAGGATTTGCGCAACCGCGCTGTAGCTGTAAGCTTTGCTCAGAATCGGAGGGTGCTCAGTTCGCGACATGATGGGTGGCTTGGCGCACATCCCTCCCATAAAGTTATAAGGAAGAACTTTGCAGAATCGGGTATGAAGGAGAGGTCCACTTCCATAATCCCGGATTCCATACTCGGCAAGATTTACCGCCGATTTGGACCATGCATCCTGTCTGCATGTCAACAGGAGTACGCCAAACTAGAGATACTGGAATAGAGTCTCATTGGGGACAATCAAAGCGGACAAACCTTGTTTATGACAGCCAGCATGGAAGGTCCAGCATGTGTTCAAGTTAGCGAGAAACTACGGATCCAGTTGAAATCAGACTGTGTAAGTGGCTTACCCCGCATGTCGGAGTCTGAATCTGGCTGATCGGGCTTGGGTTGTGTGTGACTTGGGCTTGTGCATCACTTTTGATGACTAGAAAGCGTGGTTACTAGAAAGCGTCGGCTCTGCCGACATTCTGCCTTGCTATTTGATATCAAAATTAATTCTAATTTTTTCTTTGATACGGGCAACTACGACGGGTCGAACTCGAGACAGACAGGAAGAGCACGGAGAGGAACGGAACAGCGGGGGAAGCCGGGTCCGACGAAATCGAGCCAATTATGAGGGTGGAGAAGCCTTGACAAGCAAGGCAACAACACCGTGGACCGTATCGCGTCATGAATAATTAATTGCTCATTACCTATAACTATAATTACTTATCTTACTAAACAGGAATCACCGTTCACCCGTTCTTTCCATCACATTTCAGCTACCTACATACAGTCTATACACAGGACTTCGCAGTACACAGAAAATATCGATTTTCATTCGACTTACAGCTTCGACAAAATTGTGTCGCGGACTCGTGCCAACCGCCTCATTACCAATTGGCATGTACTGTATCAACGTCGTCAAAAGTGACCTTGCTGGCGGCTGCGCACTCGAAGGCTCCCGAACTTGCGATGGGTATTTCAGCTTTACCTTTGATAAAAGAATATTGTAAAGACTCCGTACATACAATTTTCATCCTCCATGCCCGTGAATCCAACTTGATCACCGCATCTTGTTCCTTTGCACCAATCTTTGTCGAAAATCAGAAAATACTTGTTAGCAAACGAAACAATTGGTCTTGATTGGCAAGCCGGCTTTTTGGCTTGCAAGCCTGATGGCATTAAGCACTCGCTCTCGCACTCCGGCTCTACTCTATCGGATCTACAATATCCAAGCAAATCCCATCACAAGCCAAAAAAAAAGACACTTAGCGCGGGCACAAGCCACTTCGGCAAGCCAAAACTGACACTGTCAGTTGAAATGGCTCTGCCCCACTTTGGTCAGCCTACAATATGGACAGCCACCGCGCTTGAACCTCAGCCATTGTCATCGAATCCAAGCGCGTTATTGGATTGGAGCCACGGACACTCTGAGCCGCGCTTTGGATTTCTTCTCAGCAATAAAACCGCACGACAAAATGAAACTTTCTTCAAACTCGCCCTGCATCCGAGTCGCTGTCGGCCATGCCCAGTCCCTCGCTGCGATCGCCCAACGCGTTCATCCTGTTCCGCTCGTTCTTCTCCAAGAACCACTCGCCGCCCAATGCAGCCCAAGCGCACGTCAGCGCGCTTGCAGGCCAGGCTTGGCGTGGTCTCGCCGACGCAGAGCGTGCTGTGTGGCAGGAGCGCGCCGCAGAGCTCAAGCGGGCGTGGATGCGGGCGTCGGAGAAGCGTGCATTGGAAGAGGGCGCCGAGCCGCTCCCGAGAAAGAGAGGGCACCACCATCCTAGCCAGCACCCGCCCGCTGTGCAGCGGCTGGACCATTCCGCTGGCCCATCCGTCTCTGAGGGTCGATTCGATGAGAGTGCTCGTAGAAATGCTCCGGTTCCTGGGATTTATACTCTGGTGCGTGGATTCAGAGTGTTCTAAGTAGATCAAATGGGTCTCATGACATGTCGCAGGCGGACCATGCTGCCCTTCCGGCTCCGACGCCAGAGCTCCTGTTGGCGAATTATTATCGGTCCCAAGAGTTTTCCGAGTGCTGGAACAGCTTCGTGAATGAGTTTTGTAACGCCACCCATGTGGATCACCAGGATCAAGAGTCGTCGCCAGATATCCTGGACTACAATGCCCTCTGCGACTGGACTGCGGACTATCATGGCCCGCCATCTAGGTCTGAGCAGCAGCGCACCACTTCGGGTGTGCAGTCTGGGGATCGCCGCTATGCGCCGTACTAGACCTTGTAAACGGTTCGATTGAAGATAAGATAAGATGCATGATGTAATGTAATGTTGAACAAACACAACCAAATGATTTCGGACCCCTACCCCAAGTTCTCAGGTCGCGTCTCTCCGCAAGCAGTGGCATCCCCTATGACCATCGCTCGCAATGAATCTTCGTTTCATTGTCGAGCCAATCCAGAAACTCAAGCTGTCATGCAGCGAAGTGGGGCCCTCGGGCCATTGTTCTCGAGAACAATAAGGTCGAGTCAGGGAAAGCCATCTCGACCATAGCGTGCGCGCATGGGCCTCTGAGATGACTGCGCATGGCACACCGTCGCCGACGTCGCTCTCTGCCTCTCTCTTTCTCCCCACCACCGCTGTTGCGCAGATATGCTGCTGCCCCGTCTCCCCGTCTTGTTAACCGCCAGCATCCGACGTGAGTAACATATGCTTTGTATATGGAATCTGTTGAGCAGTTGCCTCATGTGTATCTGTCTAGTTACGTCGAACTATACGGGTAATGCTCCGGTTGTAGTTTGTGACGCTGGGCAATGTTTGCAAGGGTATTCTAACACGACCAGTGAGCGATTGTCACTATCACCACAAGAGAACACCCTGAACGAATCTTGCATAGTCGGCGTCACACTCTCGGTCCCGGGATCCCCTGCGATTCGCTTGCTTCCAGGCCAATACACGTCGACCTCGAATCCACAACTACTGCATAACGCACTTACATCATCTTCGGTGTCGCTTTCGCCTTCTCCAGGCTTCGACTCCAACGCGACAATCCTATCGCTTCCACTCAATGTTTTGGAGCAGCCGGGACTCACGACGTACACTGCTGCCCTGTATTCGGGGGCCAATGATCCCTCCGCCTTCACACCAATTCCTTCCGCGCCTATTCCAAACTCCTCATCTCTTGTCTTCCAGTCGCTCTCCCTATCTCTGAACACCTGGATCGCAGTCAACGCGTCATCCAACCCCCGCTTGATCGTATGGGACTCGGTTCCCGACATCTCGCAGCTTCCAAGCGTCCCAGCCAACATGCGGCTGCTCTCGCTCGAATCATCGACTTGCTCGCCGTCTTGCGCGTCCTCGGGCATCTGCACATCCTCGGGCGTGTGTGCTTGTCTCCCGGGCTTCGTCGGCGCGGCGTGCGAGAAGTGCGGTGCAGGTCTGTTTGGGCCGCGGTGCAACCAGACGTGTCCCGCCGGATGCGCGAAATGCGATGACGGACTCGGCGGATCGGGGCGCTGCCTTGACTCTGGTGTCACCCCGGGCGCGTGCGGTTGCGTCAACGGCGCGTGTAATCCCGATGGGAGCTGTGCTTGTACGACTGGCTTCGTTAGCGCGGGGAACGGCACGAAATGTGCGCAGTGTGCAGGGGGGTTCTTTTTGACCCCGGCGGGTGATTGCTCTAGTGCGTCTTCTTGCATTTCAGCACTTGCTGATCTCGCTGATTTGGGTCTTCAGTCTGTGCCATCGGATGCTCTGCGTGTGCCGATCGCACGGGAACGTGCACGGCATGCAAGACTGGGTTCACTCCAGACGCCAATGATGCGACCAAATGCGATCCCGTCCCGAGTGTGACTTCTGCAAACGTGGTGTGTCCCGACGGGGCATTTGCAAGTGGGGCCAGCTGTGTCCCGTGCTCTTCTGCGTGCAGAACGTGCACTGCCGGCGCATCGACTGATTGCGTGCGCTGTGCGACTGGGACGTATCTGCTCAACGGGACTTGTGTCTCGGCCGATGCGAACGGAGTATGCAAAGGCTCGAGCATGATCGCCAATAACAACAAGCTCGAATGTGACGGTACGTGAACTGTTCTGGATCGACCACCAGGTCTTATTAGTGTCTGTGAAGCGTGTGGGGCAAAATGCACCTCTTGTAAAATCCCTGGTTTCAATTCGGCATCGACGATCAATGAACTGCAGTGCACAAGCTGTGTAACCGGTTTCGCTGTGTCAAATGGCACATGCGTTTCGAGCTGTCCATCGAGAACATTCCCACTCAACGGGACTTGTACTGGTGCGGGAAACTTATCCCTACCTGGCGCATACTTACACATCATGGCTTGACAGCATGCGACTCTTCGTGCTCGACCTGTGCTGGATCCTCGTCCTTCTGCTTATCCTGCCATTCGAACCAGCTAGCACTGAGCGGCCAGTGCATCAGCACCTGCCCTCCGAACACCTTCCTCGGGACAAGCAACGCATCGTGCTCGGCTTGTCATCCAGATTGTGCAGCCTGCTCTGGTCCGGCATTCGACCAGTGCACGTCCTGCTCTCCGTCTTCCTCACGTCCTGTCTTGAAGAGCGGCAGGTGTCTCCCAACCTGCAGCAAGACCGAGTTCTTCGACATAACCTCGTCTACCTGCCATGCATGTGATGGAAGCTGCTCGAGCTGTTCAGGGTCCGGTCCAGGACAGTGTCTCGCCTGTGCGGATCCGAGCCAAGTGCTCAGGGCCGGAAGCTGCGTAGCGGCTGGATGCGCTGCTGTGGTGAGCGGTCTTGGTGCATGCCTGTCGGAGCTGGTCGATGTGCCGAGCGTGACGTCGGGGTCTCCGCTGCCCAGTGCATCAGGCATTGACGCACCAACTACTGGGACGGCCAATACGACAAGGCGGAGGCTCGCTTGGTGGGAGATCCTGCTGATGGTGCTGGGATGCGTGTTTATTCTCGTCATGGTGCTTTGGTTGCTGCGGAGACGAGCGAAGAATGCACGGGCAAAGAATGCACACAGAGACAAGCCGAACGGCCTATGTGGGCGTCTTTGCGACACTTTCCGATCTTGCCTGCGGAAAAGTCGGTCGCGGCCGGTCTACGAGCTCCGTTTGGACTCGACGCGCAAGGGTGCTGATGCGTCTCGACCGCCTATCATGCACCCCCATCTGCAACATCCAAGTCGATTGAGTGTCGAGTCGGCGCCTTCCATCTATTCTCAAATGACTAGCTACACCGCTCAAGCTGCACAGCCTCGGCAGCCGGTGAGGGCTGACAGGAAGTTTTCGGTGGCTGGCACCAGTCTCGTCGATCCATACTATCATACGACTGCCCCGTATATGGCACACAAGCCCACTACCAGGCTAACAGGGGAATAGCTTCCAGATGACTGTGACTTGTAATCTATATTATCAGCTTTCGAACAACTTTAACTTCCTCGCTCTATAATACTGAATCTCAATACATTGTAACCTTAATGACCAGAATCTTGGGATGCAAACTTCAATTATGTAGCGACTGCTGCATCGACCGTGACGAGCGTATGACATGACACGCACGTGGCACGAATTTGCCTCCCACGTGATCGCTCTCCCTCTTCGCGTCTGCAAACACCTCAGACGTGGTCATGCCTGCAGGGGCGTCCCTCGCGGCGTTCATCGTCACGACACTGGCTTTAGTAGTCCCATGGTACTACTTCGTATTAGGCAAACGGCCCATATCCACGGCCCCGCGCCTCACGCTATTAACCAACATCTTCGTCCTTCTCCACTCGCTGTACTACATCTACCAACTCATCGTCTGCCCTCCGACCAACATATTCAAGAGCCTCAGGCTTCCCTTGGCAACTCCTGTGGATGTGATGCGGAGCATCTTGTTGCGGCAGTCAGACACGGGGGAGTTGCCTGCACAGCTCGAAACGCTCTTGAAGCATCTGGGATCGTTCGACGTCAAGACCTTCTATGTCCGGTCCGTCGGATATGTATCACCTCCCCCGTTTGTGCTGAATAGACGTAGATTCGGCCACGAGGTCGTGTCGGCGTGCGACTATTGCCGGACATTCGACGAGTTCGCGCTGTTTGCGCTGCCCAAGATCCTAGCGGTGTATATCTACGCCGCAGCTACTATCGGGGTACGTATTTCGATGGGCAGCTCAGCTGAGATAAAATCTCATCCAATGCAGATCGTCACCATTGTCGGATCCGGCCACGAACGATTCCGCACGCTCGCAGTCTCTGCCATAGGCGGCGCGTTCTGTTTCGAGATCTACTACATTGCCACGGTGGCTGTCGAGTTCCCGAAGGACGAGCGGACGAGCGTCGTCTGGGTACGTGCCGCCCACCACCGGTCCCCGGTCCGTGCTAACGCGCCTGACCTGACACCCAGTGGCACGACAGACTGCTCCTCCTCCGGCGCCTGCTCTTCCTCGCTCTCCCGCCCCTGATCTCCGCCCTGCCGCGCGTCCACACCGCGATCGCGCTCAGCCCGACAGCGACCGCCCTGCGCACCGCGGAGCTCGCGTTCACGCGCATGAAGCTGCTGCGCCTGACGCGCGGCGCGATCATGCGCGCGCCCCTCCTGCGCGCGCGCGCCGATGCGTGGTGGGCGGCGCAGGCGCAGGAGGGCACGTGGGTCCGCGAGGACGCCGCCGTGCAGGACATGGCGCGGCGGCTGGGCACCGGGTTCGGTGACGAGGACGAGGACGAGGACGATGGGTCGGGCTCGGAGAGCGGGGGTGCTGGCCCGCTGCGCGCTAAGGCGCAGGAGTCGGTCGCCTCGCTGGCTGCTGGGTATGCTCCCAGCGAGTTCTGGAGGATGGCTCCGTCGTGAGCTATCGACTGTACTGTAGTACATAATACCATTATTGTACTCCCCCGCACCGTTTCTTTGCGTATATTAAGCCAGTGAGCCGATCCGTCATCCGAATACACGTGCGGCGGAGAATACATACTCCCTGCGCGCTCTTTGCATGCTGACTCATGAGGTGTTTATCGAATGCGGTATATTTCGGAGAGGGATCCTATTCAGGGCGGTATTTTGTAGAGGCGTGACAACAGCGGTCAATAATGGAGCAGACGTGCTCGATATATTAGAGAGCTGCAGAGACAAGCACTTCCCCAGTTCATCCAGATCCAGATCCAATCCAATCCAATCCAAACCAGATCGCGCACCAACCTTACAATGCCCGCTGTGCGCGACCCGCGTCACTCTCCCGAGCAGCTCGCGCTCACCGCCCTTTGCAGACCGTCACCCAAACTTCCCCTTCGCAGAACTGCGGCGATGCCCAGTGCGCCTGCGCCTCGTGCGTCCCATCCTCCCGCTAATTTCTAATCTCGATGTCGCTGACGATGAGCCTTGCTACGTAGGTGCGCGTGCGAGGCGGGCAGCTGCGAGTGCGCTGCGGGGGGATGCAAGTGCTGAGGTGCTCCGCCAGACGTGAACGCGCCACTTGCCCCATCTCTGAACTTTGGGAGTCCTGGAAGGAGAACTTGAAGGGTCGTGCAGTTTGACTACATGTATGCAGGGAAGGTCTCAGTGTCAAAGTTCACGATATCCCAATTTAAAGCTTAGATGCTTGTGAGGAATTTTGGAGCAGCCTTATACGGATGCAGAAATCGCTCGTTAGACTCGCTTCCAAGACCAGCAATGAATTTGCCTTCACGTGCAAGTTATCCGCGCGTCACGTGCCAGATCTCCCAATCGCGGTGTTTTCATCCTCCACCACACGGAATTCAATCGCTTGCTCGTCGGCAGGTACATTCAAGGCTATATGTGGCGCAGTATTCTGTGACAGGATCCTCACCGAGCGAAATTCCTCACACCTCCAAATCGTCCCTCACAATGGACACTGCATCCTCATATCCGCGGGACGGAGCTCGGTGCAGCCCATATGCAGGACTGCGGACTAGCTTCAAACATGAGCGGTATTGTTCTTTTCAGCTGTGGATTGCCTGCCCTGGCTGCTCCCGTCGAGATGATGAAGTTTCGCCAGAGAGCAGAGGCGAGCAACTGGGGGGTCTGACCCTTCTACAGTAATCTGTTCTCTGGCGCAGGAAACCACCTACCCGCGTTCGAGATTGTAATCGCAACCCATGCCGTATAAGAACCATCGTGGAACGGCTCTGAGGGCTACATCGGTCTGACATGCGCTCCATCCTCAGCCTCTTCTTCACTATCACTCTTCTGTCAGCCTCAGCTCCCACCGCTCATGGCCTGGACCTGTTTCCGTTCTTCAATGCCGTGATATTCTCCGCCGGAGTCTCCGGGACGGAAACTATCGGGAACGGTAACTACACCAAGTTTGGCCGCGTCCTCGCCGCGCCACGCGGGGCCAGAGACTCGAAGAACGCCCCGCAGGCGGTGTATGTGTCGACCGACCAGACCGCGCAGCCGATGGCGGCTGCGGCGGTAGCCCTTTCCGACATGCTCGTGAGCCGCGAGCCTGCTGCTCAGCCCGGGGTCTGCAGTTCGCTCATGTTCTGCGCAGTGGACCATCCACTATGCGCCTGATGTCGTCACGGACGAGGAGAAGTACATACTGAATTGCAATCCCTCTGCGAAGCAGCTGCTGGTCCTGGTCCTGGTGTCCTTGGATTCTCCGGCCGAGTTTGCTTCTGAGCCTTGTCCTATAGTCGCAGAACGACACTGCCTTGCAAGTCAGTGCGGTAAGACGGGATGCTGTCCAAGACCCGGCTTCGGTGTACACGTTCAGCATCAGGCCTCGCCGAGTCATTCACCCCGGTCCTCCAAGACCATATATCCCGGACATCTACTACTCGGCGAGTGCTCTCGTCCCTCTATTGCACAACGCCACTTGATCTGACCGACTTCGATCATACAGTTCTGCGCCGATCACACCGACCTGTCGTGCTGGACTGTCGACGACCAGGGCCAGGTGTGTACCAACACGGTTGTGCGATCCCGTTTGATCATCTGCTGCTCTTTAGATATCGCTCAGCGCGCTCACCACGGCGCCGACCATTCCGGACAACCAGCTGTTTTTGATGTCAATGTATCCCGCGCTTGACTCGGACCCCAGCCACGAAGAAGGCACCGCACTCGCCGACACAAAGGGCGCTTTCGCTGACCTCTTTGGTCCTGGGAGCCCCGGGAGCAAGAAGCCCCGGGCCGCTTTCCCCGGTGCTTGAGCATCCGTCACAACCTGCGATGTACTGCAAAACTCGCTTTGGGGCAAATGGTTGGCAGGAGTGACTGGAGACAGCTTCGCTGCTACATTCCGACACGATTTTTGCCGCGGTTACTACTTTTGGTTTATTGTATCTTTGTCTCTATTCTGACTCGTGTGATGCACTGTGCTTGCGCCTCCGTGACTTCAACGTGCGATCGATGCGAAGATACTGAACAAATGCATGATTAGTAAGAGAAAGGGCCGAAAGTCATGACCCTCATCTTGGAGGTCTTGCCACATTGCAGATTCTGAGAGCGTCTATCTGTTAGGTTGAACGTCCTCTCCCGGCGAGTTATGGAGGATGAAGCTTTCGTGAGCTATCTACAGGAGGATGGCAGTACCATTCATGTACTCGCCGACACCGTTTCCTCGCACATGCATACAATAAGTAAGCCATTCATTCAAATACACGTGCAGCGATGGATGCTCCCCGGCCTGCATGCTTCTTGCACGCTGACTCATGAGGTGTTTATTGAATCCGGCATATTTTGGAGACTGAGTCTATTCCGAAGTGCGGTATTTTGCGGAGACGTGACAACAGCGGTCAATAATGGAGCAGGCCTGCTCGCTATATAAGAGAGCCGCATAGACGACCATTTCCCCAGTTCTCCCATATCCAATCCAATCCAGCCAAATTCAGATCTTCACCCAGCTTACAATGATCGCTGTGCGCGACCCCCCTCACTCTCCTGAGCAGCTCGCGCTGACCACCCCGTTCCAGATCATCACCCAGACTCCCGCTTCCCAGAACTGCGGCGATGCCCAATGCAGCTGTGCCTCGTACGCCACTTTCCCATTCTGAATTTAAACTTCAATGTCTCTGACGATGGGACTTGCTAGGTGCACTTGCGAGGCTGGCAACTGCGAGTGCGCTTCGGAGGAATGCAAGTGCTGAGGTGCTCCCTCAGCCAATTGCCGAATGTCTGAAACCGAAACTGGGAAGTCGTCGAAGTATCTCAGGAGGATTTTAGTGTAATGTGAATATATGTTGGCAAGAATTCTACAACATCCTGCTGACTTGAAGCTGAACTTATCGGTGGGGGCGTTTTGAAGAGGCCTTTACGGACACCGAAGAGACTGAGACTTCATTGTAGATGACATCCATAGCTTTCAGCATGTGATCGACACGAAGAAAAAGAAATATCGAACAAATGTATAAATAGTCAGAACAACAAGCTAAAAGTCATAGCCCTCCACCTTGAAGGTCTTTCCATACTGCAAATAGCTATCCATAATTTTCAGAATCGGCTCTGGCAGACCCATGCTGAGCAGCGTATACGAAATCTTGGCGTGCCCATGCAGCTGTCCAAGCTTGAAAAAGCACCGCGCAATCTGGGTCGGGTACTAGACGAAAAGCAAAATTAGCCAAGGGAGATGCGTCAACGTATGACAAGCCGAGCCACGCACGGTCATCTCGGTATACTCGGCGTACTGATAGGCAGCCACGCGAATCGCTGTCTGGATGCAGCGCTGGATGTCGCCTTCCTCGGCATACATCTCCATCAACTTGCCCCACGGCTTGACGGAATAGCGAGGGGTATCCAGGCATCTCTGGTATGCTTCTTTCGCGTCTTCCTTGTGCTGCAAGCGCAGGCCCAGGTCGCCTAGGATCTCCCATTCAAGACCCGTCTTCCGGTATGCCACGTGTTGGGTCTTGAAGTGGGCCACCTCTGCACGGAAGATCGTCCACACCCGAAGGTCCTAGTATTCTATCGTGAGAAACAATGGCAACTCGTCATCTCACTCCCCGTACCTCATAGAGGACCATGAACAGATTGTCCAGCCATCTTTCACATAGCCGCTTGTTGCTGAACGAGAATGACTCTGAAGCAGCCTGATCCTTCGTAGCTGGCTCCGTCGCCTCGGCTGTTTCAGGTTCTGCAGCCGCTGCCTGCTCAGGCTTCTCTAGAGCATCCGTGACGACACTGGTGCTCATGCTGAGCGCCGGCTTGGGCTCCTCCCGTTCTGATTCAGTCGAGATCCTGATAGTAGGGATCCCATTCTCGGACGCGTGCCCATTCACCGGTGGGGGCGAAACATCCTCGTTCTCGAGAGGACTGATGGCCGTCATCGCAGGGCTGACCATTCCACGCGTCGAGGCATTGTCGTGCGGCTCTTCGTCGTCAGCCAACGTCGTTCCCTCGCCCCCAGATCCCGAACGCAGATGGCTCGCCATATCACCCTGTGCTTTCTGCATCCGGTACTCTTCCTCCATAACAAACACCGCACTTCGCGTTTTCAGCAGCTCGTCCCATCCAATCTCAGACACGAGCTTTGTCAGCAGAGTGTAGGCACGCGCCCAGGTGCCCCGGAGCCCCGGTGCCGGCAAACGCTGCAGTGCGGGATCAGCCTCGTCGTCATCCGTCTTCACGCGGTCCGGGAGGATGTCGCCGATGGATCGATGGAAGGGCAAGTGTACGCGTGCAGGCGTTAGTTGGCGATGAGCGTCTCGGCCATTGAAGGTGAACATGGGACATGAGTTGAGTGTCAGCAATGCCTGTTAGCCGATGTGCCATGAGCGCTAATCGGCAGCACTGCATAAGCTTTCACCCACCGATTCGAAATGCCCCAGTTCGATATAGACTTCAGTCAGCTTTTCCCACGTCACGAATTCACTTGGAGCAGCGTTCACAGCTTGCTTGGCCAGTTTCATCGCCCATTCAGTTTTGCTCTTGGAACGCAGAAAATCGCACTGCGCATGTAGAAGTGTGTACGATGCCGGACCAGGTTGACCGCGCAGTGAATTCGACATGATCTGTAACGCTTTTACTTCTTCGTCTTCAGTCAAAGTGTTAGATAAGTCTCGTATTGTGGAGAGAGATGACGACGCACTCATGCCAACATAAGCCCGAGCAAGAAGAGAAGTCACCTCCGGCTCTTTCACGGACAGCTTCTCAAACAGATTTGCCACCTGTTGAAATCGTCCAGAAACGCCGAAGTATTTCATCAACCCGGCCGTGAGGTGATTCGTTGTTACCGAGGCTACCTGGATCTCGGGGTCAGAGCCAACTTGCCAGCCTGCAACGAGTTGAGTTCGGCTGAGACGGGCTTCTTCAAGAAGCTCTCACCCTTCAGGAAGAGCGCTTCAGCGGCAGCAAGGAACCGCAATTCACCCTCAGGGGTGGTGATGGGATCCAGCTTTCGGTAGGCATCAAGCGCATATGTCGGGTCGTCCGAGTACAGAATGGCCCGCAGAAGCGCAGAGACGTAAGTCTCTTGCCACATTTCTGGTGTCGCATCGTGTCTGATACACGAAGCCTGAGTATCAAAACGTGGAGATGGTGGACTCCGCGCACCTCTCGCCTCTCAAATCCACCACGTATGCTATGACGCCCCCAGGAATCTTCACATCAACGCGGAAGTCGACGCGCGAGAACGCATTGAAGCAGCAGTAGCACCCGTTGCGCACTTTCCACGCCGGAGCTTTGGAGAACCACGCGCCCGAATCCTCGATGGCATATGTGAGCGAGTTGATGTATGCGGCGAGCGACGCGGAGGACGAGGCGTCGACGCCGGAGACAAAGTGGTACGAGCCGAGATCGCGCTGGCCTGACTTGCCGGTTGTTTTCACGACGTGGCACAGGTCGGGCGGCCCCAGTTCACGGAAGGTAGCTGAAATGCGCGTCAGGGGAGCGCTGTGCGCGGGAAGCTTGAAAGGACTGACATAGACTTTCGGTGCGCGCAGTGAGCGACTCCCCGAGATCAACCTGCAGCGAGTGTCAGCGCCATGATGTCGCTCGATTGTCTACGCACCTCGAAGAGCTCAGGGATGTCTTTGAATGTAGCAAGAGCCTCTGCCATGTTTCAAGCCGGTGGGAATGTCTGGCGCGAGGTGTAGCAGGAACGGGCAGGCAAGTCTGTGGATGATGCGCCGGGTCAGGGATCAGAGTGAGGCGCCGCGACGCCAGAGCGACACGCACTTTGATGGAGGCGTATGCGTATGCCTGTGATATTATAGCTTGATCTGAGAAAGAGAGAAAGCCGTGAGCGATTGCTGGACGAAAATTTGGCGCGCCAGCGTCTGCGAAAGATCGCGCGTCACCGCCCCAAGACAACTCTGCCGATAGACGAGAGAGATGTCTCGACGCTGACCAAATGCGAAAGAGAGGGGAAAGTAGGGATGGAAGGGAGTAGGGACACATATGCGCCTTTGGGGCCAGACGAAAGAAGAGGCGATACATGCCTTAAACTCCTTCGTCAATCACGCCTCCAGTCCAGCCAGATCTCTTCTGTCCTAATACACGAGTTGGGTCTCCGTCGAAAACGGCGGTTTTGGAGCAGCGCGTCGGCGGCAGCGGAGACGTAAAAAGATGGGAGAATGAAGAATGGGCGAAGCAAGAAGGCGATACGCGATGAGAAACACGTCATATCACCTGCTGCTTGATCGCTCGTCGCTGCACTCGCAAAACAAAGACAGTAGCAGATACAATTCCACTGTACGTAGATAGTACGTGAGCAGTCCCAGTTACATTAGTGTCTACTTGGACTCCAGTGAGTGTTGGTGTCGGTGATATACAATTAGATGTCTAGAAGAGCCATGACCCCTTGGCACCTGAGTAAGCAGTCAGCAGCTGATGAGGAGCGACAATGCATGGGCCACTTACTCTTTGGAGGCTCTGCTTCTGGCAGTTGAAGACAGCTCTGGTGTATTAAGTTGAGTGCTTTAATCGCATCGCGGTTTTCAATAACGCAGGATATGTTGATCTCGCTTGCGCCTTGGCTGATCATCTCGATGTTGACCTTGCCCTGAGCGAGGGTGGTGAACATCCGACCCGCGATGCCAATCATATTGCACATATGCTTGCCCACTAGAGACAAGATGGCCATGTCGCTGTGCACTGACACCTGAGGCACGTGTCAGCGAGACTGATTCGTAAGATTGAGAGGGACGACATACCGTGCCGCTCTTTTGAAGCTCTCTCAGCAGCCGATCCATGATCTTCTTGGTCAGCCCTGCCTCGATAGCCATGCTCACGTGGACTTCGCTGGTGCTGATCAGGTCTACGACGACCCCGAACCGGTCCAGCGTCTCGAAGATCCCGGCAAGAAATCCATGCGACACGCTCTTCTTGTTGGAATTGATGTTCAGCACAACGATGTTGTCTTTGATGGTCACGGCGGTCGGGTGTCGTGGGTGATTCCTGGATGCCTCCGTGGATCGAGCGGCGAGCAAAGCCAGGGCCTGTGCTGAAGCAGGTTCAGGAACACTACCAACATCGTCTTCTGGCTGAGATGTGTCCGCTTCTGGGTCGGGGATGATCACTGTTCCCCCACCTCGAGGGTTCTCAACATTCTTGATACGGATGGGGATGCGTTGTCGGATAGCCTAGAGGTGCCTCAGTCCACGGATGAGGAAGAAGTCAATTCACGCACCTGCTCCATGGTGAAAGGATGAACGACTTCACTGCCGTAATAGGTCAACTCAGCGGCTTCCGCCGGGGAGATGATGGATATAAGTCGAGCAGTCGGCACTTTCCGCGGATCCGCTGTGAAGATTCCATCCACTTCCTTCCAAATCTGCAGTTCGGCAGCATCGAGTCCGACTGCAAGGAGCGCGGAGAGTAGGTCCGTGTAGCCTCGTCCGACCTGTCGTAAGAGAGACCCCGGAACAGGCCCGAAGAAACCTGGGAGGCACGTTAGCCATCGCGGGCAACTGCAAGCGAGCAAGCACGTACCTGTGATGACTGGAACCCGAGGACCACACTGCTTCACCCTTTCTCCGACTAGCTTCGATAAATTGTCGTAAAATTCCTGGTCCAATGACCCGTCCTCCATTGCCTCGAGATCTTCCGTTGAGGGAATGATGTTCTCGAGTGACACGAACTCGGCGTCTATACCCTGGTCACGGAGCACTGCCGTCATAATTTTGCAGCCCAATCGTTCTCCGAATCCCACGATCGTGTCTTTTGAACGCGGAGAGATTTCGTCAATGACCTTGTTGAGCACTCAGCGCTCCGTTCGCATCAACACAGAGAGCAAATGACGCCACTTACCTGTGAAGCTGCCAGGAAGCTTCTCAGCCATTCACAATCTCGATCAATCTCGGACTCCAGTTCTCGAAGAATTCCAGAATCTTGCACCGATGCTCGGGCGGCATTAACATGCTCTTGCTTGATCAAATCAACTGTGCCGTGGAACTCGGGCACGAATTCTTGGGTAAGCGAAAGAGGAGTCATCGCAGCGCCAGAGCTCCAGGTACGATGGGGGCTGCTAGACGGCGAACCAGGGTGCGAGCCCTCCTCCGAGCGCCCGAAGATGCCATTCGGCGTGGAATAGCCCGAGCCGCTTTTCGGTCGGCGGAGAGCCTCAGAGGCCGCTCGAAGAAGCAGGTTGGTGGTGCCCAGCGCCTTGGTCGTACCGGACCGGGCAGAGCATACCACAGCAACCTTGTTGCCGTCGATGTATGTGCTGTATTACAGCAGTCAGCGTGGAGCAGAAAGCAAAGAAAGGCGCGCGAACGCACGATACAATGTCCCGCGCGATGTTGACGACAAACTTGCCAACGCTAGTTCCACCAAACTTCTGTACCAGCCAGCGCGAGGACGGGTCGATGCTGTTTTGGTGAAGATTGGGAGGTGTGCGCGGCGGCGATGGTGAAGGAGCTGAGGACGAGGAAGATGAAGGGGGTGACGAGGCCACAGACATGGTTAGCGATTGAAGGTTAGCTTTGGAAGACTGGCTAGGGCGTTATATACATGAAAAGTACCAAAAAGAAGTGAGTCACGGAATACACGTGAGATCAATCGATCTCTTCGGTCTCCTGTATAACACCGGATAAGCTAGCAACTGCTAGAGTAAGTAGCATTGGGCGTAGAAGATCAACTGCGGCATGCAAAGCTACTACCGTTGGCCCCATATCCACAGTCATAGTTTGGACAGCGAACTCGAACCTATAGCGTTTTGTCAGGCATGATGTCTCACCGTCACCGCCACCGACGTCGAGAACATTCACTGCCACTGAGATCATGATCCAAATCAGATAAGATAACTCAATCAGGACATCTGGCCTCATGTTCCGAGCCTAGGCGCAGTCTGCACACTGCGGCGACATATCGAGAGGGCACATATAAGAGCCTCTTATTCAGTATTTCGTGTGTATCCATCTGCCTAACCCAAGTGGCTCATCAACCTGTCCAAGACAGCAAGAAAACAGCCTAGTGCATCGAAATTTCGTCCGAATAATACCTGTGTGTATGAAAGACACGGAAACGCTTTCAGACTCTACTCGACTGGTCTTGAAACTTGACTCTTCATATTTATATCCAGCCACCAAAGCATTTCCCAGGGATATCCAACCGCGCTCAAAGGACAAGCGCATCCGACACAGCGACGATCGAGGCTCAGTCAGCTGGCGGCCGATCCCCGGCGAACAAGGGAGCATTCAGCGCCACATCTGAGCCCAACTTGAATGAATCGGCTGTCTGCTTGACTCCAGAGAGACACCAACGCGTTTGAGGCGGGCTATAGACAGATCCGTGGCAGGCGTGGAAATACTCTGCGCGGGACCTGCCCCAATTCCGGGATACCGTCTGATGCACATAGCAGTGCCTTGATTTGACAGAGTAACAAGCCGACACGCCTTTGCCTCAGACTATCAAGCATCTCATATCTGGAAACACGAACAGGAAGGCGGGTCGCCGACTGCCGGTGATCACAAGGATTGGAAGAATGGCGGTGATCGTCGTCTCGGATGGAAGTTGATCAAAAACTTTGAAGTAAAGCGGGTGTGGGTGGGCCTCCTAGACTCGAAGCTCTGCACGCCACAGAATGAGGCTCAGGTCGAAGCTTATATCATCGGAAACACACAGGAGAAAGGTCGGAGGCATATAGCGCTTACTCAGAGGGAGGCAGTAAGAAGCAAGGGTTGGAAAGGGCTGGAGAGCAGGACTGGAAGGTAGGAGTGAATTCTGGAAGGCAGTTCAGTGATCTCATGTATATCAAGACATGGTTCAGGCACGATCAGAAGCGATTAAAGTTGCCATGGGTTGCATGTTCTCCGGGTCTCGAATGATGCAAGCTCGATGATTTCCACGAGCTTTCCCAGAAGATCTCGAGTTCATCATCACAGGCTCCTACCGATGGAGGAAACTCCATTCCCCGATAGACTGCTGCCCGAGGGTGTGGGAGAGCCCGAGGCGATCGGCGGATTGTTGCTTTCCTTTCACCGCCGATGCTTACAGGCTGAGAGGATGTTTGTAGTGTGAAGATCAGGCACGGAGGGCGGCGCTTGGCGGCAGCAAGCGGCAGCAGATCGCATCACGTGATTATCGCATTCGCCAGATATTTATCGCTCTTACATCGCTCAACCGTTCGACAACTTCCTATAGATAGTCACTAGCCAACGTACGCGGTCACGGTCCACGTCTCCATACCTCTCGGACTTCCTTCTACCTCCTTCCAACGTTCCAGACAGCTGTCCTGATTCGTCGAAGCAATGCCGCCTTCCGATGACCCATTGGACGCTGTGCTCCGACCCCCTCCAGACGAAACAGAGGAACAAGCCGCAATCCGACTTGAGAGAGAAGACCTTGCGCGGAAAGTCAGCGCGAAGATAGATGCAGATATTAGGGCGGAGCGGCAAGCGAGGAAGAAGAAGCGTATTGTGCGGCTACTTTTACTGGGCCAGAGCGAGAGCGGGAAAAGCACGACTCTCCGACGTGCGTGCCTCCTCAGCTTTTGTACCTTTGTATCTCATTTGCATGTTGATATCCAGAATTTCAACGTTTATATACCCCGACTGCTTTCAGGGCAGAACGAGTGCACTGGCGGGCTGTGATCCAGCTGAATATCGTCCGTTCGATACACACTATTCTCGAGGCTTTGGCGGAATCCTCTGCCATTCCGATACCAGGACGTGCACGCGGTCGACGACGTTCTACTTCCCTCCACGCGTTCGCATCTTCTTCGCCTGGAGCCGGTCCCTCCACGATACCTCTAAGCATCTCTCCAGATGTCGCACCTTCCTACTACGATGGAGGGGGAGGCGAATTCGCATTTAACGGCGTTGACTCTGATCCCGATAGCGACCCAGAAAGCGCATACGAGCGATTCGCGATCCATCCCCCTCAGCAAACTGCCGCGGCCTATGATGGGTATTCCATGCGCCTTCTCCCGTTACGGCATGTCGAGGCGCTGCTTATCGCGCGGCTGGTTCCTGCGCACGAAGACGAGCCGACCCATCTGCCAGGGCGCGGGCCTGATTCGATCAGCTCCAATAGCAGCGGGGAGATCTTCGTTCGGCCTGGGAACCGATGGAAAAGCGCTCGGAGACGGTCCCCGGACCCAGTGCCACGCGACGAAGTGCAAGACACACTGCATTCCTGTTCGCAGGTCATGCAGGGTCTCTGGCTTGACACTGATGTCAGGAACGTGCTTAAGCGGAGGAAGATCCGACTCGAGGAGGGCCCCGGCTTGTATGTCTTCTGCTCTGCTCTTCCCGTCGACAGTTGACTGACTCATTGCGCCAGTTTTCTGAATGACCTCGCACGCGTGACAGCACCTAACTACCTACCAACTGACGATGACGTCTTACGAGCTCGACTGAAAACCGTCGGGGTCAGCGAATACATGTTTGAGATGGAGGTTCCGACGGGCCGGGAGACTGGCGCAGAATGGCGGATAGTCGATGTTGGAGGAAGCCGAAGTCAGGTGTGTGTGCACTCGGTGGGCTTGGCTCAATCAAGTTGCTGACGGGGTCAACTAGCGAGCGACTTGGGTTCCCTTCTTTGACGATGGTGCGTTCTCCGCTCTCGTCTTCTGACCTTGCGCTAACGACATCCCGCAGTGGACGCCATCATTTTCCTTGCACCTATCTCGGGCTTTGACCAGGTCCTTTCCGAAGATCGGACTGTCAACCGTTTGGTAGGTCTCACTGTGCTGTGCTTTTCGAGATGTCGGTCTGAGACTCCCGCGCGCAGGAAGACTCTGTGCTTCTTTGGAAAGCCCTCTGCGGCAACAAGTTATTGGCTGCCGTCGATATCGTCCTGTTCTTGAACAAATGCGACATCCTCGAGGCCAAGCTCAAGGCTGGTATTCGACTTGCCAAGTATGTCAAGAGCTATGCAGACAGGGAGAACACGGTCGACGCCGTCAGCTCTTGTGCGTACTTTGATGGCTGTATAGCTCGGGCTGATCGTGGCCTAGATCTCAGAAGCAAGTTCAGTGCGATTCACCGAGAAAGCTCGCCCAGTCCACGCAAGTTCTATGCCTTTTGCACCAGTGTCACGGACACTGCCACGACCGGTGGCATCATTGCGAGTGGTGAGCTGTCTCGGCTCTGTGTCCGTTTCAAGTGCTTGACGACGCTCCAGTCCGTGATATGGTGGTTCGACAGCATCTGAAGCAGTCTAAGCTCCTCTGAGCACGCGGTTGTCATCTCCACAGCAATTGTGCTACTTTCACGTGGGCGCGGTCGGATCTTTCATATGCTGCTGTCTCGAGCGCTTTTTCTCTCCGAAATACCCACCTGCTGCCGACCGTCGCTCCCTCCTTGCTGTCGATTTCTGAAATGTTGTTCGTTGTTGTCGAGATGTCCGTCACATGCTGTCCGTTATCATTTTGGGCTTATTTTTGGGATATATTGTATGCCGTAGATGCTCTAATGCACGCTGTATTTTACGCCCCGTCTATTTACCTCGCGCGTCTAGACTCTCTGTCCGAACATGCACAGCCATTCGGGCAAAGGATGTGCCCAGAGCGCATCGTGTGACCAAGGGAGATTTTCCAAAGATAGACATTTTTTTCTTTACATGTGGTGAATCCAAACTAGTCTTATACCTCTCAGAAGAAAGAAAAAGCACGTAAGCAATCTTGACAATCTCGAATGTCGTGAGACCTGGGCCGTGACTCAGTGAGACATCGATATTGATGAGAGCAAGTCGCCAAGATAAGATTAGATCGTCGGATTTATACAAGCCAGCATCGGTTTGAATCGGCCGACATCATCTCTCTCTATCAAGCCGCGAACATGCCTTTATGTAGCGCTCGTGTACACGAGCTTGTCCACGTCTTACCCACTCGGAGTTGCTTCCGTGGCACGCGACTCGCTTTTCTGCACCGTTACCCCACAAAAAACCGCCTTCTAGCTGCCAATGACGTCGAGGGATGCAGAAAAGACTCTTGTGGTCGAGGAAGTAGTGAGAGCGGACGATATAGCATCGAACACGGTGCTCTCTGAGGAGCCATACAGCGCATTCACGGTCAACGAGAAGTGGGCTATCGTGTTGCTCATTGCGACCGGGGCGTTCTTCAGGTTCAGTCCTCTGCTGCTGATATAACATGGCCCTGTATCGAACTTTCCTGCAGTCCGCTCTCAGCCAATATCTACTTTCCCGCGATACCCACCATCGCAAAGGCGTTCCACAAGTCAATAGAGCTTATCAACCTGACGGTGTGTCTCCCACCAGCTGTTGACACTCCAGGTGTAAATTCAACTTATGGCGTCCATAGGTGACACTGAACATGGTCTTTCAAGGGCTGAGTGCGTCCCACGATGTGTGGGCCTGTATTTCATCATCTCCGTGCTGATCCTCCGTCCCAGCGCCCATGATCTGGGGGAGTCTGTCCGACACCTACGGTCGCAGACACATCTTCATCTCCTGCCTCGTGATCCTCTCGCTGTCTTGCGTCGGCCTCGCGCTCACGCCGACGTCGGCGTACTGGCTGCTTCTCTTTCTGCGGTGCTTCCAGGCTGCTGGGTCTGCGAGCACCATTGCCCTCGGCGCAGGTGTGATCGGGGACATCTCGACGCGTGCGGAGCGGGGTGGGTTCTTTGGGTTATTCAGCATTGGGCCCATGGTGTGTGCCAAGTCATCGCTGCTTCGTCATCTCGGGTTTGAATCGCGAAATGTCAGGTCGGACCGACTCTGGGGCCGGTGCTTGCCGGTGTGTTCGCCGACAAGCTGGGCTGGAGGTGTGTTGGTGTCTGGGCGTTGGTTCTGCCGCTTGATGTCGTCCCCGTAGAGCGATCTTCTGGTTCCTGTGCATCTCTTCGGGTATATGCGCCGTGGTTCTCATCCTGTGAGCGACATGCACTTTCTTCCACAGTGCCTGACATGTTCTCAGGTTTCTGCCCGAAACACTGCGCACCATCGTTGGCAATGGGAGCATCCCGCCGCCCAAGATATACAACGCCGTCATCCCCATCATCGGCCGCACGGCTCGACGCTCGCCAGCTAGTTCCTCCAGCAGTACTGGACGCAACACATTCCAGAATCCGCTGCTCATTTTGCTGCAAGTCGACATCCTGATTCTGCTCCTCATTAACGCTCTCAACTTTGCCGTGTTCTACGGAGTCACGACAAGCATTTCGAGCGTGTTTGTCGACGCGTATCCTCACCTGACGGATACGGAGCTGGGCTTGTGTTTCCTGCGTACGTCAGAGGCCGATTATCCTCTACCCCACGCGCTGATCGCGTGCCCTCCAGCCATCGGCGCGGGGCTCATCCTTGGCTCTGTGTTCCACGGAAAGATTCTTAACTGGGAGTACCGGCGGCTGAAGCACAAAGCGAAAGATGTACACGAGGATGATTTCCCGATCGAGAAGGCGCGGCTGCGCTCGCTGCCGTTTCTGCTGGCGTCGTTCGTCGGATGCACGGTCGGATACGGATGGTGTTTACAAGCGAAGACGCACATCTCCGGGCCGCTTCTGCTTCTTGTCGGCAGTGCGTGTTGTCCACTCCCAGGTTGCTCAAGTACCGATTATGGCTTCCAGTTGGCCTGGTGGTCATCTCCGTGATGAACTCGATCCAGACGCTCATGCTGGACCTCATGCCCAGCCAAAGTTCCGCGGTGACAGCATGCGTGAGTCGTGTGCCGACGCGTCTCGCTACCTGCCCACTCACTCACGCTGCCTAGAACAACCTCATCCGATGCTCGCTCGGCGCAGGTCTCGTGTCGGGCATTGCGCCGCTGCTGGGCGCTCTTAGGCCCGGCTTCACGTACCTGCTGCTGGGCGGGCTGGCTGGGCTGATGATCCCGGTGGTGTATCTCGTCATCCACGTTGTTGGCCCACGGTGGAGGAGGAAGAGACAAGGACTGGCCTCAGGGAATGCATTGGCGCTGCATTAATTTTGTATTCTGAGTATGCTTTATAGTATGCATCTGCTGGCGCTCGGAAATCAGGGGCACCAGCGGCTGGAATGCAAATCTGAGTGTCGTGTGGATGTGCCAGCTGGAATACAAAATCTGGCAAAGCAAGTTACAAGGCGAGACCAGTGGGCTGCAGTTCTCGCTGGAGACATCGCTTGTCTTGGGTGGAGGGCATCGAGCATCGTTCTCTTCAAGGAACTGTCGCTCAGAAACGGCGAAAGCATGTTATGCCGGATGACAAGCCTCCCAAGTGCCCTCCGATGTGAGGAGTAGACAATGCAACTAGCCCACATTGTAGATTTGATCCTCAACGTAGGAAGCTGTTGGCATTGGAACAAACAGCTCATCTGTTTGCTGACCTGAAGACAGGATGCGCGGTCACGTGAGGGCCAAATATCTTCGCATTGGTGCGTCACGCGTGCCGTGGATTCAGGTTCATACAAGTGTCCTTAGTGCTACGAGAGGAATTTATAAGATATATTCGCTTAATAAACTCGGTCACACAGCCGAATACCACACCTCAGACCGCTCTTCCGCGGTCTTGCCGCTCGGCTCCCCCTCGAGCGTCCCCGATCCCCACAACCCACCGACAAATCCGAAGCCTCGAACACGACCCTCGTGGATATCAAACTGCGCAATGACGCCCTCCAGGCCCGAGTCGTACGCGATCGTCGGCACCGACACGTTCCGAGTTTGCTATGCATCGTTACTTCCAGGTCAGCGGCGGACTGGGCAATACGAAGCGCGAAGAGCACAGACCAGAGGAACCCAGCCAGAGACGTTGAACACCGGCCCGTCGTAGTGCGTCAGCGCGGCATACGTCGCAGACAGTCGGTCCCACCGCCACACGAGGTCAGCGCCAGCCAGCTGCTCGGGGAAGGTAGCGTTGATCGCCGACACCAGGGACGAGCAAGTCGGCGATGCGGGCTGGGACACAGCGCACAGCTCGATGTCCGGCCCGTACCCTGGATTGCTGTAGTTTTGAGCTGCGAACTTGGTCAGCGGGAGCGGAAGCGTAGCGTTGGCGGGAGGCGGGAGAGCTTGGGGGGCGGATAGACGCGCGCCGGAGACGATACTGCGGTATCGCGTGTTCCAGTCGATGGACTCGAGTCCGAGAGCCTCGTCGATGATTCGATACTTGATCACCTCTTTCATGTATGTTCCAAAAACGTCGTCGTTAGTGAGGACCGCGATTCCGAGGCCTTCGTTGGGGAATCTAGAGACTTGAGCATGGAATCCTGTACGGGATCATTTTGTGTCAGGAGAAGAGTGGAGAGGGGGCCACTGACCGACGAAATCTCCTCCGTGCTGATGGAAAGGTTGGGATCTGAAGCTTCTGAGTTGAAGTGACTCACCTCGATAATCACTGAGTGGTTGAAAATTGGTGAGATAATCCCAGTCGCCATCAAAGCGAGACTCACCGTGTCCTCGGTATCCGTACTGCGCTTGGGCACCACCGTAGACCTGAGCCGTCACTTCAGGGAATTGCCTGGGCCAAAACAGTGACATGAGATCAAAACGTTGTATCGAGCACATACGCATTTCCCTCCCAAACGGAGATACCAGTGGCAACGGTTTGAATCGCGCTGGCAGGGACCACTATCTCCCCGGTGATGGGATGCTTTCCGTTCAACAACAGCATTTGGAGCCAGGTCGCCTGTGCCCATGTTAGTCAGTAGGAAAAAGACGGGTTAATCGATTTATTACCATGTCAATAGCATTGCTCAGAATACCACCAGGACCCGACAATGCTGGAAATCGATGAGTTTCTTTTACGAGATTTAGTTGTAACAAGACCGCACCGGATCCCTGAGCACTCGACTCCAATGGGAACGGCAACGGATAGACTGTTCCACGACCCAGCGGATCGTCGGTGACGTTTATATCGACCCGGGTGAATCCATCCGCAAATTTCCCGACGCAAAGGCATCCGCGGTCGAGTACGTCGTCGCGTTCATCCCGAGCGGATCGATGATGTGCGCTTTGACGTACTCCGTAAACGCGGGATGGTCCGGGAGCAGCGCAGTCGGCAGGTAGGAGAGGAATTCGTACATGAGATTCGAGTACTGCGGATTCTCGCGGAAGCCTGTCGACGGTTTCAGGTATTTCATGCGTGAAATCTGTTGCAGTTCATCAGCCACTCGCCAATGGGCTATTGAATGACCTCACCAGAGTGGGCACATCGTCGGTGCGGCTGTACGCAAAGTCGTGTCGCGGCATCCCGGTGCGGTGGCTCATCAGGTCCGTGATCGTGCTCTGAGCAGTGGCCACCGGATCAGCCAGTTCCCAACCCGGAAGGATGGACGCGATTTTCGTGTTCCAGCTGATCTGCGGCTCGAGGCTGGTGTTGCTGATCAGCAGTCCAGTGGCGAGGATATCGAAAAGCTAGCGTGTCATGCAGCATCCGTGGTTGGCAAGGGCCCAATCGACGCACCTTGGAATTCGAACCAATAGAGAAGACTGTTTCTGGGGTCACTTTGCTTCCATTGGCCTGCGCTACGCCGTAGCCCTTGGTCTCGACACTCCACCCGCCTTGGGGATCGAGCTGCACGACAGCCACCGCGGCGCCAGCGGGACTGTTCCAGCTCGACAGCACGTTCTCGATGTACGCGTCGACGTCGGGTGTCAGCACCGCGGCACGCGTCAGCCCAGCGAGTGCAGATAAGAGTGCGAGGAAAGCCAGGTGCTTCATGCGACTTGCTTTGGTTGATATTCGATACGCAGGGACTCTTGAGCGGTTTTATAGTTGCGCGCTTACGCTGGCGGAGCTCCAGGCAGAACCGGATCGATGCCTATCACTATCTGTTTTGATAGTGTCGGGCCTCTCCTCCGCAGCACTGTTATTGGGATTGCGGCGAGACTGGAACGTCCGAAAATCCGGGATGTTTCATGTAGACACTATGACAGCTTTGTCACTGGTGTAATCAGTGTGTTGTCAGGTGCATGAACGCATAAGAGCGCAGCTCCCGCTGTTTGGTTCATCACCACCGTTTGGCACAGCAACTGTCATTCGCTGCGCACATACATCCTCATAATCTTCTTGACGCGAGATTCGAGTGGCTGGGACCTCAAGTAATGGGATCGGATGGTAAGGATGGGTTAAGATCTAACCGAAATCCAAGTGGATGGGCTGTCCAGGTGACTCTACTGTCAGTCGCAGCGTTGATAATCTCCACCGCTTTTTGTCAAAGTTGAGCCGGGACGAGGCAGTGCTCCAGGTTCCTTCACAGTGGTTCACCGACTTCTTCTCTTCCAAATAGACTCAGCGACATCTGAGCGTTGGGCTCTGTGCGGTAGAGGGCCACAATGCCCTCTACGGAGGACTTGCGCTCCCGCGTCCAGCCCGACAACTGCCTGATGGTCCACCTCGTTCCGCCCTTTCTCGGTTTGGGGAGCAGTTTATCCGTCTTCCATGTAAAAGCTTCTTTCGAGCCGTATCGTGCCATTTTGACGTGGGCCGTGAGCAAGTAAGCTGAGGCAGAACGCGAACGGGAAGACATGGGAAGGACACGGCTTTGAAGGTGGGTCGAAGATCAAGTTCTTGGGCTTGAAGATGCGATTGGGATCGGATTGCTCGCTAGCAGAGAGTAGAGCCGCGATAAAGATGAGGATATAAGTGTCGCCGACAGCATGAGCGCCGAGTCCAGATCCCGTTCTCGCAACTCGTATTTTCGCTGGCGCTATCCTCAAGTTCTAGCATCTCTCCCAGAGGGCAGAAACACGCAGAAAGAAGCGGGATACAAAGGCACGACGATCTGTTTCATGGCGTCCGTTAGCGCTTCCACGGCGCGTCGTTTGCATGTGGAGCCTATGTACCTTTGATCAGCCAGATCCCCTGCGCGCATTGTTCATGACAAAATTGTACAGGTATCTCGACACGTGCATAAGTAGCAGTAGGTCGTGCAGTTCAAGATGTCCCCCTAAAGACGCGCGCACAAGTCGCATATATCCAAGGAGATATGCGAAGAACACACTTAACGTCGAGACGTTGAGTCCGTTAACAGAGACGGCAGGGATTTCCGGACATATAAGGTTTGATATGATAGCTTGCAGGTCGACTAAAGTAATTTTCGGAGGGCGTGGTTTGGGCACGGAATCCTTGAGACGACGGCATGAAGAGCAGGAACGAGATGGTGGGCACTAAAGCTCTCGTGACTTTGATCGTGACACCACGCGCTTGTTATCACACCACACATTCAAAAATCTGGAAAAGATGCATTCTCTATGTATAAAGTCTCTTCAAGGCCCGAGACCGAATGAAACTCGCGTTTTCAACATGTTCCCGTCTCTCTTTTGCCGCCGAGTACACTGGCAGCGCTGGCTCACAACTTCGCGCGTACACCTGGGAAGATCGCCAAGTCTCCGAGCACTACTCTTGCTCTCGCGGAAGACGGCCACAGGGCCCGCCCGAACGCCTTCAACTGCGGCCGCAAACTCAAGATTGAACCCGAGCCCCTGACCGTGCGCCCTTCAAGCAGCGCGGCGTTCTCTTTATCCTCGTCATCCTCGTCCGTCTCTGATCCTCCGGCCGAGTCCTCCTGATCCGAGGACGTGCACTCGTCTTCGTCGCTGCTCCCGGGATGGATGAAGAATGGCTCCTCGTCGTCTTCGTCCCCTTCGTCGCCCGCGGCAGGAATGCTCTTGAATGGCAGACCCAGACGTTGGATGCCCGCGTGCACGACCCAGTCCCCGCTCTCGCAGACCGAACGTGCATGCTTGGGAGCCCACACGAAACCGGCGGTTTTGTCTTTGCGGATGTGGGCAGTCTCGGCGCCGATGGGAGCGAAATGGAAGTGCGGACGGACGCTGGTGCGCGGAAGGATGGTGTCGGTGTGCTCGTCGACGAGACCCGCAGTAATGGCCGACCTTTTGAAGGCCTGCTTTTCACGTTGCAAGATAGCTCCTTTTGTGTGGGGTGGCCAGGGGAGTCGCTCATTCTGCTGTTCGGCGGTGACCGTCTTGAGGCCATGAACATCGCTCTCGAATGACGCGTCGATGTTTGTGGGGAGGGGACTAGCCATCCGGATGCAGTTCTTCGCTCCTTGGACCGTTTCTGATGAGGAAATGGGCTATCTGAGCACGCTGCTTCAGTCCACAACAACACGCACCACTCGTACCAACGGGTTCGCTGCGCGGTGCCTGGCACAAAACCGTGTGGGCCTCGAGTTGGTTCGCTCATTTTGGTGAGATTCTGTTCCAATATCAAGCCTTCCACTCCCATATATATGTAGCAGGGGGACATGCAAAGCGCAGACAATGGACAAGACCTCCGATTCTGGCTTGAATACAAGCGAACAGTTTCTGGGAGATCGAAGTGGACTTATGTGGGGTGATATATATGGCAGTTCCAGGTTTCCTTCCGGCCGTCTATGCAGCCCTGGATGGCCGCCGTTCACAAGAGTAGAGGAGGCAATGAGATCGAGAAAGACAATGCGACGATCGATCACGTGAATTGCCATGATCACATACGTTTCAATGCTTTGTACGGCGCTTCACTGCGTGACAACACGACAAAGAGGCTTGAAATTGATTTTTTCTGCATTTAAGGTTCACGGCGCCACTCGGAATAGTTGCCTGCCTATGCACGCAATCCAACCCCGCGCAGCTTGGGTAAGGTTTACACGTGATCCCCCCACTCTTCGATTTCTTCTCACACTGGGACGGCCTTAAGAGCTTGGTGAATGCGATCTGATTGAAGCGCTTTACGCTTGGGTAGGCGTCGAGACCGATCGATTGAACGCGTCGACTCGCAACCTGTAACAGGTCCGATATTCCGTAAGAAATCTGAAGATTCACGCGTATGATCCGACTAATCTACTCGAATATGTACAGAATCTTCGTGGATTCGGCGTCTCGGGTAGGTACTCGCGCAAACTCACGTGTACTCGCACCTAATCCAGAAAAAAAAATAACGTGTTCGCGTTTGATCCTGGTAGACTCTGGTCTGGGTCCGGGTAGCGACATCCCGACTGATCCGGCGTTTCACTGCGTTGATCAAATCGCATACGTTTTGCGGCTTTCCTCATCCGCGTTGTCCCTGACCCTCTCCTCCCTCCCCCGCGCGACACGATGGCTCGTAACCAAAAGCACGGCGGCAGTGGCGGCAGCCCCGTTGCGCCTATAAACACCTCCGCGCGCTACACAGCGGTTGTCGTTCTCGATGCCCGACTCTGCCGCGACGAGTCCCGCGTCCTCGCGTGCGAGTTCGCCCATGACGCCGACGTTCCCTGGAATCAATGGGACCATGTATGA